GAAGAGAAGTCTTCACTCGAGTCTTCAGGAACCTGAACGAAAAGGGTTTTTCAAACGAACTCCTGGTACTGTGATCAGCAGTGCTCACAGCTACTATGGCGGCATTTGAAGTGGCCCTCACAGAACAACCATGGGACGTATATGAACGGCATATTCGATGTAAAACGGTACAGTCGTATTCAAAGAACATGTCGCACATGGACGGTGTCAGCTCTCTTAATCACCGCTGCAATAAGAGCGCTCATACCGTCCTACCACGACATGTTCACTGAAGACGAGTGTACAATGGGCCAACAGACCTAAGTGTCATCGAAGACGAGCCTTGAAAGGAGGTTGAGTGTTTAGTGGGCAATAGTGGGTACACCTACATGAATGATGGTACTAAAGGATTTTGACCACCTCCGAAAAAAAACAGCGGTCAAAATAGGTTATAAAATCGGGTGTTATTGATCTGCTGATCACCTTAATTCTATGTCGATGTCTCGTGTCAATACATTTAAAGGTCTTTTTCATAGAATTTCATAAATCGGCAAAGAACACAATATTTCAGTATTTCATGATGGAATCTCGAAAGGACGATAAAAAGAAGATAATATGAGCATATAGGTACCCTTGGTCCTCATCTATTGAAATCGTAATCTTGTTTCAAGTTCTTCCCCACTTCCATTAGGCGTTTTCGGAAACCTACTCGGGTTGACTCGATCCCTAACCTGCACGTTCGTTTACCTAACCCGAGTAACATACCCATGTTCGGAAACTTCGGTGTTACTTACTTGATCACTAACTCGGGTTCATGTTTCGCAACCCTGCTCCAAAGCAGGGTCAGCCAGAGTTACTACCTTAGATCATACACTTACTACCACAGAACTACTCACGATTCATGTATTTCTAAGGTCACTTCAGATATTATTTGATTTCATCAATTGAACAAGAAGTGCATTATGTTAAATAGCATTAGTTTGATGATGAAAATACACCAACATCATGAGCAGAAGCAATATTCATTATTTCTAGAACAATAACAACGTGTATCTTTTAAGAGTTCAGTGGTATGTTTTTAAAGATATGGAGAAATTGATCCGAAAATATTGATATCGCATAGCAAACTGAAAAAATTGCATACGTAAGAAATCAAGAAGTTCTATTCGAAGAGGTATAAAGCTAACTCAATAAAATAGTAACCTGATAAGTTCGTAAACTATAGTATTAGGATAAGTGATCCGACTGATCCATCACATGACCCGTTCAGATCGAGTCAGCAAGCCAGAGTAAGTTTCCGAAAACGCCTATCATGACGTCATGACTAATGATCGAGAGTGATTATGTTTCCAGGTACATTTTTCCACTATTCATCATCGTGGAGATAATTGGATACCGGAATTAGCGGGGGTTTCTGTCATATTTGAACTCGTCAGTGCTGTAGTGTAGGTATATAAGAAATACTTAAGATAGAGGCCAAGATCACTGATCAGGGGTTAGGTCTGACCATATAATAATCAAGGATGATATTTCACATAGCTACAACTCGATGCAGATTAGTATACATTTATCATATTTAATGTACATGAAAATCAGATAACCTGACGAGGCAAAGAACTAATGAAAGATTGAAGAAGCGACGTGTTATTAGTCAACGGAAAAATTTTACAGAAGAGGAAACCAGACCAGAAACCAGCGACTGGTGATAAGTTTTTTATTCCTAATTAGGAGTTATAATCAACTCATTTCGAATATTTCTCTCAAATTTTATATTTGTTATCGCAGGTGATATATCATAAAACATTTTTAGGTAGTCATGCTTATGTCTCAATGGAAACACGACAGGTAACGTTACGTTACCACCGAAATACCACCGATACTCGGCGGTAACGCAGGTACCCTTGCGAGGATTGGCATCGGTAAACCCTCGTTTCTTTTTTTAATTGTAAACTCTTCTTCATGATTCAAACATAGTCCTTAGCTCGTCCTTAGCCTACTTAGCTGGATGAAATTATTGAAGTTCTAACGTCCACTGCTCACATTATTAAAATAAGGCTAATTTGTTTATATTGTATCCAAAGTCTAATTTGAACAGACAACTAGAATTTTGTGTTTACCTCATTCCAAGCCTCATTTCATGTGAGTTTGGAGTTAACCCAGGGATAAACGGCAGTCAAAATTGGGTAAAGCAAATTTCAATTTGCTAAGGAATTCCAGTTGTTTGTTGACCAGAATTATACAGCATTTTATAGACCTGAATTATACTGAACTTTAGAACTTTACCCAAGGAATTCCTGTTATCTATAGGCAAATGTATGATTCAAAAACAGAAATAACATGAAATTTAAAGTCATTCAAAAACAGAGCTGTCATCAGAAGAATAATCATTGATATTCCATGGGGTAAGTGATTAATTGTATGAATCATTGTTTTAACAGGTAAGGAAATGAAATTGAACACATACAATGTACATTAATGTTTTTCAGATGACTGTCATTCTGTGCTCATATACACTATTTTCTAGGGCTATAACTCAAAACTGCTTCTGTTTTACTGTGTTCAATACATCAATATGGTAATGTGTCATTATTTAAAAAAAAATCTCATTGCTCAATGCTCATGGAATATCAGATTTCAATAGATGAGCATTACTTGAGAGAAAATCAGATGGCTACAAGTAGGCTACAAGAGGAAGCCGTCAAAAATGCTGATGTTATTTGTTACAGTCCTAGAAAAATCATAGTGTATACTGAGTGTATACTATTTTGAGGTTGGTGTAGGATCTACCTAACTATACTATATCTATCTCAATCAGTGATACCCTGGGTGATAACTACCTATCCCTTTGTTTACTGAAACAAATCTGATATTCAGTTAGCTTTAGCTCAGATAGAAAGAATATCACTACCTAGTAATCATCATGTTTATGCATTTATACTTTCGTTATTAATTGGATAATGAATGATTTTAATCACTTGGCTGCCAACCAGCCTGGGTACATATCAATTATAATGCCTATACAGTAATTAGCACAAACTGAATACCTACTTGAATAGTACCTATTAAGATCGTGCTATTAAGGTACCTACCTATGTATGTACAAATTGTAAACTGTACAAGTGTACACTGTAGTCACTGTACAACAACCAGCACACCAGCACCTCAAGTGTAATAAACTTTCAGTAGATGGTAGATTGAACTTTCAAGTTATATAAACTTAAGGATAGTAATAAGTTATAAACATAACTATTAGAGCTACGTGGCCTACAATTATTTAACTAGTACCAGTACAATGGAAAAGAAAGAAATAAACAACAGTCGTATGTCTTGCCGACAACCCACCCAATCCCAATGGTCATTGATCTTTAGTTTTGGAGTATCATAAATTGAAAAATTTACCTATTTCTAATCAATCACTAGAAACAACTTACATTCATAATAATAATCCTCAAAAATAGTTTACACCTCAACCACGTAATTAAACTCTACTCATAATCCACTATTGTTGATTTGTTGCACATCAAACATGATTGTACATTGTACATTTTCCACACACCCAAACCCAAAACACAAAAGCACAAAACTCAACTCAACTGTCATGCTTGGCTTGCTCATCATTACATGGTTGCCAACTGTATGATAATAAAAATCGCATCATTCACGGAGAATCACCAAAATCGCCGATTTTCAGCTTGCGAGTGAAGTGCGCTACAAGCGATTTTTTTTCTGAATCGGTGATTTTGTTGCTGATAAAATACATATATTTTAATATTCAGCAGCCAGCAGGATGAGGATTACAGGAAAGGACGCTAAAAATGTCAACCATGATAAAAATATAAATGTCATATATACCGTTGACTTTATATTTAAACGGGAATTTCGAAATCTATAAGGGTGAAATTATTATTAGCTTATTAAAAAGGCACCAAACTGGGAAAAAAATGTATTGCAAGGAAACAAATCAAATTACCTACTGAACATTGAACAATATGACAAGTCAGTTTTGATTCAGTTCAGTGGCTTTGATACTGCAAGGAAAAAAGAAAATAAATAACCTGAATGGCGATTGACGATTGAGCCACTAGGTTGGCAACTCTGCTCATCAATCGGCCTTCCAACAGTGTTGCCTAAATATGTGTTGAAAATATACCTTCGAAAGTATAGTTAGAAAATAGTTCTGAATCTGAAAAAAGCCCGTTGCAAGCGGCAAATCTAACAATTTTATCGAGAATATTAGTCCAGGAAGGTACAATCCAATTTTTTGTATTATATGATCAAAATGTTTCTTACAGAAGAATGATATCTCGAACACAAAATTTCAGAGATAGAAAACCTAAACAACTGTGAATAGTTAATATTATACGGAAACAGTGAAACTAAGAACAGGTAATCAGACAGAGTTTCAAGGCACAACTATTTTTATTCGAGATAAAAACGAAGCGTACGCTACTTATCAGAGTTTTTAGAAGCTGTTATAGCGGTATTTTTACTTTGTTTTTATTGGTTCACATTCGTTTTTTGTTTGTGATTATTGGTCACATCAGTCACAACAAAGCGCTCAGAAGTGTTCAAGTTGTTTTCGTCAGGTGGTGGGACGTGTAATTTTCTATCGCTAAATGCTTAGATGATCTAAGGCTAAATGTCTCAAAGACAGCTCAGCCGACATCGTCAACAAACGACAAATTTTATCATACAGTTTCGACTATCGTTAGCTACAGAATAACAAATATGTTAATTCAGAAGCCACGATACCGAAAACGTCTCTCGCCAGTCATTCAATTAGTACCTCGAAAAATATCGTTCTTGCATATTAAGGGACTACTTTTCACCTAACCTGAGGCCTGAGTAAACCTTTTTCCTGAAAAGTATTATATTTTTCAAAAAATTACTCAGGTGAAAAGAGCGACAGAATGAGGCAGTGTTGCCGGCTTGGACATTTTTTGACTAGTTCTACTTATTTTGTAATGACATTTGCCACCAGAGTGACGTCATGTCGAGCTTTGACAATTGACAAGCGCGACAAGAATGTGGTTTTTTCGGTTTTCTGCCTTTGGATTTTCCGTTGGTAACATTGATCTACAAAATAACTCAATATGGCGGATGTTAATTTTTCTTGTTGAAAAAGTGAATGATGACTTTAGATTCAAGTGATTCTTAGCGTTTCGCATTCGAACTCATTAAAAGTGTTTTTCCAAATATGACTTCTCTTCAATATGTGGTACATCCCCTACCTGGTACCGAGGAGCAGTTCAATGACAGGTAAAAATGAGGAACAGGGCTACAGGGCAGTGTCGAATAATATCGTTGAACACCTCCATTTTCTTGTTGAACAATAGTTTATTCTTATCTTCAGAAATGGCGATGTAATGTGAATTAGAGCAATAGAACAAATAGAACATGTATTGATCATTTCTTTTTTCTGAATATCGTTTTGTATATTAACATGTATCCAATAATCATTTCAAATAACCGGTCAGGAATTTCACATTCTGCATTTGGAAACTATTTTGTACCTATTAATTATCCTCGCTATTATCCAAAGATGAATGATTGTACGTAGAACTCATCTGATTGATGTTGTCAATGAATTATAACCAACATTTTTGCTTCCAATAACAATGAATAGATTATTACACACTATACATTATCTATATTTTCTGGAATATAGATTTATGGAACCATGTTCACAGTTTATTTCATGTTAGAGTTGGGGATTTTATATTTGAAGTAGGATTTGGAATAAAAGTATTACATTCAAAACTATATCTATTGGACTGTTCATTGAAATTTAATGTGACCATCAACCACGTACACTCATTATTCTCATGCTAATAGAGAGACGCAGATATTACAAAAAATGACCCAAAATACTACATAAGTTCAGTAGAATTGCAATGGAAAAAAGCTGACTCTGTTATCTTTTGAGATACTCCTCAGGACTTACCAGTGTATAGCAACATTTATAATAACAAATAAGTAGGTATTAAGTTGAAATTTTTTTTCAATTCCAAAATAGGGGGCCTGTGGTATTAATTCTGGCCCAACATATATTGTGATATATACACATCAAGTACCATTGGAGGAACACATTCATAGAAAAACTCCCATCCACATGTAATTTGAAAAAGTTTTTTTTTGAAAATTTAAAAAAAAAGCGTCTGTGGGGTTAATTCATGCCCTACATAATATTATGAGTTATACAAATCATCAAGTACCATTAGATTAGAGGAACACATTCATGGAAAAAAATTCCCATCCACATGTATTTAGAAAAAGCTATGAATTTTTCTCGAAATTCCAAAAAAGAATCTCTGTGGTGTTAACTCTTGCCCAACAAAATATTGTGAAACATTCATAGAAAAAACTTCAATCCATGTGTATTTTGAAGAAGGTGGGTATAATTTTTTTTTCCAAATTCCAAAAAAGGGGGCCTGTGGGAATAATTTGCCCCACAAAATATTGTGAGATATAAAAATTCTGAAGTATCATTACATTCATGAAAAAAAAAATCCCAGCCACATGTATTTAGAAAAAGTTATGATTTATTTTCGAAATTCCAAAAAAGGGTACCTGTGGTGTTAATTATTGCCCAACAAAATATTGTGATATATACACATTATCAAGTACCATTAGAGAAACACATTCATAGAAAAAACTCCAATCCACATGTATTTTGAAAAGGGTATAATTTTTTTTCAAAATTCCGAAAAAGGTTGCCTGTGGGGATAATTCTTGCCCCACAAAATATTGTGTGATATAAACATTATCAAGTACCATTAGAAGAACACATTCATAGAAAAAAATCCCATCCACATGTATTTTGAAAAAGTTATGATTTATTTTCCCCACAAAAAAATTTGAGATATACATATTATCAAGTTACATTAGACAAACACATTCATGGAAAAAAACTCCCATCTACCTGTACTTTGAAAATGTTATGATTTTTTTTTTCGGAATTCCAAAAAAGGGGGCCTGTGGGGTTAATTCTTGCCTGACAAAATATTGTCAGATATACACATCATCAAGTACCATCAAGTACCATTAGAAAAACACATTCATGGAAAAAAAGTCCCATCCACATGTATTTAGAATAAGTAATGATTTTTCTTGGAAATTCCAAGAAAGGGTCCCTGTGGTGTTAATTCTTGCCCGACAAAATATTGTGATATATACTCATTATCAAGTACCATCAGAGAAACACATTCATAGAAAAAAATCCTAAAAAGGGTGAATGTGGGGATAATTCTTGCCTGACAAAATATTGTCAGATATACACATTATCAAGTATCATCAGAGGAACACATTCATAGAAAAAAAACTCCCCTCCATGTGTATTTGGAAAAAGTTATGATTTTTTTTTTTTCAAGAAATTCCAAAAAGGAGGGGCGTGTGGGAATAATTCTTGCCCCACAAAATAGTGTATTGTATGCAAATTATCAAGTACTATTGGAGGAACACATTCATAAAAAAACTCCCATCCACGTGTATTTTGAAAAAGTTATGATTTTTTTTTCAAAATTCCAAAAAAGGGGGCCTGTGGGGTTAATTCTTGCCCGACAAAATAGTGTCATATATTCACATTATCAAGTACTATTGAAGGAACACATTCATAAAAATACTCCCATCCACGTGTATTTTGAACAAGTTGTGATTTTTTTTTTCAAAATTTCAAAAAAAGGGGCCGGTGGGGTTAATTCTTGCCCGACAAGATATTATGAGATATACACATTATCAAGTTCTGTCAGAGGAACACATTCATATACAAACTCCCATCCACATGTATTTTGAAAAAGTTGTGATTTTTTTTGAAATTCCAAAAAAGGGTCCATGTGGGGTTAATTCTTGTCCGACAAAATATTGTGATATACACATTATCGAGTGCCATCAGAGGAACACATTCATAGAAAAAACACTCCCATCCACGTGTATTTTGAAAAAGTTTAGATTTTTTTTCCAAATTCCATAAAAGAGGGCCTGTGGGGTTATAATTATTGCCGGACAAAATATTGTGAGATATACACATCATCAAGTACAATTAGAAGAACACGTTCACAGAAAAAATCTCCCATCTACGTGTATTTTGAAAAAGTTGTGGTTTCTTTTCCAAATTCCAAAAAAGGGGGCCTGTGGGGTTGATTCTTGCCCGACAAAATATTGAACTACACAGATTATTAAGGTCCCTCTAAGGCTTAGAGGAATACATTGATGGAAAATAGTTTCATCCACGGGCATATTTTGGAGGTTTTAGTAATTCATAGCCATCCACCAGTATAAATAAGTAATAAACGACCATTGGTGGTATGGCACGCGCCTCGAATAATTGGCGAAGTCGTGGCTAGAACCGTGGCTGGTTTCACACTGATAGCAAGATGCATAAATAGAATACAGTTATTAGGTATTATCATATCATATTCCAATTTGAATTTCTTGAAAGGGCGGTTCTCTAGAGAAGGGGAAAGAAAAGACAGATGACAAATTCATTTTAAAAAATGTCCCCCTACAAATGAAATTGGACATGTTCCAGCATTTTTTTATTCCAGCATTTCTTCATATTTTTTTTTGTAGCCACCAACTACTGCTGCTGACAGGTCATTCTGTCTCATTATTGATTTCTGCATGATGAATATGACAATTTTCGAAACTGACCAGAAATTGGTAATTTTTTCTATTCACAGCTGATATTTGTCTTATTGGTTTCTTAGGTGGGACAAGGACACATACCAGAGCGCTTTTCAGAGGTTTTCCTGCATTATGGAGCTAGTATTATTGTTGATGAATAGATTTTTAAATGTTATTTTTAATGGAGTGCCATTTTCAAAGTACATAAAAACATAAAAATATCATAAAAATTAGTGAAATTGTAGGATATTGAGGGGCTCTAGTATGATTAGTCAGGTGCTGAAGAGTTACAATGTTTAGAAAATATGTTCAGGTCAACCTGACACTTGAGTTGCGGCTGGGGAATAGAAAAGAAGAGACAAAAGGCCAAAAGAAACTATAGAAATGCAAATATACATTATGTTCTCTCCGATATTCGTATTTGAACCGTTTATTGGCTGGTAATTTGCAAAGCTTGATGGCGAAATTTGCTTATAAAAGTTCATTATTATTCGTTATTAACAAGCCTCAATGTTGTATAGTGCCTTTGTGTTCCTCTTGAACGTCTGGAATAAGCTCAATAAAGTAGGTAAATGATAACTTCATAGTTTTCATGCATTGAATGTTATGAAAAAAAAAAAATGGGGATACATTGAAATTTACTAACACATTTGAAAACATCCATGAAAAGGTGCATGCTTATATTTCAGAATCCGCTCTCTTCATTTAAAATATTTTCGACAATGCAGTATTGCCGCTTCTACTAGAAAGTAGTAGAAATATTGATATTTCATCGCATTTTTAGATTCTCCGGAAGTGCTGATTTCATAGATATATCACACTTGGGGTCTATCGAAACTGATTACAGAGATATAGGGTGTTCAAAATCGAGATTTTTCAACATTAGGATTCTTTTGTGTCGAAACTATTCATTATCGGTCAAAACGGCTCACATGTCCCTATCTCAACTTTTGATTCACTATTTACCGAAATTTAATTGGAACAGATACAGAGTGGTTCAAGATTCAGAATTCTGATCACCCTGTATCTGTTTCCATTAAATATCAGTAAATAGTGAATCAAGATCTGAGATAGGGACATGTGAGCCGTTTTGGCCGATAATAAATAATAGTTTCGCCACAAACAAATTCAAAAGTTGAAAAATCTCGATTTTGAACACGCTATATCTCTGTAATCATTTCCGATAGGCCCCAAGTGTGATGCATCGATGGAATCAGCTCTTCAGAGAGAATCTAAAAATGCAATGGAATACATGGCATTCTATTAAAAATAAAGCTGTTGCTACTTTTTGATAGAAGCGGCAACACTGCATTGCTGAAAATATTTTAAATGAAGAGAGCGTATTCTAAAATATAAGCATGCATATTGTCATGGTTTTCTTCAGACTGATTCTTGATATAGAGATAGTGTAAGCTCGTCGTGACATACCCTGTATATATTATATATTGATGACCCCCAAGCACACGATGCGAACATTTTGAAGTGAGCTATAGACATGATTGAGAATTTTTTTTCTTCTAATAGCTCTAGAATACACCATTATGTAGGTTATTTTCAACCCGAGGAACATTCGCGATACAAAATATCACACAAATGGGTAATAGAAGACATAAAAACGAATTTCAAGTACATTTTTGACTTTCTGAACAATATTGACTCAAAGTTTACCTGATTTTTTTTAATGATTGAATAGAGGCTAACAGTCGAACCGGAGCGTTTCATTTCGGCCAGGTCAAAAGCACCGGACATTTCAATTCGCAGTGTTGTGAGTTGTTTAATGATAATTGAAAGGTAAGGCATGGTGAAAGCACAGGTGAAAGCGTATAATTAAGAATTATGTTTTTTCTTGTGTATTATTGTCACTATGTATCATACAACACACCATGTTGTTCATAGTTCCAATTGTCATGTTGTTGATATGAAATAATTTTTCTTCATAACTTTTGATATTGTACGTTACATTTTTCTGGTATGACATGAATTCAGTATACGAATATTCGGAAAATTCCAGGGCGCCATTTGCGAAAAGTCTGGTTCTAAAATATTTATGCCGAAACAATTATCAATATTTGATACAATGATCTTTTTGATTTCCTGTATCTTTTTACAGGTTACGAGAAGTAGCAGATAGAATTAATCGACTTGGTAGTAATTTACATCCTGGGCTGTCAAGTCTACGAACTGGTGTGAAGAGAATTTGTCTAGGTTCGACATACATTGCACTATTATTAGATGATGGCCGGGTGTGTAGGATTTCCTACAATGTATTGTCAGACAGATTAGACTTGAGTAAGAATGATAAAAAGTGAGTAGACTAAAATAATTCACATTCAAATCAACTTTCTTGGGTACTTTGACTGTTGATTCCAATTATGTATATAAAATATCCACTTGCAATGTTTTGATTTTGAAATGAGTTCCTTGAAAATTTGAAAGAAATTCTGTTTTATATGAACCCTTTCAAGTGATATTCTCGCAAATTATTACAGAACATTATTCTCATCATATGATTATTATATTTTACTCAATAGCTATCTCGGTTGATATTGGTCTTACAAAAATGTTCAAATTGGTAAATATGAGGACATTTTTATAGGCATTAAGAATTCAGTGCTAGAATTTGCGAAAAAGCATCCTCAAAAATGTTTTATTTCATTTCATCATTTTCCTATTCAGTAGAGCTCTTTCTTCTGATTCCAAATATATGTACTTTATTGAGGTTATAGTTGTCAGTTTTTGTCAAATATATAATTTTTTCGGCATCTCTAGAACGCCAGAGGATAATGATGCGATTTCTGGTGTTCTACAGCTGCCTTAAATTTATAGGAAAAATTCTATATTTTTCGAAAACTGACGAAGATAACCTCGATAAAGTATATACATTTGAAATCACTAGAGATAGCTCTACCGATTAGGAAACTTAAATATGGGATGTTGCATTTAAAATCAATCAATGCTTGCGTGAAAGGGGCCCATGCACTGTGGTGTGTGGCTAGCAAAAACGACCATTTTGCAGCCACACAATTCGGTTTTGCGTCAACAGTCTACCAACAACGCAGTTAATAGGCTCCTTTACGGGATTCAGCAAGACAGCAAGCAAACAAATCAAGGCGGCTGACTTCGTATTTCGTATGGAGTGCCAGTGAAATTGGGATGGGAGCGCAAAGAGGGCGCCATGATATCCTTGCATATTGGATAATAATGTGCTCGCATCTCATGTATGATTTGATCAGCATCGCTGAACGCGAGCATGATGAGCGGTTTATTCAAATTAGCCTAAGGAGGCTCTGGTTATTTTGTCCTTAGAAACCAGGTGTTATCAATAAAGTGACATGAAATGAGTAAATGTGCAGGGTGGGCATTTTCAGCGCGCCTCTATATGGGCACGAAACATAAACAAATTCAATCTATCTCGTCACATCGAAATTGAAAAACAACATTGTCACATTTTTTAGGTCATGGCTTACTCGCAGTTCGGGCGGAGCCGGAGCTGGAGGCGGCGGCGGTGGTGGGGGAGGAGGAGGAGGGGGAGGTACTGTCGGTAGCGGCAGCAACAAACCCTCTAGTGGGAGACAGATAAGAACTAGAGCGAGAATAATGAGATCCAATACTGCCATTCGTGGCGGTAGCAATAGCGGTGAGCAGAGTTGACGTGAATTATTGATTTATATGAATCAAGTCAGTGCATTAATTCATGTATTATTATAAAATGAGTTTTTTTTAATGAGTCAACATTTAATCCAAATTGTCTCCAAACTAGTTTTAACTGAAATATTCGATTGATCTGACAACGTGAATCGCCCACAGGCAAGAAACTAAATTTTCTAAAGAGCCGCTTCACAGTTTCCAATTTTTCATAGTACACAATTGATTTATTTCTAGCAATGTCGATCTTTTTGTCATGCATTCTGTGTAGAAGGAATCATAAGAACAGTTACATACAATGTGCATCTAATGATGCATAAATATAATGCATGAAATTCCGAAAATTTATCATTTTATCACTAGAATTGCACCAGCAATACAATTTTTCGCAAAAAATAGGTCCGGACACATTTCTTGCAATGCAAGGAAAAATTGCTACCTGTGAAGCGCCTCTAATGAAGATTTTGAATAAGTAATTCTGATTCTCTTTATTACCCCAAGAAACATTATTGTTTATAATAGGGATATATTTGACAAAACATACATATAAAGCTAAATCAAAACAATAATAATTGCATCAAAAAAAATTATAATAAAATATAAAAAGAAAATATTATAATCCATTACAAGTAATCAATTCATGAATGATTAGATGATATGGAATCAAAGTTTACTGAGCAGATATTTATTTATTTATTTTTAAAATTTTTCTGCTTCTATATTTTTCAACTCATTAGGTAAGGAGTTATATAAAATTATTCCACTATGGACTATTGATTGTTAACCAAAATTTGACTTATAATTATTTGCTATCAATAAATTGAATTGCCTTGTTTCATGGGCGTGAATTGTATTAACTTCATTGAAATTCAAATTTGATATTTTCAATTCCTTCCTGACAAAATGAATGAAACAACAAATCTTGAGTTTACATAATGAAACTAGATTCCGCAAGTCTTTAGGTTTGTTTAGATTTACAATTCATTCTAAAAAAGGTAAATTGAAAATGCACTTTATTGTTTTATTTTGTAATTTCATGAGTGGCTTCAAACGTGAAATATTTTTACTTCCCCAAATAGATATTAGATATTGTAAATTTGAATAAAAAAGACAGAAATAAATACTATTCAGTCCTCTAACAGGAATGAAATTTCGAATTTTATATATAATACCAGCAATAGGATTCATATTGAAAATATTGACATGATATCTTATTAATACCCTATATTGGTATGATATCACCCAGGCGGTCGAGGAGCTCCTGTTATAATAGGCACTAGTTCTTCAACAACTGCAAGATCTATGGTTACAGTACCAGCACCATATGTACCAGAAGAGCTTGTTTCTCAAGCACAAGTTGTTCTACAAGGAAAAAGTCGGAATTTGATCATCAGAGAATTACAGGTGTGTATTTATAAGTGACTAGCTATCCGGCTTCACACGGTTGGTCCCATTTAAAAAATATGACTTGCTGCAGTCGGTCTGAGCTATGCGCGTATCTACAATACATATTTTTTTGTAATTTTTTTTACTATATACAGGGTGATTCACATAAGAACCGACATAGAGCAGGGGCATGTAGGGGGTCCCAAAATATGGCAATTTAACGCAACTTACCTTTATACCAAGTTGCTTCCCTAAGGAAATATAGGCTTTGAAAGTGAAGTTATAAATTTTGAAAAAAATCAATATCTTTGTTATTCTTGAACTTAAAGCAACCAAATTTGGTACAATTTGTGGATGTATTTAGGGCGTTACTTGACAGTAGCTAGAGTTTAATTGAAATTTGTAAAGCGGGTATACCGTGTGGCGCACCATCAATATTCAACATTCTTTTGTTAACCTTTGATGGATTTCAAAAATCTTTGTTTTGTGGGCAATTCAATTCTGAAACTTTTCTTACTCTAGTAATTTTTCGAAAAACCTCATCATTTTCATCAAAAACTCGAATAAATGAAAACGCGCGCTCTAGGTGTGTTATTTAAAATCATCGAAAATTCAAAAGTTGGCTATGAAAATAAACGTCAAACTTGACAATGAGGCAAGTGAGTTGTTCAATTAAGTAATTGTTGTTTGAGTTTTTTTTAAATGAACGGGAAGTTTTCTTTTAACGAGCAAGTTGACATGCTGTTAGTGCTATACCTATAACTCCTTAGGGAAGTAACTTGGTATTGAGGTAAGTTGCGTTAAATTGCCATATTTTGGGACCCCCTACATGCCTCTGCCCTATGTCGGTTGTTATGTGAATCACCCTGTATAGCTACTATTATATACTTTCGCCCATTTTCATTTTCTCAGTATCTTTTGTAGTTTTTTTGTTGTTTCACAAATGTCGGCCAAGCCGTTAAGTAGTTGACGTATCGACAGAAGCGCCCAATTGTATTTTCAAATCATCCAGGAAACCATCGAAATACCCACATGAAATTTAAACCCAATCGGCTCAGTTGTTTAGAAGTTAGGTATGTGAAAAAGATATGTACGGAAGGATAATTGTTACTACCCGTTGTCCTATTACCCATTTTCCCGCAGGAAAGAAGAAATTTTCAGCGGTAAAAAGTAGCCTAAATTCAAATCGGTTCAGTAGTTTCGGAGCCTATTCAATACAAACAAACATTCAAATCTTTTCTAATCATGCATTTTCAAATGAATTTTCCAATTTTTCGTTTCAAATAATTGATGTAGAAGAAATATAATTTATAGATATTTACGTAACCAGTTAGGAAACGCGGGCATAAGTGATAACTGGCATATAATTATCAAAATTCACCTTATCACCAGCTTCAAACACGGACTTGACAATCGCAGTTTTACATAATATTGGCACCAATGCTACTTTAGCATCCTTCACCGTTTTCACCTCAACTTTGTCAAAGTTCCTAATGAGGAGTAGAGTTCCTAAATGTACTTGACACTGCTGTTTTGACGTTTTTTGTATATAGGTCGCGTGCAAGAACTGTCAGATGACCGACCCTGGAGGCAAAACATATTTGTTTACAAGTGATCGAAATAGTTTTCCACAATTATTTTGGCATATGAATCGTATTTTTCCGCTATTCATCAATTCGCTAATGCCATCACATTGTGCTGTTGTAAAATGCACAAAAACTGCAGCAAAAGATGAAGAAATCCGGATGGTACATTATGATTCAAAAGTAAGTACCTACTATAGTCACTCACATAGTTTTCATTTTTGAAATTTGGTTATTTCTCTGATTTCTCATCGGAATTCCTTCTGCAATAAGATCAGCTAATAGAAATATACCTGAAATTTCTAGAATAATTCAAGAAGATTGGATTCATGCAATCAATCGGTAGGACTGGTCTGACATGCTGACGATCGTGTGTGTTGTAGACATTTTCAATCTATTAGCAGCATTAGCTTGAATTGCAGAAGTGGCAGAAGGCAGAAGGAATTTTAATAAGGAATGACAACATTTCATAATGATAACTATGTGAGATTACTATTTACCTGAAAAATCATATTCCCTAGGCTCTTGCTGCATTTTTTGTGCATTGTACAACAGCACAATGCGAAGGCATGCTTGAATTAATGAATAACGCAAGAAACACGATTCGTATGCCAAAATATTGTGAAAAACTATTTCAACCTTTTGATTCCTCTGTAACCAAATAAAAAAGTGAGGTTGTGTTTCAATAATTCACAGAAGAATGAGGTTGTGTTTCAATAATTCACTCCAGGGTCGGTCTTCGTGCACGCGACCTATTAAGAGTATGGACACTATGACAAGCACTGACAATCAGACATAACCACAAATAAATTGATGGAAAAAGCGGGAACTGACAGTACACGGACGTACATGACATAAATTTCAAAGGTTTGGCAAATTGAGAGAATTAGGAGAAAGATGCAAGTTTGTGCAGTTTCCAACTGTGAGAACACGGAAAATCAATTCACTCTATTCGAATTTCCATCGGATAACGTAATTCTACAAAAATAGAATCAGAATATGATGCGGCCGGCATGGAATATAGGTTCAGGCCACAAAAGTTGAAATCCCAAGTCTGAATGTGCATGTTCATGCGTATTTGAGAAGTGCTAGACGACTACATAGGTCCTAGTGGATTTTGAACCACTTGTTGGGTACCAAGATACGAGCAAGATATTATCAGAGCACAGAACAAGGACGCTTAACGAGTGTACCATTTATGTAAGGTATTGAAAATGACCTTCCGGGTTCAAACCAACAATCCCCTTTAGAAATGTGAACAGCGATCTATAGTGAGTCGATCGCTGAAGTCCATTTATACCTACTTCCGTATGTCTTGGAGAACCTTCCTTATTTATCCTAACTGAGATCAGCTGTTGTTGCCATATCATTTGTTCATTTATTAATTACTTATTACCCACCACTCTTGTACAAGTGAAATTGTTCCATAAGAAATAAAAGTATGTTTCATTGGTTGAAGTTTATCAGTTTTCACCCCATTCTGAACTTTTGTGATGAAAAAATATTCAACTGAACGTATATACTAGGTGGGCCAAAAGAAATCACCCTATTGGAAGATGCTCTTATTTTTGCAAATGGCGGCCAATGTCAGATCTGTTTCGACATTTGTGAACTAGACAGATGTAGAATGCAAGTGAACAAGCCATGGAGCGATGCACTCCCCATGAAAGCGGAATAATCCAAGCCAAGCCATCAATCTCGTGGACGATTTTTCGACCAAAATCATAATGAGCGATAAGGCTCATTTCCACCTCAGCGGGTACGTGAACAAGCAGAACTATCGCTTCTGGGGCACTGAAAATCCACGAGTGATGCACGAGGAGCCATTACACCCGCTCAAAGTGACTGCATGGTGCGCTGTTTACTCTGGAGGAGTCATCGGGCCATTTTTTTCGAGGTCGCCGCTGGTCAAACGACAACAGAGGACGGTGCGCGCTATAGGGCAATGTTTACCTAGTTTTTTTCTGCCGCAATTGAACGAATTAGGACTGGGGGACATATGGTTCCAACAGGACGAAGCAACGGCACACACTGCGCGAGCCACAACCGATACTCTGAAGGCGGCGTTCCCAGATCGCCTCATCTCTCGTTTTGGCGATTTGCTCTGGCCCGCAAGATCGCCCGATTTAACCGTTTTAGACTTTTTTTGTGGAGTTTTTTGAAGTCTTGTGTTTACGTGAACAAGCCTGAGACCCTGGAAGCCCTCAAGGACAACATTCGACACGAGTGCCAGAATCTGTCGCCCGAAGATCTCGCCGAAGTGATGAAAAATGCCATAAAACGAGCCCGTATAGAAATCAATTGTGGCGGCGCCCATTTGGCCGATATCATTTTCTCGACTTGACCAATAGAATTCTGAAGGTTGAAATAAACATAACAAAAAACAGAATCGAAGCTTTTCATTTAGAAAAAAAAATGAGAGCCAAATAACATCGGATGACTTCTTTTGGCCGACCTTGTATATACCTACATGTAAGAGACTTATTTCATAGGAATTGTATATGTATTTCGTTGGTATACAGGGTGAGTCATGACTAACCAGCCGTAGCCTAATGGCGGATAGCGGAGGTCAAGGTGAGTTGATATATATGTAAAAAAATATTTTTTGCCTATTCTTTACAGAAATACAGGGCATTATTTGAATTCGGGGCAAAACTTCAATGAACGATATTTCAGGAACGTCTCGATGTTATCGGTTGAAATTCACTAGCAACTTACCTCTAATGACACTCCACAAGATGACGTACGATGAATAAGAAATTCCAGATCCGGACTTGAAAATCTCATTTTCTCATTAGATGTCAAAATTTTGACCTTCTGGATCGGATTTTTCGGAAACTTTCATCAGAATCAGAAAGATCAGGAAAAATACTACAAGTATGGCTTCTCAACTCGTACGGCACACTTCGATCGTTTTGGTAAAAAAATATCAAACAAAATACCGATGAATTTTTCTTCGATTTCGTCCGGGCATATCACTCTCTGAATTCGACGATAAGTAATTAAATCAAATTTTTTCCTGGAATGATTCAACAGCAGACTTGAGAAAAGGTATAATTCGATAAAAAATCCAGAACCGGACTTGATTTTGGATAATAACAATTATAATTTCCGAAAAAGATTTGTCTGGATCTTAATATTAATCAGCGTACATACATTAGACGCTGTATTAATCAAGATTCTCGAAATGTCCTCCGCCAATTTCTATACATTGTCTGCATCTTTTCGGGAGATCTCTTATGGATTTTCCAATAATTTGCCTATTATTTCTGATTATATCTGCAGCTATAACTATCTTCTTCCAATTTTCAATTGAAATCTAACTTCTACTTGTGATAATGTATGTGAAAACATCGTATTCAATAAGAACAATTGTTGCTTTGGTAGCAGATTTTTTTTCGAATCAGATATACGTGCCAACTTATACTACATGGAGGGATTTTGATTTGAAGTTATACTGAATATGATCTCATTTCTTGTGAACTCTCCCAATCAGAAAATCAAATTGTGAGTTTAGTAGTTCATCGATTCTGAATACACATGAAAAGAAGGCTGTGATATGGTAGTGTATGTCATTGACTCGATTTTTGACGGTTGTTGAAACTGTCAAATGACATCTAGTTCATTGTTGATAATTTCAAATACATATTGTTACTAATTTTATAATTTCATATTTCATTTAATATCTTCAAAATGCCACTACATTCCACTAACGTTGAATATGAAGATATTATTTTTGTATACGGTTTTTGTGGTGCCCAACTTGTTGGCGGCGCAAAATGTGAATGAAAGAGGTCTTTACTTTCAACAAAATGGGGCACCTCCACATTTGGCGGCCCTCATTCTTGACCTCCTAGGTCCCCTGATCTCACAGTTTTGGACTATTTTCTTTGGGGGCATATGAAACAATTGGTCTACTAGACTGAAGTCAACACCAGAGACGAACTGAGGGAGATGATAGTTACAGCTGCAGATATAATCAGAAATAATAGGCAAATTATTGGAAAAGCCATAAAAGGTCTCCCGTTGTTGTTATTTTCCAAAATCAAGTCCGGTCCTGAATTTTTTATAGAATTATACCTTTTCTCAAGTGTGCTGTTGAATCTTTTCAGGGAAAAATTTGATTTAATTACTTTTAGTCGAATGTAGAGAGTATATGCCCGGACGAAATCGAAGAAAAATTCATCGGTATTTTGTTTGATATTTTTTTACCAAAACGATAGAAGTGTGCCGTACAAGTTGAAAATCCATACTTGTAGTATTTTTCCTGATCTTTCTGATTCTGATAAAAGTTTTCGAAAAATCCGATCCAGAAGGTCAAAATTTTGACATCTGAAGAGAAAATGAGTTTTCCAAGTCCGGATCTGGAATTTTTTATTCATAGTACGTCATCTTGTGGAGTGTCATTAGAGGTAAGTTGCTAGTGAATTTCAGCCGATAACATCGAGACGTTCCTGAAATATCGTTCATTGAAGTTTTGCCCCGAATTCGAATAATGCCCTGTATTTCTGTAAAGAATAGGCGAAAAATATTTTATTATATATATATCAACTTACCTTGACCTCCTCCATCCGCCATTGGGCTATGGCTGGTTAGTCATGACTCACCCTGTATATGTACATACCAACTTGCTATCGACCTCCATTGGGGTCCTTCAGCCTTATCATTCAATATTTCGTGAAGAAATAATTTTCTATTCAATTTATCGTATCCTTTTACCCACTCGAGGAGACGCTATGTACTCTCATAAAAAAATCAAGGACAGAGAAAGATGGTGTTGTACGGCACAATCATATACATTCATACTCAACTAGAAACAGTGATGATATCTGCATACCACTCTGTAGAATTAAGAAAACACAAAATTCATATAGATATATCAGTGCTAAGCTCTATAATGCCCTACCACACAGCTATAAAGGTTCAACTTATTCAGTATTTAAGAAAAAAATACATGATATACTGATGTTACATTGTTTTTACTCAGTTGAGGAGTTTCTCCTCCACATGCCCTCCTGTACATGCGAGTTCGATGTTGATATTTGAACCATGAATTTATTCTCGTGTGTCATGTTTTACTTTACTTTTTTTATTTTATATTATTGTAGTGCCTGTAGTTTAGATTGTAAAGTGTATCTGTGACGAGTGTAAAATTCTTGTAATTTTATATAAAATAAATTATCATTATCATCATTATGGATGTACAGTCATCTTCAGAAAACATGTCGCACATGGACGGTGATAGCATTCTTAATAACTCATGCAATAAGAGCGCTGACACCGTCCAACCGCGACATGATCTCTGAAGACGACTGTACTCTTCCCATGACTTGTGGAGGAAGGAAGATGCGAGGATCCTTTATCTAAGCGAAAAACATATTCTTGTCCTTGTCTGGCAAAACATATGATTTGCTTCAAAATCGTTTGTGGTTATGTTTGATTGTCACTGCTTGTCTAGTGTCCGTACTCTGATATACAAAAAAACATCAAAACAGCAGTGTCAAGTACATTTAGGAACTATAAATAGTCGTACGGTTTTTCATCTCAATGACGGTTAAACCTAGTTGGACCACAATATACGTAGACCATATTAGCAGTTGTTCGTCAGCAAGTGCAGAGTTTACGCCTTGTCTATCTATTGTTTTCAAAAAATATGAGGATTCAATCGTTTTCATAGTAGTTGAGAGTAAAACATGTCATCCGCTGATAGTGAGGTCCAAGTGGGAGCAGAAAAAGAAAAAAACAGCCATGTCAAACTATAGGCAGCTTCTTCTACACATAGATATGTGACAACATGGGAATATATTGATGGTTTTTTTCCTACAGTTTCAAATTAATAAACAAAATAGAGAAAGCCCTCTGCTCAGAAGCTACGTTCATAAAGAACCCGTCCCTGTATAAACAAGAAGATCGCTATTATAAAAAAAGTTATATCATATAGTTGGAATTTCACTACCATGTTAAAGCATAGACAACGACAAATGTAGAAAACGATGACATAATCTTATGATTAAACTCCAGAACACTACATAAGAATTCGAACTCGAAAAATATCAAAATGACCAACTTTCGATAAAATGCATGGAAACTTGAATGTAAAACTAACATTCAATGTACTTTCCATTAGTTACTCGAATATCCGCATGAGAGCGTAGCGCTTATTTTGAATCGCCTCTAGTTGGTTGGTTAAATTGGTTATTCAGATTTTGATGTTGCCATTTATAGAGAACCAATCTGGACGTGAATCTGGCTGTCAACAATTTGCTCTCGAGAGACGACGAAGAAGGAGAAGAAGGCGATGATGCCGCGGAGTCCTACGTGCCGGAAGATCTGATATCTTTGCTGGACGGAGGTTTCCACCCCGATCATTCTGTGATCATCGACGCGGATGCAATGTTTTCGGAAGACATGTTCGGATATTCCGGTATCAGGAAGTAAGTCATGGTTTTCGTGATGTTTTCATGGTTTTACTGCAACCTCTTCAATTGTGATTAGTAATTTTTGTGAAACTGAAATTCGCAGGACAATAATATTTCTTCAGGTAATGAATGGTTCTTTCAGTGTGTATTTTATAAAAAACAACAATAAAGAGAGTACCTCCATTTATACAAGGTCATCAAGTTTCAATGAATATTACGTGAGAATCGATATATCAGAAATACATAATAGTAATATTTCAAACACTTCAATAGGAAAGTCATTAGTTCAAATTGTCTTGTCTCTATCAGATATTTACAAATATTTTTAGTAGTTGATATGTGAAAGTTTCCATTTTGGTGAAATATCAATGCATAATTTTTGACAGATACTGTATTGTCGACAGTTTGTAATCGCCCATTGGTTTTAGTGAACCGAATCAAAATTCAGTTCTCGAAATAATCAACTACTTATATGATTCCATTGTATCTTGTTCAGTATTGTTATGTTGATGTTATTTTTGTAATAGTTCGGTTTGCACATTATATCTCATGATAAGAGCGAAAAATTTAACAAAAACTGCAATTTTTAGACTATTTCAAAAAATGAAAAAATTAAATTGATCTCACAATCAATTGATACTTTCGTTTTTGTGGCTTTCTCGAATACATCGAAGCTAGGTGAAATGAAGGAAGGGAGAGATGTAGGGTTTTGCAAATCATTGATTTCGTTATCTTCCTTTCGTTTTATTTGAAATGAATCCTATTCCCAAAGATATTGAAGAATTTTCATTGGTTTATACAATAGAAAGTAACGACTTCCTGTCTGTGGCGTTAGCACTAAAGGGTTACAGCTTCCTGCATTTTTAACAGCCTGTTTTTGTTTAAATATAATAATGTTCGAGATCGTTCATGTATTTATACTAGTAAAACCTAGTTAAAGTTCTGGTTGAAGGTAAGAATATCGATTTTAATTAATAACTATAGTCATTCTGAAGCACCAAATTATATTTTGTTCGATAAGTTGTGAACATAGTAAAATGGTAGACATAAACGATTTAAATTTCATTCAGAATAATTCAGAAACAACTTCAGGTGCTTGTTATGTCATGGATAATGTTTGATTATTCTCTTGGGTGAGCCTAAACAATTTCAAAGCTATGCCCCAATGTAAGATTTTTTTTTTCTGTGACGGGAAAAAAGTTTGGCATTTCATCTCTGTTGGCGGGTTATAAAATGTCACTTTTCATAAATTACTTTTTTCCCGTGGGAAAAAAGTGAGTACTTCTTTCCCGGATATATATCACATATATATACTCTGTTAATGGCTTTTGTTGTGCTATAGTTCCGAAAAATAAGTCAATAATACCGTCTCCGAGAAAGAACTGCAAGTACTTTTATCTTCCATTCGACTTCGCGGTTTCGTATATTACTAAACAACTACTGAATTCGCAATTTTTTAAAATCAAATCACAGAATTGTACTGACAGAAGTGACATCAGATATTTGATTACTTCAAAAGAATGATAAAGATGTCTATAAAACGCAGGTGTCCCTACTGTTAAAAACTTGAAATTTCACGTCGATAATTTTCAGATTTCGAAATAATGTAATATCTTCCCAATATTGATTCGTCCTTCCTTCTGTCACAGAAAAAAATAGTGTATTATACACGGGAAAAATATTAGATTTCAGCTCACGGTTTTTTGTCTCCCTCCGCTACGCGTCGGGAGACAACACATTAACACAACCTGGAGCTAAAATCTACTACTTTTTTCCCTTGTATAATAAATATCTATTATTGACTCGGCCGTTGATGGAAATCCATAGCAAATGTAAAAACTTCACAAACGATGAGATTTCCACAAAATTCTCAAGATTCTTAATCACACGACATGTTTCACTAGCACAGTAGCTTCATCAGGGGAAATACTGGTACAATGAAAAAAAAAAAACATGTGTGAATGAATTTTGTAGAAATCTCATCGTTTGTGAAGTCTTTACGAAAGGTTTTTGAATTATTGAATAAACTGTATTATAATAAATAATGAGGCAAACAATATTTGGTATAACATTCTTTGCTTGAGTCCTGTTGTTTCCTACCACCCTGTATAAATCATTTACAATATCCCATCTATCACCCTATCATTAACAATACTCAATGTTGCCAGATGACTTGTAATGCTCTGTACTCCCCCTCCTTTCATAATATTATCCAAGGCTTATATCCATGTAGTATTTAGATATGTAGTTTATCATCATTTATGTAGCCCAATATCTACGCATTTTCTTCACAATTTTCTGTACAAATAAGTTACTATCTTGATTTGTACAGCATACTGGACAAATAGTGCTTTCCTACCTACCGGCTTCACTAAATTGACCAATGACCACAGAAAGTGTAGGTAAACAAATAGATATGGCAACTGAAACATTATAGTCAGGATGTCATCGCGTTTCTGTTCTGGCCTCTGATCTTCTTCATCGCTGCTGCTGCTTGTCAGATCATTGTTGCTTTGATGTTTTTTGTATCTAATATTTTTGCGACCGATTGTTCAATTACTACTCTAAATGTCTAACTACCAACAACTGAAAAAAAATAACGGCAAAACACGTCGATTTTCAATCCTCGAGGAACACATTTTTATCATATCCTGATCTGTCACATGTCATTCTCCTCTCCTCCACTACACTGAATTTGAATCTATTAGGTAATTGATGACAAAAATCGGCAACATGAATGTCAAATAATTAGCGTGTAGGCCCACCATCTTCTCCTTCCACTATGCATATATGTAATTATTAAAATATTACTTGTCAGTGCAGAGCAGACTAATTTGGGATGTTAGATAATCATAAATTCTTCTTCATAAGATAATGGCAATAATGGTACCCAACACCAAACAAATGAATCAAAAACAGTGTTGTCAGCTCAAAAATCATCCATTTTTCAACAATATATTTTTGAAATAAATGCTTCTTGCAAAATAACGATGTCCTTTCCCTCAATGAACAGAATCAATTTGATAGTATAAAATTGTTCAATGCATTGAATTTCCGTAAGTAAATAAAGATAAAATTTCTCATCTGTCTTGGTCCTCAACATGATATATTTCATATTTCATAATTCCATAACTTCAATGTTCTCATACAGTACAATTCTTCATCTTTTATTGGCTGTGCATTCTGTAGCTGTGGTCGTGGATTGGTATCACTGCCTGTCAGTTGTCTGTGCTACATTGACATCTGTCAACATGCCTGTCAGTGTCTGTTATCATGGGATTTCCGTCCTCCACTACTTATGATTGCTACTCAAGTAGTCAATATTAATTTTTTCATTATTATCCCGGTGGCCCTTATGCTATGGAACCGGCTTGAGTTTGACCCACCGTAAATCAATCTGAAAATTTTAACTTTGTAATTGTGTTCCGATAATGTAATGTGTAACAAGTTTCTTCAATTTCTATGTAATTGCAGATAATTTGTTCATCTTCATGAAAGCGATTGTATGCTAAGAATTTCAATTACACTCATTTTTTTCTCTTGCATGACCAATTTCTTATAGGCTGATGATAGACATATGTATGTCCGAAAACATGTTCCCCCTGATGTGACATTGTTCACATAGTAAACTGTCGTGGAGATGATTTTAAGTTTTATTCAGTTATTACAACTACACTCCATTTTGAGAAATGTTGGCCTTCTACCAGAGATTAATATTGTTATCACTGGAACTTTTTACCAATATTGCAGTTATTGTCGAAACAAAATACAGAAGTGCATTGCAATATTGTTATATTTTATGATCGTAGCCATATTGTTTTCTTAGCAATGTTATAACAAGATCCTCAAAGGATCCACCCGAATACCATGAAAAATCATTGAATGGATCACCCCACCTTATCTGGCAACACTTGACTACATTTTATTTTTATTTAATCCCCAATTTTCGTTTTGATTTTCCACTAACTTCTATTCTGAAAATGTTTGACTTTGCTCAAACAAGCTTCCTTAACAGTCGGGGCAGCGGCAGCCGTAGTCGCATCCAGGAGCGCGACGCTGCGCCCGGCAACGCTTCGGGCTCGGACAGGGACCGCGAGACCTTCTCCAGGTGGCGCGACAGGCAGTACTTCGGACCGAGGCGGTGGTTGGAATCCGCTCTCAGGGACAATCCGTACGAGAAGGACGTAGGTAGGTCCAGTGTTTGCCGACGAGTGAAAACGCCAATGTGCTATTGGAAAAAAGCTAGATCACTAAAAAAATGAGCTGCAGGCGAAATTGTTTCGAAATCTAGCTCATTTGAAGCTTTTTTCTGTGACGGGAAATAGTAGTTTACCTAACAAGTGCGGAAAGTGACACTTTTCCACACATGTTAGGTACACAATTTTTTCTACTAGCGTGCGGAAAAAACCCAAGTGTTAACATGAAGAAAAATTTATTATTAAATACACATAGTTCGCAAATTAATTATTATTAATATCAATATTAAACGAGCAATTTGTTGCATTCTGCAAATTAATTGCAGAAGCTAAAGTTTTTTCTAATGCAGTGATATTACGATTTTCCATTGCTTTGTCAGCAACCGTGGCCATCGGAACTTGGCAGGAAGAGGTCATTTCGGAAGGCTTCACTGGCAACAGCTGCTGACTAAAACTTAACGAATTTACTTCCGCACGCTAATAGAAAAAAAGTTTTTCATTTCATCTCTGTTGGCAGGTTATAAAATGTCACTTTTCATAAATTACTTTTTTCCCGTGGGAAAAAAGTGAGTACTTCTTTCCCGGATATATATCACATATATATACATCGTTGATAGCTTTCGCTGTGCTATAGTTCCGAAAAATGAGTCAATAATACCGTCTCCGAGAAAGAACTGCAAGTCCTTTTATCTTCTATTCGTCTTCGCGGTTAAGTATATTACTAAACAACCACTAAATTCGCAATTTTTTTAAATCAAATCACAGAATTAGACTGACAGCAGTGATACCAGATATTTGATTACTTCAAAAGAATGATAAAGATGCCTACAACGCATGTGTCCCTACTGTTGAAAACTTAAAATTTCACGTCGATAATTTTCAGATTTAAAAATAATGTAATATCTTCTCAATATTGATTCGTCCTTTCTTCTGTTACAGAAAAAAATAGTGTATTATACACGGGAAAAATATTAGATTTTAGCTCACAAAATCTACTACTGTTTTCCCTTGTATAATAAATAAATATTAATTTGCTCTAACAGGTTTCACTTTTCTCTACGTAAACACAAAGTTGCAAACATTACATTATCGTTTCGTTCAATCATCTTTTTGAACACATCAGCTGACGAGAATCTTGTCTGTTATGGATATTGAACGTACTGAAATTTAGGCCAAACCCTCAAGTTTGATTAGATAATCTCGATCAGATAGCTTTTCTCAGAATAATTTGCAAATAACGGGTTATGAGGGAGAGTTCTACTGTGACTTTATCAATATGTGTCTATATGAATATATTTTTAGTATAAACCTAAACGAAATATTCGACTCCTGCCATTTCAATCAGTCGTCACTTCAATTTGCGCCAAAAAGTAGTTTCTTGACTCTTGGGAACAAAAAAATTCGAAAAAAAAAATCTAGTCAACCATTCACCTGTCATTGCCCTTTCCGGTCCATGCAAATATCCCATCACCTTATTGAGTTTCACCGAACAATATTGTCATGAGTAGAACATACGGTATATTAGTAATTTCGAACCATGAGGGTTTTATAAACATAAAGTTAGTCAAATGATCCGTTGACAGTGAATACTGACCAAGGAACTCTCATGAGAAATGTGCGAATCTTATTAATTGATGTATATGAATATTGGATGTGAGGGTTCCGAAGTTAGTCTGGTCTGGGGCTACTCTTGACTTGACAAGAGCTCGTCGTAATGGTCATTATATTGTAAGTTGTTATTAAGTCTATATTCATTGTTGTTTATTCATATTTATCATCACAACCCAAAATGTTTCATGTTTCAATAAATATTGTTATGTTTGACTATAGTCTCATACTTTCAGGCACCCCTAAACTATTAGTGCCTATTTGAATATTACCTCTTGCAAACTATTAAGCCAAGCATTACCCCTAATAAAGCGATATGGATAGAGAAACCATCTATTATATCGTAACATGGTGGAAGCATATTATATCATTTTTTTTTATTTATTTATTTACGGGAAACCCCCATTTACAAGTTTGAATACAGTATGAATATAAGAATATAATGAATATAATTAATATACACCATGTCTCAACACATAGGTACTCACTTAACAATTTCGATAAGGAAATGAGAAGAATAAAATCATGAAACGAAACAATAGGCTATAAGCTATCACGCAAAGACATCTTAAACTTATTAAATGAACATCCTAATACATCTAAATTATTTTTATTTATGAATCTTAATGTCCTTTCTATTGGATTATGCTGTCCATAATTTGTGACATGAAATGGTATTTGAAATAAATATGGAAATCTAAGGACTCTATTTGGGACATTAAACGTAATTAACTCCAGTAGTTCCGGACAGTTCACAGCACCATTCAATAATTTGAAGATAAAACAAATCTAACTTGAGTCTTCTACTACGCAATGGAATTAAGTTAATTTCGTTCATAATATGCATATATTTATGGTTTTCCCAACGAATGTTCAATTTTAAGGCACAATACCTCAGAAATTTGTTCTGTACTCTCTCCATGGCTATATTATGAACCTGATAAAGAGGAGACCAGGATGCATAAGTCAGTTTAGAAATGACCAATGACATATAGACCTTCCTTATAGAATCCACTGAGAATTCAGAGCAATTACGAATAATCATTCCAAAAATCTTTGATGATTTCACTGAAATGGTGTTTATGTGATTTACAAATCTCATTTGTTCATCAAAAGTGACCCCTAGATCTAGAACAGTTGGAACGTATCTGAGAGGACTATTGTTTATACTATATACAGTATCAAACTTCTTATAACCCTTGAAAAAGCTAATGAAACAACATTTATTGATATTTAGATGCATATTATTTTCCATATACCAATTATTCAATCTGATCGTCATATCGTGACAATATCACCCCTTCAATGTTTTTTTTTTGAACGACACATATTAGATCATAAGAAGAAGGACAACGCGTGCCCGTTATGGATATCGGACGACCTGGAATTCTGGCCGGACCCCGCGCCCAAATTCGTTCAGATCGCCACCCTCTACAGCGAGCTGGTCGCTCTCTCGGCCAACGGCCAGCTCTACCAATGGAAGTGGAACGACCACGAGCCGTACCGCCATCCCGACAACCTCAACGTCCACCATCCGAAGACGGTCGCCCTCGGTCTGGCCGGAGAGAAGGTGTGTGGAAATCTATTTATTCTTCTCAAATCGTTGCAAGTTGCAATATACAGGGTCTTTCAAAACGATATATAAATCGTTACAGAATTTTAGGAAATAACCCAGTTGCGCCAATTTTAAACAGGTGCAAGAAATCGTGTAATAATTGCGCCCGCAACCAACCAGCCCCTAAAATCATCATGACCCACTTGCGCCAATTGTCTCTACGGGAGACCTATTACAGATTATAGTGCTAGAGGATTAAGAGAATGGGAAGGGTGCCCGATAGGAGATAGGGTTGAGATAGGGTTTTGGGAATGCCGGTTTTAGTTTGCAACTGAAATACTTCAAATAATCATTGACAAAGTATACAAGACATTTATTCAAAGTGTAAAAGACATTTATTTATATACAAATTTTATTATAATGATAAGACGCAATTTTTACAAAATCGAACCTCTCAATTTGTCCTTGTTTAAATAAATTCAATTTTTCCGCTAAGATTTCAATTCTGTCTATTATACGATTTATTTGTAATTTTAATTGGTGAATGAATAGTATTAATTTTAATGTAAGTTTTAGTTTGAAATTCCTTCAATATTTGAACAAATTCAGAAATATCCGGATGAGGTGCATACAAACTTTTTAGTTAAATCAGAATGAAAGGATTCACAGCAATTTGTTGTTCTGTCACTACTAGCTTCAGTACAAGCCCAAATTTTAGGAGGACATTTAGAATCCTCGTCTATATAATTATCAACAAGATAATCATAATAATTTCTCAATCTTGCGTCATTCGTCAACTTTTGATCAAAATCAAAGGCAAAACAGTCTCCCACTGTTTCTGGCTCTAAAAATGTCGAGCCAAGTGTCCAATGTAAAATACTTCCAATAAGTGAATCATTGTTTTTGTATTCGGACATCACCCCTAAACTTTGTATTTCTCTATTCCAAGCTTGACTTAGATGAAATCTGCATCCTATAATTTTCGTTTCTGGCCACATAAATCTTATGCATAAATGAATAGAGTTTTTAAAATACCATGCAACTTCAGCAGGTTCTAATTGATATCCTAGTTTTACGCATTCTTGGCTCACGATTTCGAAACATTTGTTAGGGTAGGGGGTGTTTCGATAATGAGCAGGGACAGTATGTCATTGATAACCTGCTGAGTCTATAGATTAGGATTATTTAAACCATCGGCGCAACTGACTTCGACTATCGAGACCTGGATTAGAACAGGTAGAATAGGCGCAATGGGGTTATCCCCGAATTTTATTTCTGACTGGAAGCTAGTTTCTCAATAATACTTATTTAACCAACTAGTGTATTAATGAGGGCGATTAATGATTGAGATATTTTAATGTTCGAGATCATTAATCGCCTTTTAATATACGATTTGGTTGCACAATTTTTCCGTCGACCTAATTCCTGATGAAATGGAAGAATTCTTGATCAGAACATATTTATTCAACAATAACAACAGTATACAAATTATGTTGAACATCAATGATCATTATTTGATTCATGTTTGGATGCATTTATATTGAGATTTGTTATAGTACAATTGGTAAAATTGATAGAGGGCACAGTTAAACTCTCAGCCGTTTGATATTTTGAATTCAAAGAATTTTTGATTAATGTCGTTACTGTGAATATTTGTAACATTATTATGTGTTTCGGCGCTGGTAGAAGCAGTAGCGTAATTAGGAACACTTATGGCAGTTTCGCAAAAAATTTCCTCAGCTACGTTAACTTTGTTTTGAATTGAATTTTCAATATATCCCTCAGCAACAGCAGTGGATTTCCAACCACCAAGTCGTTTGATTGCCGAAAAGTCTGCTCCACTGTCAGAAAGAATCGATACAGAAGAACGCCGAAAACAATGTCCAGTGTATAGTTGTGGTTGTTCTAAATTTAGAAATTTCGCTATGACTGACGGCAATTTGGCAAATGCCAACTGGTTGTACTGAACATTTATCGTTTCTGTAGAAGATGAAGAAACGTGTGTGAGGTGCATGAGCTGGTTTCAATGAAATATAGCGTTTTATCAAATTTAGAAGTGTGTATTGTTCATTGTCTACCACGGTGAATATCCTGTTTGTATGCGTTCTAGTTGCCTTTATTGTCACTAAAAATTTTGAACCCATATCTTGCACGTCATTCATTGTAATTTAAACAGTTCATCCTTTCCCAATGCGCCAGCCACTCCGAAAATCAATGCCACCTACAAAATGAAATGATGATAGATATTTTTTGTAAACAACAATTCATTTTTTCTGGTAATAAAGCCAAATAAGCCACTTTAGCAGTTTCTGCTACATCTGGGGTTTTTAAAGTAACATTTTCGTCCATATCCATTTTTCTTTAACTACCTACTCAATAATATTATACTTTTGACAGCGCGAAATACCTCGGTAAAACATTTGAATTCGTGTAATCGTGTATGCTTGGTTGTCTATGCTACTATAGTGCATCAATAGACAACTCGTTCATTAATAGGGGGTCATTAATGAACGATTCCATATACATTAAACTTCGTCGTTGATACGAGGTCGACGGAAAAACAATAAACTTCGGTTTTTGCATGCGAAGGTGACGCAGCTGTCGGCGTGCTCGATGCGGTGCTCCGTCGCGACGGAGACCGGTAAGGTGGCCACGTGGTTGGACGAGCTGCTCACGCCGGCGGCTAGTAAGTTGGAGCACGCCGCGCAGGCGTACAACGAGTTCCAGACCGACAAGGTGGCGGCGCTGTTCACTTGTCCGCTGTACAGCGTGGCCAAGTTGGAGAGCGGCAGTTTGTATTGGTGGTGAGTTTTTTTTTTTAGCGAATCAATGGGGAAGTTTCCGATAATGGGGTCTTCATCCCACTGTAAGTTTGTGAACTGTAGTGATATAATAATAGCAATATGTTTTTTACCTTGTTACATTCTCACTATTAAGATCAATTGAGTTAGAAGGAGGTGAGACGGGTCTGAGTTGTCGATTGAATAAGAAGAACGTTTTTATCTGTCAGGAAGGGCAAGTGAAGAAAACATAGCCCAACATAATTCAACCAAAATGTAAAATGGCTGAGGAAATTCATGAGGAGCATAAAAATATTATTGTGGTGAGTATTCAAAAGAATTAACCTGTGGACTGAAACTTCAAAGCTGAAAGCATGTCAAAATGAAAATATAACCTCACAATTTTCAGCGCAGAACCACAGAATTACAAGAATTAATCCAGTCTCACCTTTTTCTCACTACAACACCAGATGAATAGCAAGCTCAGTGGGGGTGAGGGGGAAGAAATAGTCTCGATAAGTTCTCAAGATAACTCACATCAGACTAAGATAAATAAAACATGTAATACAACTGAGCTATTGGGCTGCACTGAGAATCTTGGTTAATCTCAGTCAAAGTTGGTAAAAATAATATTACTAATACTTTCATCTTAATTTTTGAGATAAGCCACTGGCGTCCATTTACATTTCGATACGAATTTGAACGCCGCTACTGTTAATGGTTCACTTACAGTGTTGCAGCTGATGCATGATTTGTTCGTCAGCCATATTGGATAAGCATTCTAGTCGTGAGCAATGAACTCAATATAAACACCTGGAGGGAGACGGCCGGTTTCTCAAATAGCACAAAGTGTGTCAGGGGCAGCTGCAACAAAGATAGCTTGTGTTACGGTAAGCTGCCTCTTTCACACTCGTGTTGTTTGATGGCGGATTGGTGTATACATTTTCTTTTATTCAATGATTGGAGTACTTGAGGTCTCTCTTTCTCATCTAAACAGGCAAAAAAGTGAAGACAGACAGGCGTGTTTTGTTTCTTCAAAAGGACTGAATTTGTTGGTGTGAATTGACAATTGTTGAAAAGATGTGTGATTTAGAATTAATAAATAATGGTTATTTATATTGTGTTGCCTTTGGATGCAAAATAAGCAAGGCAAACAGAAATTGTCCTCCATGGGTAAGTTGAAGATTGTTAAGATTCTTAGAAAACTATAGTAATTTATTTTCAGGATGTGTTTGTTCATAACTTGGACTCTAAGGACTGTGATATAGATTCAATAAGTCATAATTCAAGTATATTGTTAAATGAATTGGTGCTTTGATTATGATTATTCTACCTAAGTAACGATACATACAATGAGCAATGTCAGCAATCTCAAACATTCCGTAAGAGCATTGCACTGACAAAAGTAGGTTTTTGTTAATATTGTAGTCACCGAACTTTCGTACTTTGATCGGACTAAAAGTGCTGATCGATATATTAGAACAGATATTCATGTTGGATGGCCTGAGAATAGTGGAAGAATGTATCATGTACTTGTGAATGTAACATCGGTGATCAGAATAAACCAACTTTTCCGGTAACTGTGTTTATTTAATCTACCCGCAACAACCAACATTTCAGGACAATGTTTTTCATATGGACATTGCTGACTTGCTTACAACTTCCAGCTACCATGTAAGTTTCAAAGTTTATTGATAATGAAACCCACAAACTGTTTCATTTGAGAAGGCCTATTCTATCGCGAAGAAAAGTGAAACAGTGAAACAAAAAGTAAAAAGGAGAATGACAATCTTGATGAGTTACTAAAAAACATTTTGAAGGTAAAAACTACAAGTTCAAATTTTTAAACTCAAGAGCTACATCATAATATTGTTTTTTCAGATTTGCCTTTGGAGCTTCTTCTTGTTCAGAAGGGAAAAAATGAAGGTTTAAATTCTGGACGACGCAGATATTTATCTTTAATGAAAAAAATCGTCCTAACATTGTACTTTAATCCACCTCTCATTCACCTTCTAATAGTGAAATAAAGGCTTAAAATAGACCTTAGGTACTCTTTTCAATTTTTCTATTTCTTCTGATAGTGCTGAGACATTTGTGCTTTGCTCACCCTGTACAATATATTGTGAAATTTGAATGCGAAAATATATAATTTCAATGTTGTATCCATTTGCCTTCCTAATCCTGTAGGAATAAAAATTGAATTTCACTTTTGAATCAATGAAAAAATCAATAATTATTTTCAAATAATTATTGATTGCAACATTATCCTTTTTCCTAAATGAATATGTATATTTAATCACATTATATACTCTTGAATTTGAAAAAAACAATAAAACATTTCAAATAATGCGAGCGCTTCCCGTTAGCCAACATAAAATAGAAAGATATAGGTATCCGTAACCACTGCGGGTTGCCTGAACAATATTTTTGCCTCACTCGTCGTTCACAGAGGATCCCTGCCAGGTGTTTATATTGAGTTCATTGGTCGTACGGTAAGATAATAAGTTCTGTGGATATAATGGAGTACCTCTTATGCCGTACCTCATGCCATATATTTACGAACTAGAGTACCGTATCATTTTTTACCGTGAACAATCTACATTATGTTTGTTAGGGGAGTGTTGCCGTTCGCTCAAAGAAAACGCCTATGGGAAAAGTACCGCGCAAAGTGCCGCAAGCAGCGCCCCTCCAACAACCAATCGGAGATCGTCGCCGGCTCTCAGGTGTGCATGAAGAACAGCCCCATGTACCAGCCGGGCGCGATCGGCTTCACCGTGGCCGGCGGCGTGCCCAAGGTCGGGCAGCTGCAGAACGCGGCTTGGACGTTGAATGACACTTGCACATTCAAGATAATGAACGTGAACAGCTCCAGCGTGTCGGACAAGAATCGCAGCGATCTTGCGGCGAGCGCTAGTGTGCTAGGTGAGTTCAAATGTGGTGAAAGAGATTTTTTTAATGACTATATGCGACTGAATTTAAGATCGCAGCGCCAAAGTGGCTTCGATTTATTGATAGTGATTTGAGCAAAGAAAACTGTTCATTTGTGTACTCTTATGATTCGAGGGAGCTTTTCAGCAGATAATCGTTCAATAGATTGAGGAAAAATGAAAATTCCCCAATTTGAGGTTACGTTAGTTTGAATTTCATTTCCATTGAATATGATGTACACAAAATAGGTATTCGAGATGTATGTATTATTGTATAACATGTGTTTATGAAAGAAAAAAGTCCTCAAAGCTGGATGTAAAGTCATGTAAAGAAAAGCAAGAATAGCTGAAAGCTGAAAATATATACAGAGTACATTTTGTCAGGTACATTGGTTACAGCAGGCAAATATGCAACTGGATCAAAACCATGATTGGAAATCGGTACGTCATATCATCACTGCATGGAGGGTCGATCAGGTTTAGAGCGGCAAAAGGTTGTCCACAGGGCGGGGTACTTTCCCCCCTTATGTGGTCATTTTTGGTTGACTCTGCTGAGCGATCTCTCCATGCAGGGGGTGGATTTCCAATGCTATGCAGATGATCTCGTCCTAATAGTAAGAGGGAAATTTGAAGCGACGATCTCAAACGGCCTACAAGAAGCCCTCAATACTGTGTACAGATGGTGCGAGAGGGAGCAGATGTCTGTGAACCCCCGGAAAACTGTAATCATCCCTTTTACAAAAAGGCAAAAGCTAGATAAGCATCGTCAGCCTGTCCTATATGGAGAGAGCATTCCGTTTGCGACGGAGGTGAAATATCTAGGGGTCACCCTAGATAAAAGACTCACCTGGAACGCCCATATGGCAAAAACTATTAACAAATCCAGATTTTCCCTCTGGAACCTCAGAAGGGTATGCGGCAAATCATGGGGACTGAACCCCAAACAGATTTACTGGATTTACCAAACAATGGTAAAACCAATGGTCACGTATGGCTCGGTAGTCTGGTGGACTAAAGGTCTGCAGGGAACAGCCAGGGCAAAGCTTGCTGGTCTCCAGCGGCTGGCGTGCCTGGCCATTACAGGGGCGATGTCCTCTACTCCAACGGCAGCGATGGAAAACCTCCTGAACCTCACTCCCCTCCACATTGTCTTGGACAGGAAGCCAGGATGGTTTCCTACAGATTCCTGTCATTGGAAAATCAAATCAGAGGGGGGCGACTGCTGGACCACTCCGGGATACTGTGTGAAACAAAAAATCACCAAACTCTAGGAATGGTTTCCGACATGTTGGCCACTCACGTGAAAAAGTCTTTCAAAGTCCTCTTCCCGAAGAGAGACGAATGGGCAAGCGGATCAGTCCGATTCCCAGAGACCGAACACGTAATGTACACAGATGGTTCGAAAACCCCTCGTGGAGTGAGAGCCGGTGTGTTCAGCAGAAAACCGAAGACGGAAATTTCCGTCAATCTCGGCAAATATGCTACAATCTTTCAGGCGGAGGTATTCGCAATTGCATTGTGTGCTAGAGAGTTGTCGAATAAACCTCTAGTAAACAAAAATATCAGTATTGTATCAGACAGTCAGGCTGCTCTTAAAGCACTGAGCTCCAGCAAGATAAATTCCAAGCTTGTATGGAGCTGCATTGAATCCCTAGAAAGCCTGGGTGCTAACAACAGAGTCACTTTGCTGTGGGTGCCTGGACACCAGGGGGTGGAGGGTAACGAGAAAGCCGACATCCTCGCCAAACAGGGAACCGAATCTGTGTTCATAGGACCAGAACCATATTTTGGGGTCACCGCAAGTGCGGCGAAAACAACTATCTCGGGCTGGGAGGAGGGAAAAACACTCATGTACTGGTCCGAATTACCAGGATTAACCCATTCGAAGGCGTTCCTGCCTACACCATCGGAAAAAATAACCAGGCAGATCCTAGAATGGAGCAGGGGTAACCTGCGAACTCTGACTGGACTGCTTACGGGGCACTGTCGTCTAAGATACCACCTGGGAAGGATGGGTCTGAACCAACAAACGGACTGTCGGTTCTGTTGTGTGGAAGACGAAACGGCTGAACACATATTATGTTCATGCTCTAGCTTAGAAAGACTAAGGTTTGACACATTTGGCTTTACCAACCTAGAACCTATCGATTTCAGACAAATCTCACCCAATTCAATCATGAACTTTGTAAAAAGATGTGGATTGTACGGTGAACTGTAACCTCTAGGGGTGAGCCACAATAGACCCATCTGGGGTCGCAGTGGAGGGGAGGTGTTCGCCCCACTCACATGGAACCTAACCTAACCTACAGTGTCGTATTAAAATAGTCTAATTATCCCAGAATTTGTCACTACTTATCATTATTATGCGTTTGTTTGAAAGATCTTAATAATATTACAAATGTTGCCAGATCAATTCAAAGCTTAACCAAGCATTAAGTCTATTTACTCATGAGGTATTTTTTTAGATTTTTATTAAATGATTTGCTGTTACCTTCTCTGATTTCAACAGGCAGTTGATTATATATTTGAACACCCTTGAAGCAAATGGATTTTTTATAGGCTTCCATAGATGCATTGAATAAGAATAACTTTTTGCTATTTCGTGTATTGTATGAATATAGACTATCACATGCCGTAAATGACAGATTAGAGAATTTTTGTCTGGTAATGGTTTGATGAATGTGATTGGATATTTGGAGTTCATACATATTATCTGAACTTGAAATATTGAAGTTTTTATAAAGATTACCCGTAGTATATCTATAGGGCAGTGAGTATATATTTTTATGGCTTTATTTTGGAGTGTCTTCACTTCTTTAACCAATTTATTACAGGCTGGAAACCAAATCATCACCAGATATCGGAGGTGGCAATATATCAAAGAGTAGTACACTGATCTTATTAAAAATTGGAGCACCAATCTTTTTGGTCAAACGATTTTTGTGATTACTCCATGATAGTGTTGAGTCAATGTATAGACCTAGATATTTTATTTCACAGGAATATTTGATTTGGTTAATGCCAAAGAAGAGGGGTTCAGTTGAATTGATTTTATTGTTAGAAACGAACATGAAACATGACTTCTCGGTGTCTAAATTCAGACTTGCAAGCCATTTTTCAACAAGTAGAAGATCAAGCATCATGTCCTCTTTTATTTGTTCTAAAGATCTACCTGAGTAAAGTAGTATGGTATCATCAGCATACAATTTAATTCTCCCTCGGAGGCGCAGGTTTGATATTGAGTTGACATAAATCAGGAATAATGTTGGTCCTAATATTGTGCTCTGAGGGACACCACATATTAGTTTTTGATTAGTACTAGCTACGCCATCAATTGATACATGTTGTAGTCTGCCTGAGAGGTACTCTTTGAACTATTTCAAAACAACAAACTACTGATACCTAGTCTTTCTAATTTGGACAATAGAATATGGTGTTAGAATTATTTTTCTTTTTATTCCTGCAATAACTTTCCACGTCTGGGAATAAAATGCAACTGAATCGTTCATTTATACACTGATTGAAATTATCATTTTCTGTGAATTACAGCGAGAAAACTTTCATAAATAACATGTGATACGAAGCAATAATTATTTAATACTGTACTGAGGAATTCAAACTCGAGAAATATAATGATGACCACTAAACTTTCTATAAAATGCATACAAACTTGAATATAAACTAGATGCTGGATTATTTAATTGAATCGGAAAAGAAAATTCGTTGACTAAATCTCGTATTGCATATGACATAATCCAATGTTCACTTCTCCTAAAAAACAAGCTTTCCGAACCCATTTTTTTATTTGATGAAATACTGTGTATGGCCCTCGACAGATAGAACATGTCAAATAATTATGTAATTCTGGAATGAAAAATTACTCCTGGTTCCGAGAATTATCAAGCTCTGCATATTTCAATGGCTTTAATAATCATTTCAGCTAATCTATGCAGCAAAAGCTCCACCAACAAAGAAAATACAGACAGGTTGGATATGCCTCCTCCACCTTCACCTGCATCAAGCACCTGCAGTGATACTGGAAGTATCTCAAACAGTCACAGTAAGTACTAAACAACCACCTAATTCGCAGTTTTTAAAAATCAAATCACAGAACTAGACTGACAGATATTTGATTACTTCAAAAGAATGATAAAGATTCCTGCAAGAAGAGGCCTTCAACGCATGTGGCATTCCTGTTAAAATCTTCAAATTTCACGTCGATAATTTTCTGATTTCAATATAATGTAATATCTTCTCAATATCAATTCGTCCTTTCTTCTGTCACAGAAAAAAATAGGGTATTATACACTGGAAAAATATTCGATTTTAGCTCACAACACAACTTGTTTTTTTTTTCTTGCATAATTCATGACTATTTTTCCACGTCTCGTATTTCTGCCTGAGATCACATTGTTATGAAACTGTAATGTTTTGATGAACAATGAATGATTGACTGATCTAGTTGCATGGTTGTGATGACTACTTTGAAAATCTAAATTTGAATGCTTTTGACAATTTGAATTTAAATAGTGAATGTATATTCAACATTAGTGATAAGGTCTATTTCAATAAGTTCACTGGTTTTGAATCAAGTTCATCAACAAAAAATATCATTGTTGATATGTATTTACCTGCCAAATGTTTCACGATTTGAGGATAATGACTGAAAATTCACAGAAATTTTCACGGCAACAGCATTTTCACACCACAGTATAAGATTTTGCAATGTTGATATTTCATTAATTGGTTAGTATGCACTTGATATTTTTTCACTATATATCTCAACCCCTATCATTGTTAAAAAAAAACAGACTTACTTTGTGTATTTGTCCTTGGAAGTCAGAGGTACCTACATGTTACATAAATCCGACCTATGATTTTCAGAGCGTCAAAAAAGAATGGTTGTCACCAGTTCTGATCCCAGTAGCGATCAGAAGAAAGACGAAGAAGAATGGTTACTGAAAGACGTGATATTCATCGAAGACGTTCGGAGTGTGCCGTCCGGCAGAGTATTGAAAGTTGATGGTGCTTATGCGGCAGTCAGATTTCCTTCGGCACATACTAGAGATAGGGAATCCAAAGACGCAGACGACATCTTACAGGATTGCAGGCTCATGAGGAAAGATGATCTACAGGTAAGAATTATTTTGTTATTAGCCGGGGTTGCCCTCGCTTCTAGAATATTTAAGAATCTTCTTGAGAATTCTAAAATCCAATTAAATTTCAAAACAGCTCCTATTATATCGAAGAAAAAAAAACGAATTCTTTTTACCACATTTTCAGTATGCTAGTGACCTATTTCGATCTAAGTTATTTATTAGTTATCCTAATTCCCATCAAGATCCACTTTTCTATCAAGGCTGTAATATAAAATTTCTCATGTTCAAGTACTTGCACGAATAAGAAAAGCAGGATGCATAAAGGAAGTATCTGTTGTTTATGCAATGATAAAATTGTTGATTCATTGGTGTCATTTGAATTTGAGTAGGAACTGGAAACTCATCAGTGCTGTAATGATACATTACATTTCACACTTTATGGAAATGATGGCGCGCAAGTTTAGAAAAAGAAGGTAGAAATTGCTTATTTACTGTAATAATATTGATAATAACTTACTTTTTCATCTTTATTACTGAAATATCAATTCATTATTATAAAATGGATAAAACCTATCTGGCTCAAAAATAAAATATTACCTGATGTTGCATGTTGCCTCAAATTCACGTCATCTTGTAGAAGTGCAAAATGGACCACCAAAATTGAACAAACAACAAACCGATAACTAACTTGAAATCAGGCAATCAAATCAAAATTGTAAATTATCTGAGGTGACGTTTTGAAAACTCCAACCTAAAATTGTCGATTTTCACATATATTCTATCTATAAAAATGAGCTCTCGATGTTTCCAGACATTGACAGATAGACACATTTTCTTTCAATGAATAGGATATTATACATCTTGCCATTATAAGTTCTGATTTAGAACTCCAATGGTCAGACATGGAATGAATGACAGAATGAGTAGATTACAATGAAACATTCGAAACAATGTTCCTTTGGGAATAAAATTACTCAGCCTTCCTCAAACCTATTTTTCACTATGAAATGGCCCTAAAGGGAGAGGAAATGATAAGAAAATGTTCACTAGTGTCTTTCAAGTTTACTGTGTCTTAATTGTCATAAGATAAATAAATAACTAAAGTCTTGTTCTAGGATACCATGCATTGATTTTTTTATTGAACTGTATGAGAAAAAGTAAAACTCGACTTCCATATTTGGAAATTCTTCCTTTCATTTAGCTATCGTACAGCGTGATCTGTTGGGGTAATATTGAGGCAGCATTGATATCGCGAAAGAATATAATCCGGCAAATTGCGAGAGTACCTCGGAGGCACTCATGCAAAGTGCTTTTTATTAAATTTAACCTACTCACCGTTATCTCAGTATTTATTCTTGCATGCTGAATGTATGTGAAAAGTAGGATAAATCAATATAAAACCCTCCAAGATGTCCACAGTCATGATACTCGTGGAAAAACTAGAATATGCACTCCTCATTATCGCCTGAGCAGCGCCATGCAATGTCTCGATCAAAATATTCAATAATTCACCATCAGAAATGAAGGACATCTTAAGCATAAACAGGTTCAAGATACAATTGAAGAACTATTTGTTACCCACAGTTTATTACTCACTTAATCAGTCTTCTTAACTCACACAAGTCTCTGACTTTCGAGGGTTGCTTTGCAACTAAGCTGGCGGTTAAAAACACTTTTTAAAACACACTTTTTTCCAGTGAACCAAAACTGTAATCAAGATGAAAAATTCCATGTTAGTTTCAACTTTGTTTTAGTGTGGACGCTACAAGACATTTCGATTTCTATTATAATTTCATTTTATTTAGTGTCGTTTATTATTCATTGATAAAACATTGTTTTTACATTTTCTGACGCATCCTATATCATACATATCTGTTTGAACCTTTTATATGGATATGTCTTGATCTGAAAGGAATTAAAGAAATTTTGATTTTTTTTTAACTTAGTTGATTACTTCATCATACAGATAATTCTCTAGATCTGCATTCATTTTCAGGTCATCAAATCATCGTCGAATTCTCGAGTGCCAGATTGCTTCCAGAGAACACCCAGGCGAATTCAGATTTCCGAAAATGGTGGACAGATTTTGACGATCGCCGTGGACGGCCAAGGCATCCATGCGATCGTGAGAAACAATTCGAAATTGAGCTATGTGATATATAATATCAGCAGCGGGCGTGTAGAACAGGATAACCAGTTTCCCAGTGATACGGCTGCTTTCATGGGACTGCATCCGAATCATATTAATTTGACCTGTGCTGGAGAGGTATGTGAAGTGTATCATATTCACAGTAAGATATAAAATGGTCATGAAGCTCCAAATTTCTGTTTGTGCTATTAAATCAAAATGACAGTTACGTGTTCTGTATGTCTAAATCGAAGAGGAAGAGACTCTATTTATGCAGGAGAGACGTCAATTGCAAAACAAAACATTGAATTCTCTTGAAAAACAACGATTTTGAAGGTGATAATCTGTTGTTAATAGTTGATTTATGACCTAATAGATATCGAGGAAGGCAAAACTGTTTACTTATGCATACAAATATCCCTATTATAAACAACTATGTTTCTTGGGGTAAATAAGACAATCAATCAATCAATTATAAACAATAATCTTTCTTGAGGTAATAAAGACAATCAATATACTCAACATGCGTATCGTGATACGGTAGCAAAAAAAATATGCTGGTTTTGCAGAGCACAGAATCCATATTGATGCTGCGTGACGGCAACAACACCATCTATCCGCTGGCGAAAGACTGCGCGGAGGCCATCAGGGACCCGCAATTCTTGGACCTGCCGCCGGTGAAGTGCATCTCGGCCGGCACGCTCGCTCTGTCCGGCACCACCACCAACATGAAGAACCAGGTGGCGATCGTTGTATTCGCGCTCGAGCAGCAGCTGCTCATGCCGAAGATACTCAGGTGCGATATCGAGGCCGTGAGACAAGTGCTCGCGCAACTGGACAGTGATTACAGTGAGTTCTTTCTACTCATTTTCTTGGTTTCATCTATAGTAAGTAGTAAATAGGGTGACGACAATGGACCTTCGAATGGCTGCCGTTTTCGGAATGTCATACGTGGTCAAGTCACTGAATAGTTAAAAATCAGTAATGAATTTGCGCCTTCGAAGTGCCCACCTGATGTTGGATTTGAATATTCAATATTTTCATTGCATCATCTAAATTGAATAATCTGCGACTTATGGGTCCCAAAAGACGGATTCTAATAGTTAATTTTCAAGTTATTGAAGTATTGAGTTTGTCTAATTGTTGAATATTTTGTGTCCCAAGAGCAAAAACAGAGACAAAAGATGAAGCATTGGCAGAGTGAAATTTAATGCATGCATTTAATGGAGAAAACAAGACAGGTGCAGGATGCACCTCCATATTCTGACCAATTAAAATGTGTACCACTATTGTCGTCACCCTCTGTGAGGTGGAAGAAAAGAAAAACAGATGTTTATGCCCTTCAGGGAGAACTAGAAGTTTTGTCCGAGATATTGATTAAAAGCACTGTTGCATCAATGAGTGATATTATGAATATACTCAGTGGAAGAAAGGATGTACTAAAGCTTTTCTTTCGACTGTGTCAGCTTATATTTAATACAAGATATTCAGTTGCAAAAAATGAAAGATCACATAGTCGCTAAAGTTTGTGAAAAATAAGCTGTGAAAGATTTGCAGCGAAAGAGTAGATTCGCTCATGATAAGTATATCTAACAAGTACTTTAGTGACTCGTTGGATATTTGGGTTGGGCTGAGGGCTGTTACCAACCAACGAGCTAGAGAAATGTTCCATAAGATTATGAGGAATTTGTCAATGTCCGAGGGATATTCGGCGGAAAATAATTTGAAGTAGTCAAAGTCGATCGTGTTGTCATAGTTATTAATAATTGCACTGAATGCAGTTATCAAAATTTATTTTCAGTTTAATTTTTCAAATAGTTTCTGATAGGGTCTCAAATCACAAATGAAGTAATAGTCTCATTCAAACGAAATTTGCCACTTAAAACTACTGACGTCAGGATTTGAATGAATCACATAGTTTCCAGTTGTCTAAGTACATTGCATCCCATTTTGGTTGAGATTACCTGGCTTATCAATTGTTAGTGAAGATAAAGCCTTTTGGTTTTCACGATTCCCATTTACTTTTATGCAAAACTCAAGATGGCCTAATCAGATTTTGCATAACTTTCCGTTCATAAGATACATGGCGATATTAAACATACTTTTTGGACACCTTTTATGTCAACAAAATTATTATAAATAATATTGAGCTAATGAGCTAAGATATACATCTAACAGAGAATTTCGTACAGAATCAATTATTAAGGTAATCTTTACTATTATATTCCTCTTATTTATTCTTGCAGAAACATCGAGCATGATGAATCAGTCTTTCCTAACAGAGAAATGTGATGGAAACCGAAATATTTTCCATACTGTTGTTCATATGTGTACCCCTACGTCTAACAAGGATGTCGACAATGGTAAGTTGATTGACAGCACCTAGGTCACTGTTGAGTGATGTTGAATATCTACATTAACATACGGTGTACCTTATCAACTTGAACGGGTTGATAGCAAATACATTATTACCTACTAAGAAAACAAATCCAACTATTGATATATGATCTACTTGATCGTTAAGTAAAATGTAAGGATTTTTGAGTTTGTTGATTTCTAATGATTCAAAATGATTTAGTTCCATTCCTTCATTATCTACGCGTAGAATTTCGAAATTATCATCAAAATTATGGTTTTCTTCTAATATATGGTTGGCATATTATGTTGAATTTGTTTTCTTTATCAAAAAATTCATCTAATGTTGATGAATGCACTGATTGATCGTACGACCTGTCTGACCAATATATACCTTAGGACAAGATCCACAGTTGAGTTTTTATACCCCTGATTTATTTAGAAGTTTTGTCATCATTATTTTTGATAAACTTTATTTGTTCTATTAGTCCTGTTTATTAGCTTCCTTTCTACATTACATACATACAATTTTGTGGAAATCTTATCGTTTGTGAAGTTTTTACATTCGCCATGGCTTTCCATCAAGTAACGGCCGAGTCGATTCAAAATTTGATATATATGACTTGATAAATGAAAAATCTGGTCTGCCTGGAACGTGAAGTCACGACCCTTGCAAACCCACTGCACTGAGCCTCGATTAGTGTAATTAAGTTAGAAATCACATTCTGAAAACATTACATATAATATCAAGAAAGAGGAATATTTTATTGTGTCTTAAAAAAGGAATAATGCAATAACACCATATAATAGATCAATTTGGTGTTATTGGTATTCATGTTTCATGTTTTCTGAGGATAACTTGTATTGCATTGGACTTGCAGCAGACCAACCCAGCTTTGTTCAAGAAGAACCGATACCGACGCCAAGTTGGCCTCCGGAATCGTTCGATGTCGCTTCAGGAGACGAAGACAGCCTCATGAGTTTGGGCAGCAGCGCCGCCAATAAAGGCGGAGGCAACAGTAACAGCGCCCCGAGCAATCTGGTGATCGATCCCGCCGAAAGGAGGACCAACGCTATGCAGATCCTGCACGCGTTGTTGCACGATTCCTCGGCGCTAGAGCCACATCTCATCGAAATGCTTTGTGCAAAGTAAGTGTTTTGTATTTTCATTATTTTCCATGAATATTGTCAGTTTGTTGTGGATATCTGTTTGAAATTTAATTTCATATTTTTGATTTTGATGTTTTTCAACATATGCGTTGTTCAGAATTGAATTTCAGAGCTCATTTCAAACGTAACGTCATTGCCGCCATTTGGCGATTCGTCGAATAAATGGTGATGTCATTTTTTTTGCTGTTTCATTATTGGTCAGATAATCTTCCATTTCCACTCATGAAGCAAGGTTGTCAAGTCACCAATTATTATCAAGTTATCAAAAAGATGTTACGAGTCCTGTCGTTGCTTAAAACATAATAGGAGGATCTCATGACATTATAGTTCATTCTTGACTTTTTAGAGCAACCAGCATGTCCAAATATTTCTTATTCTCCATCCTGTGGAGACTTGAAAACATTGTGCTGAATTAATGGTTTTACATGCCTTCGAGATTGTTGTAGAAATAGTTTTGCAGAACTGAGACTCCTCCGAAGCCTTCCTTGTACTTTTATATTTCCAACTAAAACTGAACCTAGTAAACTTCAGATCATATAGGAATATCCATTCATATTCAACTAGAAATAGAGATAATTAATTCCTGAGCTACCACAGGTTAGAACTTACAAGAAGGGGTGCCGATTACTACGTCAAAAGAATGTATAATGCTTTTGCTATAGAGATTTAAAACCTAGAAAAATGTAGTATCTAGAAAGTGATTTTGATATGTAAATGTATTCGACTCTATATTTTGATATTTGGATGTTTGTCTTAATATGTATTGCTACCATTAGTATCTTACCTAGTAAGCTTTGTCCTGTAATTTTTTTCTTACTATTCTATATCAATTGTAAAATGTTTTCTCTCTCTTTTTTATATATCTGACCTGTAAAAGCACTTTAGTGTAATACTTTGCCAATAAATAAACTAAACTAAACAAACTTTGGGACATATATCATTTTGTTATCAGATGACGGTTGAAATTTGAAGCCGGCTCTTGGACTACACCTTTTTCAATTGTAATTCAGAAAGTATAAGATGTTATTCAGAAAGTATAAGTTGTGATTCAGAATGTTATTCAAAAAGTATAAGTTGTGATTCAGAATAGTTAATTGTAATTCAGAAAGTATAACTTGAAATTCAGATTAGTTAATTGTAATTCAGAAAGCGTAATATGTGATTCAGATTAGTGAAATGTAATTCAGAAAGTGTAACTTGTAATTCAGAAAGTATCACTTATGATTCAGAAACAAGGAACAACCCATATGCATCCATTCTCCTTGAGGTCCGGTTGTTGGAGAACAACGGCTTGTTTATCTTCATAGAACAGAATACTGTCCAGGCCAAAGATACTATTGTTGGAGGTTATTGTGCTAGGGCTGCACAACACACCACCATTCACCATGCTGCAGTTCTGGCATTTCAAGATATGCCCGTTGGTCGATAAATATAAAATATTGATGTTCACCACACAATGAACCATTCGTTGATTTCTATTCCCTGCCCGTATTCAAGTCCATAGTGTTTATGAATTACAAGTGATGCTTTCTGAATTGCAAATTACACTTAATGAATTACAATTGACTATTCCGAATTACAAGTTACACTTTTTGAATTACATTTTACTAATCTGAATTATATGTTATGCCTCCTGAATTACAATTGACTAATCTGAGTAACAATTGACGCTTTCTGAATTACAATTAACTATTCTGAATTACAAATTACACTTTCTGACTACATTTTACTAATCTGAATTACAAGTTACACTTTCTGAATTACAATTGAAAAAGATGTAGTATAACTATTCAATTTTTCCTGATAGAGACGCCCAAGGCCAAACCCCCTTCATGCTCGCCGTCTCGTCGAGAAGCTACCCGGCCGCTCTCGAGCTCTTTGAACGCATCCTCAAGCTCGGCACGGCGCACGAGCGCGACGAGATGATCTTCCCGAAGGGCTCCAACGCCGACCACTCGCCTCTGCACGTGCTCTGCTGCAACGACACGTGCAGCTTCACGTGGACCGGCGCCGAGCATATCAACCAGGATATCTTCGAGTGTCGCACGTGCGGGCTGACAGGCACGCTGTGCTGCTGCACCGAGTGCGCGAAGGTGAGATGGTTGAAATGGGGAAGTCTCCAACATTCAAATTTTCATTTCTCTGTATAGGCGATTCAAAATAAGCGATACGTCCTCTTGCGGATATTCAAGTAACTGATGGAGAGTACATGTTTGTTTACATTCAAGTTTCCATGCATTTAATTGAAAGCTGAGTGGCCATTGTGATATTTTTTGAGTTTGAATTCTCCAGTAGAGTATCTTACATCATTATTGCTCCGTTCAACATGTTATTCATGAAAGTTTTCTCACTGTATTTCACAGAAAATGATAATTTCGATCAGGGTATAATTGAAAGATTTTCTCTCAAGTTCGAGATTGAATTCAGTTGCATTCCATTCCCAGAAGTGAAAAGTTACACTAGGAATGTACAAAATGATATCCTCACTCAAAAACAAAGCACATATATAATCAATTTTTCCTACTAACTAGATCAATTATTCGCCGATACATCTAGCTATGAGGTTTTTTTCTCTTTTGAAACACATGCAAGTAGATAAATCGACTACAATACACATCTCAAATACCTACTATGTGAACATCATGTTCACTTCACTCAATTTGCATTATTTATTTTACTACTGAATGGAATTGAAATGTAAACTAACGTAACCTCAAATTATAGCATTTTTATTTCGCGAATATCATGTATTTTAAGTAGTGAAACATACTTTTTCTACGAACGTCAAAAAATGACAAGGTTCGCGCATTGATAACAAATTGCGAAGTGACACTTTTTCTCAGTTTCCTACGTTACCATGATTCCTTGTACAAAACAATGCGCCAAGTAAAACAGTGCGCGAAGTACCTACTTCGCGCATTGTTATGTAAAATAAATGAGATTTATATTTCAACTTTATGGTCCTCAATCGAGCAGACATCCACAAAATCATTTATTTCTGAATGCTCAATAATAACTTTGTTTTCTCTCTTGGAGCGCACGAAAGGAAATTCCTATCATGTTCGTGGAACATCGTGCGTACTTAGGGAGGATAGGGGGAGACCTTTCAAGCCAGTTCAACACTATTTTTCATATCAAGTTAAGCATATTTTCACTTCAGAACTATATTTTTTGACGTTTGTAGAAAAAATTTTGTTTGCAACTCGGGCGCGAAATACTTTGGTCATCTCGACTATTTTTTTAACTCGGCTACGCCTCGTTAAAAAAATCAGATCTCGATCACCAAAGTAGCATTTCGCGCTCTAGATACAAAAATAACTATTATTGAACGATCTTCTGAAAACCTTCCTTGAACCACAAGAGTACACAAATAAACAGTTTTCGTTGGTCAAATAACGAAATAATACACACAAGCAAATTAACCATTTCAAAACAATGTACTTTCATATAGTTCCACAACCGGCCACGGCGCTGCGATCTTGAATTCAGTCGCCTATAGTTTATAAAAATTTACACATGCCCATATTTTTTTATTTTTTTCGTGCGATTACATATTAGTTCAGAAAAAATCGTGAAGATATTCGCGGTAGCCAAACGTCAACATCTGACGTTGCGATGACATAAAAGCTACGGGAAAGCATGTCTAAATTTCATTCTAAACCAGGAGTTAGGAATGTACTACTTAGATTATTCCAATCATTTCAACATATTCGTTTTTGTATTGGTTGAAATATCTGTGTTGATTATCGAAAACATGATGTTTCCTTTCTTGTGTTTCCGCTGTAGATTGGCTTCTAGATATCTAAATATGCTGTGTTTTCGATTTTGTGTTTTGCTTCCTCAGTGGTAGTTTTATCGAAATATAAAACAAAATTACTATGAAGCAAGCTCGGCAGCAAGCTGTCATAGACATGGATGTTAAGAAATTAAGCGACCTAAAATGACGTATTCAGCCAATAGTATGGATGGAAATTGGATTATATTTTGAAATGATATACCAAATTCCTAATGAAATGAGAAATAAAGAATTAGTCCAATTGAAGAAAAATTATGATGAGCATGTGTTGCGGAGCGAATAAAATAGCAAGGAAAAAGAATTTTGAGCAGATTGAAAAATGTTGAATTTTTTGGCGGGAAAGTAATGAATTGCAATTATATCCAAGAATTAAGGCGTATAGCACTCAGAGACTTACAGAGTGGTCGATATTCGGCTGTTGGTTGATTGTGTGCAGCTAGGAGTGCAAAGGGCCCTTTTGCTGAGGTTTGAGGTAGTCCACAATGCGGCTTTAGAGAGGCCGGTTTCCACGTGAACTCCACTTAACACTGAGTCTGACTTGACGGGGTACACAATACAACACTCACATATATCGATTAACTGCGGAAGACTGAATGTTGGGACCGAAGGTAAAAATGTTCGTATAGGTTTATCATATTCAAGGAAAAATGATCAGGTTGTGATCATGGCGCGGTATGGTCACGTTCGATGGACAAGACTACGATCGAAAAGTGCTCTGAGGCACCTGTTGAGCTTGCATTGGTCATGTGACAACCGGACAGCGATATATGATCTCCTGGTGCTATACTTTGCGCGCGAATAATCTGAATCGTTAACAAATTTAAGAAAAATTACTAGTTCCACTACAGCATGTACAAAATAACAACGACGCTGACAGCTCGTTTTTGAGGTCAATCATTTTTTTTTGAATTTCTGTTGAAATGTTAGTGATATTCGAATGTCTCCAAGAAATTTGACACTTGAGTATGGCAACAATACACCATACTGAAATGATGAAACGGACCGTAGCAAAATCACTTCTGAGTTTATTACTTATGTTTTGACATGATTTTTCAGCAGGTCGCGTGCTCACTTTTCTTATTTGTTCACAAAGGATTGAAATAGTTTTTCACAATAATTTTGGCTACGAGTCGTGGTTTTTAGGCTATTGGCACATTATTTTGTCATCTTGTCAGACCAGACCTACATTTGATTGCATGAATAAAAGCTACTTGCCTTTTTCTAAAAACTATTAGCCCTATTGCAGAAGGAATTCTAAGGAGAGATGAGAAAATTTCCAAAAGAAAACTATGTGAGGGACTACAGTATACTTTCGGACCACGATTCATTAATACCTGAAAAATCTTATTCCTTCATCTCGCTGTGATGATATGATGACATGCTTGATGATTCGTATGCCCATATAATTGCAAAAAATAATATTTAAATCCCTTGTAAGCAGATAAGAAATAGTTATTCATTATACAAGGAAAAAAAGTTGTAGATTTTAGCTCCAGGTTTGTTGTCTTCCGTTCCTGACGCGTAGCGTCGTTTTCGCGCCACTGACGCATTAATGGGAGTGGTCTGCGAGAGACGAAAAGTATTGTGTACTTTGTCGTGATGACGCCTGTATAATTTTCTCAGTTGATTCGATCTTTTCACCACCATTTAAAATATCTATACGTCTATTCGCGAAGGTGTGCCACAAGGGGCATGATTGCAAGCTGAAGAGGACGTCGCCGACGGCGTACTGCGACTGCTGGGAGAAGTGCAAATGCAAGGCGCTGATCATGGGGAATCAGACGGTTCGGCACGAGCTGCTGACAAGGCTGGTGAAGGAGACCGATTTGGTGTGCTTGCCGAATTCGAGGTGAGGTTTGTTTTTGTAATGGTTCTTTATATTCATAGTGGAAGAAGAAGATGGTGTGCCTATGCGCATATTATGTGACGTCATCTGGGATACCAATATCAGCTGCTAGTCAAAGACAGATACCTTTGCCATTGGCGTGCGCTATGAATTCAAATAAGTTTATTGAACTATGAGTTTCTCGATCTGTCTAGAAAAAATTGAATTCATTTAAATAGATACTTATTCTTCCGATTTTACTATTCCAGTGATCCAGGAATTTGTGATCTTCTGGTAATTCGAAATCGCAAATAGCAAATACATAGGATTTATCATGCTTTGCCAATCCCATCGAATGATCCACCACTGTGTCGATTCTGACAGCAGTTAACGACGTTCACGTTGCTTCTGCTTTGACATCGATAACAGGAGTAACATATTTCGCCGTTCTGTTATTAAAATATTTGCTGCAGTTAATATGTTGTGAGAAATCAAGTGTTTTGAATCAATTTTCAATTATTTCTAACCTAATATTCGACGGAAGATGTTCTGTAGGAATGGCATCGTGTTTCAAATATTCGTGATTTTTTGGAGGTGTGTATTTCAACAACTGTACTTTCAAACTTGTTTGAGAACATTTTGCATGGGAATGTTTTGAACAAAATGATGATATGATAGGTGAATACTTTGGAATGAGGATATAAGGAATATAAGGTAGGTACCATTATTTGAGTTTATTTTCGGTCGGCAGCAAGCGTTAACCCATCGTTTCATTAGGTCTCCATGATTCTCTACTCTCATATACTGAGTCGTATCAACTATTTAATAAATGTTTGGGGAACTTGTTCAAAGAACAATTTCAATAAAATATCAACATTATATAGAAAATCGTTAAAAGTATTGTATCGTCTCCCATTTGATACACCAACCAATCAATTGTTTGAAATAACAAATACGTATTCTTTAGATGAAATATATAGAATTGAAACTCTCAAAATATCATATAATATCATAAATAAAAAATTGAAGTCGAATTTTATGTTGATACGGAATTCTGAAATTCATAATCATGAAACAAGACAATATAACTTGTTTCATCTTGACGCCGCTAGCTCCATTATCGGACAAAAAAGATTCACTCATTCAGCCTTAACTGAATTCAATAAACTACCTGACAATATAAAAAATTGCAGAAACATAGGTTCATTCAAAAATGAAGTGAAAAAATTGATTATTTCTGAGCGAACTGGATAAAATTGAACATGCCATTTTTTTTTTTTTTTTTTTTTTTTTTTTTTTTTTTTTTTTTTTTTTTTTTTTTTTTTTTTTACAAATATTATTCTTTGTTTGTCAATTTACAGTTGTTGATATTATATTTTGTATAATGATATGTTTACCTATAGGTATATAATTATGTACTTCCTTATACCAGAGCCTATTCTGTCTGGAAGTTATTTGTTCAATAAATAAATAAATGTTTGTTGAACAGAGAAAAAAAAAAAAAAAAAAAAAAAAAACCAGAAAAATTCTATACCTGTGCCTTTTGTATATTAGTTGGAATTTTCATAACCAGAAACGAAACAATTGGGCATTCCAAAATTATCTCATTCAATTTGGGAACATCATTCACGAAAACAACTAATAACAATGACAGTTATATCCATATATTTTCTATTTCTATATATGGCGCATCGCCTATACGATATCTCAATCAGAGGTACTTTTTGAATCTATAAGGACGGAAAGTGAAGGATGGAAACAGCCATATTGGTTTAACAAGTTTCGTATTATTTCTTCCCTACGTCGGCATCAAAGCCTATTGGATCGATTTCGTTACCTATAGAGACAGAAGTTGGTCCCGCTTTGAGGACAGCTATGATTCATATATGAGTAGTAGATATATGGTTATATCCCTGTTGACGTCATGCGCAGAACAAAACGAGTTTGAGCTTTCTGTCGAGCACACCATCTTCTCCTTCCACTATGATTACATTGAATTTTATGGCAAGTTGAATGATCGAAATCATGGGTTACCATGAAATAGGAAACGCTTTTATTGCACATTGCCATATTCTCGTGAGAAGCGCTAATTCAGACTTTTACATTTCCCAGTTATTGTGAACTTATTCAGTCATTCTTGATATTGCTTCTATACTATTCACTTCTGTTACGAAATGAAACTTTTTAAAAACCAAAATCGTGGTCCGAATCCTCTAATTGGCGCAGTCATTATATTATATTTTTTTTAATACCAAGGTAATTAAGTAGATTAACGATTTCTAACTCTGAGGCCGGATTGATTTCGCTCAAGGATTCAATAGCTACAGAAAATCCTGACAGGAACTAAAAAAATAATTACTCTCACGATCACCAGTGTCGCTAGGCCCGATCTCATAGTATAGACCCTTGTGTCGTTCTGCAAACGGCTGTTCTCGGCGGAGTCCCACAGATGAACACGTGTCTTTGTTCTTATTTCGTTTAGGAGTTGATACTCAGAGAATTTCAGGATCGATTCCCACGAAATATCCTACCGACTGCGCCACTTGAAGGATTTGAACCACGAATTTGGTTTTTAAAAAGTTTTATTTCGTAACTGAAGTGAATAGTATAAAAGCCACATCAAGACTGAATACGTTCACAAAAACTGGGAAATGTAAAAGTCTGAATCAGCGCTTCTCACGAGAATATGGCAGAGTGCAATATAAGCGTTTCCTATTCCATGGTAACCCGTGATGTCGCTCATATAACTCGTGCGAAGATGGTACAAACCTAAGATAAGCACTGTATGAGTTAACTATCTCTAATAATTGTGATAAGCGGTACATCATATTGCAGCTTGTAATTCGTTCATCAGCTTTATTGAGTCAGATATAAAAGTGATTGGGGAATATCATTACCTGTTCTAGCATATGGCTCTAGCAAAATTTGATCTGAAACACAGTATATAACATCCACTCTATTCGAAAGCGAACTTTTTCCTGCTAGATTTCATTTGAGTGTCATTAGACAAGTATAAATCTTTAGTAAAGATTGTGAATCATTTCTATGATCTACAATTCTGTCGTGTTTCTGAGACTAAGAATATTTCTGATTTTATTGACACCGATTAGGAACACTTTTTTCATAGTAATTTTATGTCTTTCAATACATAATCGATAAAAAAAGTCTTGTACTCCCAAGACTTTATATGAGATTGGTTTTCAAGAGTTATTTCTTAGTACTTCTATTTTATTTTATTACAGAGGCGAAAGTATATTGTTATTCTTGGTGCAAACAGTGGGACGGCAGAACCAAGAACAGCGGCAATTCAGAAATTCGCGCCCAAGAACTGCATCTTCCAACTCCAGAAACAAAACGCCATCGTCAGACAGTAAGCAAATAAGTCTCAAACCCCACCTATTCCACGAATTAATATTCCCAACCATTTCAGTCGAATCTGATATGCCGGAGCACGATTTGGAGCCGCCGCGATTCAGCCGGCGCGCTCTGGAATGCCTTCTAGGAGATTGGAAGGCCGTCAAGAGCATGATCATGTCCGGCACCAAGGAAACCACCGAAAGCTGTTTCGTCGATCAGCCGTACGTTTCCGGCCAAACAGGCACCACTTTGCTGGACAAGTTCACCCATTGCTTCTTCGTCAAATGCCAAATGGTCATGGACGTTCTGTTGGAGACGATTATCAGAGAAATGAAAACGAGCGACGCGAAGCAGAGCGAATACGCTACGAAGGTGGCGCGTCGCTTTGTCAGATCGGTGGTCAGGATTTTCGTTATATTCAGCATCGAGATGGCGCCGAATTCGGTGAAAAGGCAGCGGTTCAGCAACCAGAATTTGCCGCTCAGCAAATGCAAGAGGGTGTTCCAGTCCTTGTCGAAGATATCTATTGAGGAGCTGTGTGAAATCGCCGATTCGCTCATTGCGCCTGTGCGTTTGGGAGTGGCTAGGCCTACTGCGCCGTTTTCTTTGGCAGCGTCACCAAATGATGTACTGAATGTAAGTATCTGACATTATTTGTTGTAGATGTACTATTTACATTTTTAATCTGTCTCGTCTAGACATCTGTAAATGTCGTCATGGATGTTCGGTTGCCTAGTTGGTTATCCATCTTTCAAATTCGTCAATTGTTTCAGGGTTCAGAAGAACTATTTCTTGTCGATCCTCTAGCTCCATCGTTGGGCAGTAGCAGTTCTAGAGCTGGGGTGAGCCAGATCAACTCGACCGATAATTTTCCGTTCCTTGCAGAGGCTGTTAGGCGGGCAGTAGCCAGCAGAAGGAATATGTTGAGTGAACTCAATGACGGTGAAGGTAATCTATAACAATTATTTTCAGTAGGAAAGTGAATATAACAAATTTTACTGGTTGTTTCCTAAATTGGGGCGATAAATATTGAACTATTATTGTATTATTGAACGTCCAGAAACATTGCAAAAGTCATGATACTTTCGATGCCTTTTACCTCTCCTAAAGAAAACTTCAGATCAATTATATAAAAAATTTTCAGGTGAATATTAATTGTATAGTTTATGCGAAGTCAGTTGAAAAGCTACCGTTTTTAAGGACGATAGGAGGATTTGTCGATTCGCTGAACATTGGAATAGGAATGAATGAGATATTTTCTACTGAGCTTTTCCGGTATGCAGCCTGTGCAGTCAACGTGGACTGGACAAGAGTTATCATGCTAGAAACCCCGTCTCATTGGTTACTCCAAACTATATTGGATGTTGATTGGTCAGAGTTGCATGGGCGGCCTCCAGTGCGATAAGAATCTTCTGGCCTGCGCTAGGCAGTGCGGTACGAGCTAGGTTGTCTCCATTGGTTCCACTCGAAATTCAGAAAATTTATTATTTCAATCATAGAGGTTTTGTGTTCTGGAGGCCTTTTTAGGAAGTCAGCGAAGTGAGTGATAGTGATTCGGAGGAAAAGCAAGCAGAGTTCGCCAACAAAGACTTACACGTTCAAACGCAAAGGGTAATTTTGAATATCTATTCGCGTCTCGAGGACGAGAATAATGATTCTTCAGAAAACCAACTTGAGAAGAGAATACAGGAATTAGCTAAAATAATCTCTACCACCATATACAGAGTTATTAGAACCAAAGATGTTGTAGATCATGAAGTTAAACGAAACAGAGTGGGACAAATACTCAAGAAGCTTGATGATGCTTCGAAAGAAATAATTCGTCGAATTGTATATAGATTGTATAATGAGGATACGGTGTCAACATTACCAGATATCAGGGATAAGTGGAATGAATACGCGGATTATAATTACAAATCGTTGAGTACGTTGTGAAATGTTTCACTAGATTGCGGGTTCAGCTATGAAAAATTAGACAAAAGGTTGGTGATTATGGAATCAAGACGCATCGTAGCCCATCGGCAAGAATTTCTACGTAAAATAAAGGAATACCGTGAAGCGAATAGACATCATTTATCTAGATGAAACGTGGTTTGACACTCATGACGTTGTTCAATACGGTTGGGTAGATGATAGCAAAAACTAACGTGAGTGGTCCGAGTTCCTTCACGCCGGCAATGAAAATGGATTTGTTGACAATGCATTGTTGTTGTCTGCCAAAAATATCAAGCAATCATCTGCCGATTATCACGAGGATATGACGGCAAAATTATTCGACAAATGGGCAGAGCAGCAGCTTATACTGAATATTCCAGAGAAGCAAATCACGTAAAAATAACCTATCACCGCAATTTAGCGAGTCAGTTTTAACCACCATCAGGACAGTAGTTAATGTGATAAACGAGAGTGACATATGGAGGAATTGTGTATCTCATGTTAACAAAAAAGAAAATTAATATTGTTTCTTACCATGTATCAATACAGTGATCATTAGGGTAAGTGAAGATTCAATTCATGGAAAGTCCGATAGTGACTAGTGATATATCATCCAGTACTTGTGTATAACAGTTACGAAAAAGTGAAACTGTGGAACTGTACCTATTTCTAATTTCCCAAAAAAAAAACCTTTCAGAATATATTTATTTGCTGAGAATTTTCATAAAGTTCAATGTTATTCATATTTTATTTTGTTGATTATTGTCTTCGTATTGTTCAATTGAGTAAGTTACCTTGTATAATCTCGAATATACGTGTATATACATAGAGTAACTCTACCAATTAGATATTCAGAGTTATTGGCATTTCCATAGTACTTATCTTATTCATATTGTTACATACATATCTTGAAGTTCCTTATACTACTGATAATTTTTATTAAGTTTAATGTTTTATTTTTATTTTATTTTGTTGAGAATTTTCATTAAGTTCAATGTTTTATTTTCATTTGATTTTGTTGAGAATTTTTATTGAGTTCAATGTTACATTCATATTTTATTTTGTTGATAATTTTGATTTGGTTTAATTGTATATTCATATTTCAAATATGGGACGATAGGGCTATTGGCGAACACCCACTAAAAATAAGTAACCAGCCATGGTTGCCTCATGGATGGTCTGGAAACTCACCAATATTCGATACTCTCATGTTCCAAAATGGATGTATAGGAAATTTTTTAACAATCAAAAATTCATTTGAGAACAGCTTTAATTTGTGATAACGAAAAAAATATTTCCGCCGCTGTGACCTGCGGCTTGTCAAAGGATTTTCCGACATGCAGGTGGTTAAATTTTTTTTTTGCTTTTTCAACTGACTTCGTGAAAACTATAACAGTCATTGTCTCTAGTTTCAAGGGTTATGAAACATCATTTTTCATGTAGTATTTTCAACACAACCAATGTTTGAGTTTATGAAAACCTGCCAAAATTTCGTATAAATGGTTACAAAGCTGTAGTGTGCTGGATTACTCAGAGTGCTATTGAGGTCTGCTGGCATTTTTATTCATCCTAGATCTCGTTGTTATGTGGTCTGGTTTAACTAAAATATATTGATAACAGGTAAATTCATTTAATTGTCATATGTAAAGAATATAGTGAAAACTTCATTCATCTTGAGAACATTTATTAAAAATATATTCCAGATAAATAAACTCACCAGCTTCATCAATATTAATACAAATAATCTCGACTTTTTTTTTTCTTTCGTCGAGTCAGTTTTTGTGAGTGAACAGAATTGGTGGATTTTATTCCACTGATTTGATAAAGTTGAAGTGCGGATAAGTATCGTTTTCGTTTGTATGAAGCTAGGTTAGGTCAATTTTAAACAAAGTTTCTGATTGTTATTACAGAAGATTGGTACCCAATGTTTGGCTTATAACTCGTGGATAAGTGACTAATAGAATTAGACTGAATTAAATAATGGCTCATAAACGAAAAACTGTATTGCAGAATGAGGGGAAGCTGGGAGAGATTAATTCGATCAATTGAAACAGCATTTTACACGATTTTGAAAGAGAGGGCTCTACGATAAGAAGTACTATGGACTTTATTAATAAGGCTGAGTAATTTGTCAACAACACACCTCTCACTCATATTCCCATTGACCCTGCAGACATGGATCCATTGACCCCAAACCATTTTCTCATAGGAACCAATTCAAATCCTAACATTCAGAGACAATTTGAGGAAGATGATTTACGTTCAAGGAAGCAATGGAGGATTGCCCAATACTTGACAAATATGCTGTTGAAGTGATGGGTCAGGGAGTATTTGCCAACACTCTGTAAGCGAACAAAGTGGCATGATCAAAAGACACCAGATTTAGCTATCAGGATATCGTAATTTTGATGGAGGATAACACACCAAGAAAAAGTTGGCCTATGGAATTGATACTTGAAACATATCCTGGACGAGACGATAGAATACTATACGAGTAGTTGACGTGAAAATCAATTTGAAGGTTTACAAACGTCCCGTCACTAAGATTATACCTTAACTTGCCGAAGAGAAGAAGAATGTATCATTCAAACTATACGGGGCGGAGAATGTTGGAGATATTATCTACCTGTATTTTGTTTTTGCTTTGGAATCAAGAAGTTTCGTGACAAGAGAGACAGTAATGAATGTTATCAATAAGATGTATTGTAATATTTCCATCTGCAATACAGTTTTTCGTTTATAAGCCTTTATTTAATTAAGTTTAATTCTATTTGCCACTTATCAGCCAAACACTGAATAACTCTTGTCTGCAGGCATGGCCATCGACAACGACGAGGACAACGCGTCCGAGCACGACGAAACCGCCGGTGGCGGCGGCGAGGAGCAGGAGCTGCCCATCGCGCAGCGCCAATCGTCGAACGACGCCGAGCAGCAGGAGGCGGGGGCGGGGGGCGGCGGCGGCGAGCAGCCGGAGGGGCGGATGGGGGGGACGGGCGAGGAGAGCGATCCCGAGCTGGACCTGCTGGCCGAGACGGAGTCGGACAGCGACGACAATCACAGTAATCAGGACGCTGCGTCGGCGCAGCGGTCGGTGCAGACTGGGGCGACGGCGGGGTCGGATACAGGTATCGTTTGTTTCTTATTTGTCTTTGTATGGAATAACGGCGTCAAAGATTGTTTCTCAATGTTGTAATGTTTTAGATGTTGCTTGAATGGCTCTTCTTCGTAGATTATTCAGGCTCATTTATTGAAGAGATGAAATGTATTTATTGTCAGCGTCGCATACAAGAAGATTATAACAAGTTTTACAAAAACATGATCAGGATACATACTTTACAAACTAGATTTTCAGAGAGCATAGAACATTGTTCTAAGCAGATAACAGCTATCATACTAGTGTAGAGCAAGAGAAGTACTTGTCACTTATTCATATTAATTCGAATGCGGCGTTGCCAAGCCAGCATAATACATGACAAATGTGACAGCTTTTTTTTGTGGATGTATGATAAATTGATATTCATCATACAGGACGTGGAAAGAAATTCTGAATCCACGAATCTGCGATTGAAGTCTATAAAAATAACAAGTTTCCATCGTTCAAGTTTGAAACCCTTGATTGGGTATGAAAGTATTCAAAAAAAATATTCTCAGAATATTCCTTTTCAATGACAGCTATTAGTTCACTTATCATCGATGTCAAGTGCCCAACTGTGAAATGTTGCTATCAAATTGATGCAGGTCCTTTAATAATGTATTAAATATGAAGATTTATGTCTATGTAATGTTCACAATAGTTTGAGAGCGACAACAAATAATGTTTTTATCGTGAATAGTCATTTTCAAATAATTATCAGTAGTAATATCCCTAGGACATTGATAATAACGATATAAAATATTATGACCATCGAAAGCACGTTAGTTGGTAACAGCTCGAAGCTGAGGGCTGTTGCAAAGAAATGAGCTCGAGAAATTTGTCATAAAGTTATGAGGTATTTGTCAATGTCCGAGGGATATTCGGCGGAAAATAATTTGTCAAAGTCGATCGTGTTGTCATAGTAATTGCACTGAATGCAGTTATCAAATTTCATTTTCATGAGAAATAAATCATAAATTCAACAGATTTGAACATAGGATATCGATTGATTACCATTCAAAAAAGACAGTCTTTGACAGGAGTGCAACCACTACCTACAAAAGGCTATGGATTTGCATTCATCAATCTCTATTTCTTTTTCATCTTACATCATCTTTCATCAAGTTGGCATAGTATGGGAAAAAGTTGATAATAATAATAATTTATTTCGAAATTCGACTTGGGCGTTAAGGTTTGCTTAAAAAAATATGAAAAATGGACTACTCGGTCGGGGTCACGTTACTTTAGCTACATCAAATGTTACATTTTTTCACATCAATCGCTGAAAATAGGTTTATTTGTTTGAATTTCAAATAGGTTCACTGAGAAAAGTAGTTTATCTTTTAAGTTTACAATATCCGCTCATATCTTGCAAACGATTCACAGTATACAAAGTTGAAGAACAAAAAATTATGCGACAAATGACGTCACTATCATTCTTATTCCCAAATTTATAAGGTCGCTGACGTCATTCGAAAACTTGGGTGCGTAGAAGGTTTCTCAACAGAATCATATGTTATATGAGGTGCTGAACCGAAAAACGCTAAAAAGCTAAACATTTTCGGGAGTTTTTCCGGATTTGCGCTCATATCTTGCAAACGACTCACCGTATGGAAAATGTCACAGTATTCAGAGTTGAAGAACATACAATTCTGCGTCGAATGACGTTACTATCTTTCTTATTCCCACATTCATAAGGTCGCTATTTTCATTCGAGAAAAGCCAAATTTCACTGCCATTACTCACATTTAGACGAATGTGATTTGAAAAGAACTACACTACATGAACAATTTGTGGAATTAAAGCTGTAAATTTCGTGTAAAGTGAGTACCGAAAAATCGTTTTTGGATCAATATACGTTTGTTTATCGAATCGTTACATATAGTATTTTGCCTATGTTGAATTTGTTTTCTTAGTAAGTAAAAATATGTATTCGATATCAACCCTTTCAAGTTAATCCGGTACACCGTATTTTAATGTAGATATTGAGCCTAATTTCCACAGGTAACTAATCCTTCAGGTTGGGAAAGGTTGGGAAAGTAGGATATACAGGGTGGGCCACCAGTAACGCCTCGGTCTCTAGAAGGCTAACCACTTATCTTCTTGGAATTCTTCCTCTCTAGGAAGTTGCATGTCAACATAGGCTACCATTTAAAATTATTTCGAAACATACAGGGTGTCCCCAAAAACCATAAAACACTGAAGTTGAACTTTTTTCTATCGAACACCCTATATATTATTTCATTTTGAGATTCTCCCTGGTGAGCTGATTTCAACGACCCATCATACTTGGGGTCTAGCAGTTATAATTACTGAGATATAGGGTGTGAGAAATCGAGATTTTCCAAGTTCAAGAATTTTTTGTGTCTAAACCATTCATAATTGGTCAAAACGGCTCACATGTCCCTATCTCAACTTTTGATCAACTATCTACTGACATTTAATTGAAACAAATACAGGGTGGTGCAGAATTCAGAATCTTGATCACCCGGTATATGTTCCAATTGAATATCAGTAGATAGTTAAGGAAAAAATTGAGATAGGGACATGTAAGTCGTTTTGACCAATTATGAATAGTTTCGACACAAAAAATTCTTGAACTTGGAAAATCTCGATTTTTCACACCCTATATTTCAGTAATTATAACTGCTTGACCCCAAGTATGATGGGTCGTTGAAATCAGCTCATCAGGGAGAATCTCAAAATGAAATAATATATAGGGTGTTTGATAGAAAAAAGTTTATCTTCAGTGTTTTATGGTTTTTGGGGACACCCTGTATGTTTCGAAATAATTTTAAATGGTAGCCTATGTTGACATGCAACTTCCTAGAGAGGAAGAATTCCAAGAAGATGAGTGGTTAGCCTTCTAGAGACCGAGGCGTTACTGTATAAGCAAGCCAAGGTTAGTTTAGTTCATCGTACCAGTATCACCTCACGAAGCTACTGTGTTAGCGAAACATGTCCTGTGTTTAACAATTTTGAGGAAATCTTATCGTTCGTGAAGTTTTCAAATAATATACGTGCTTCCCAATTCGGTTTTTAAAAATTAAAAAATACCAACATGGCTATACTTGGATTTCTAGAAACGGTTTGTCTGTGTTTGAATGATAGAGAGGCTGCAGCACAAGTGTTCAGTGACTTCTCAAAAGCATTTGACGGTGTCGATCATGGGATATTGCTAGCCAAGCTAAAGCATTACAGATTCGTTAGAATATGTTGGATGAAATCAAGACTATTAATCTGGAACATAACAATATGTTGTAGAAAGTATCTATTTATTATGTTTCTAATAATAACTCATATAAACTGGAATGGCTTTATCAGGGAAAAATCACAATCATCATTCTGTACTTGGTCTTTTCAAGAGTACTATACCACGTTACAAAGGACCCCGCACTTTTAGTACGTAAAATGGTTCTCGGTGAAATTTTTTGAATTTTCAGTATGTTGTAGAATTCGATGAACTGATTGAACCTGCAGAATCATAAAGTTCTTTGATGAACAGATTCTGAGATACAGGGCGTTGAAGTTACAAATCGGTATTTTTCATCTAATTATTTTCTCGAAATTCAAAGATGCCAAGTACAATTTTCTTCGCTCATATCATTAACGAACCTCCATATTACTCAACATATTCAGAAGGTTCAGATGATGTAATTGTTTACAGAGTGAAACATATAAACATTTCAGTGATGTCTGAAAATTGGATGTAATAATGAAATATCGAAAAAATAATTTAGGCATGCAACATACTATTCTCATTCCATCATGAATCACAATTCATACATTTCATACAGGGTGATTTGAAAAATTGGTGACACTTAAGACCGATTTATTCATACACATCCTGTATATTCGAGTGAATTGTTGACCTCCCAGGATAGCTGATACCGTATGAACATGATTTCTTTGAGATATATAGGGTGATCATGAAGATTTTCGATGATGAAAATTACAAAAAATCGTGTTTTTTGTAATCACCCTGTTATTCATGATTAACTCGGTGAAATTCTCTAATTATTTTTTGATATATTCATCATTCGCTCCTCAATGCTGTATTGAAAATTCAGTTTCCTATCATGACGCGTATCATATTTATTAATTCAGGAACTTTGCATGAAGAGTTGAAGAGACTTGTTCACTTACAGTTCCTGAATTAATAAATATGACACCCGTCATGATAGGAAACTGAATTCTCAAGACAGCGTTGAGGAGCGAATGATGAATATATTGAAAAATAATTAGGGAATTTCACCGAGTTAATCATAAATAACAGGGTGATTTCAAAAAACACGATTCTTTGTCATTTTCATCATCGAAAATCTTTATGATCACCCTATATATCTCAACGAAATCATGTTCATACGGTATCAGCTATCCTGGGAGGTCAACAATTCACTCGAATATACAGGATGTGTATGAATAAATCGGTCTTAAGTGTCACCAATTTTTCAAATCACCCTGTATGAAATTTATGAATTGTGATTCATGATGGAATGAGAATAGTATATTGCATGCCTAAATTATTTTTTCGATATTTCATTATTACATCGAATTTCCAGACATCACTGAAATGTTTATATGTTTCACTCTGTAAACAATTACATTATCTGAACCATCTGAATCATGTTGAGTAATATGGAGGTTCGTTAATGATATGAGCGAAAAAAATTGTACTTGGCATCTTCGAATTTCGAGAAAATAATTAAATGAAAAATACCGATTTGTAACTTCAACGCCCTGTATCTCAGAATCTGTTCATCAAAGAACTTTACGATTCTGCAGGTTCAATCAGTTCATCGAATTCTACAACATACTGAAAATTCAGAAAATTTCACCGAGAACCATTTTACATACTAAAAGTGCGGGGTCCTTTGTGATACGTTTTTTTGGAACCTGAGAAATATTAATTATTTTCAAGATGGCATTACGTTGAGGAATTCAACTTCGACGAACCAGAAGAAAATACTAGTTCTATAGTCAGGGACACTTTGTTAAGAAATGTTTTAATTATTGTAACTCTTGGTTGTTGAGGACTTTTCATATTTTCATAACTCGTCAGGAGGAATGCTACTCTTCCCAGAAGACGAAAGTGGTGAATCCAGCCAACAAGAAGAAGAGGAAAGTGAAGCTGGTGAGACTGATGAACAAGACACTGAAGATTACACATTGACAGATGAACAACTTGAGAGAAGGAGGTAAACATTGAAATTTTTACCAGCACTGCTGTTACTATTCATCATCATCCATTATTTTATTATCCTGCATGCAACGTTATTTATGTCTCAGTATTTTTCCATGGTAAATAAATTTGATGATTATTTCGCAAATTTCTCAAATGTATTATAACGATTGCAAAAACAAGTAAGACAGTCAAGGAGATCCATCAATGTGGTAGATTGAATTAATCCATTTAGCAGAACATAAGTTGAGCCACAATAATTGTAACACAGCCATCAATAACCTAAAATTGAAGGATGAGTTGATGATATTCGGAAACAAAACGCATATGAAAGTTTATAAATAGTTGAGAATAATAGTTTCATTGGACCTATTTTATATAGCGGTTCAGAAAGCATAATAATGGTATTAGCATTGTCGACGAACATAATGAGGAATCTCTCTCGCGCGGTCCAAAATATGGAAAAAATCAAAGGTACATAAGTCGAGGCGTTAAATAATCGTCATGGTGAGTAATTAAACAGCATATCGTGGTCACTGTGGATGGTTCCTTATTCAATATAATGGTACCCTGATTGCCACAATGACTTTGATTTATTGATCAATTATTATTATGATTAATTCTGAATGAATTGATGGGCTATGTCACGAGCTGCCACTCTGGCAGGAGGAACTATTGGTACTGCTGGTTCTATTCATCATCATTACATCATGGTCGTTTCCTCCATGATATGTTTCTCTTATCTGCTGATATTTTCTGTATGGTAAATCACTTGATATATATTATTTCTCCTTTTCCTGAAATTACTGTTGACAAATGCCGATAAAATAGGTAGGACATACTGGGAGATTCGTTTAAACTAGGTTTAAAATACATCTTGGTTGAATAAATCGAGTGTATCAGAACATGTGTTCAGCCAAAATCATAACACAGCTATGAAGAACCTGAAATTGAATATACGAGTCAACAATGTTGAATACTAAGTTTCGATCTCCTCTCGAAGATACAAACATGGGTATTGAAATACTTTGAGCGTTAAAAACTCGGTTTGGTTAGTGGTTGAACAGTATAGTCGGATTTTCGTGCCAAATATTTCAGCCTTCAATATTATTGATCCGCTAAAAACTCGATTTAGTTAGTGGTTGAACAGTGTAGTCAGACTTGTATGCCAAGGATTTCAGTACTCTATAGTATAGCTCCGCTGAACGCCGCGACTTGGATTAATTCTGAAAGTTTTGGTCGATTTTATTATTTGGGCACAAGAAAAACTATTATTGTTGACTTTGGAGCCATAAACTCTAGTTGTTTTCTTCCTTCCGGTTCCTTTTTTATTAATCTCTCGGAGCGCACGAAAAGAAATTCCCATGGTGTTCGAGGGAGATTTATTATTCATAGTTATGATAATTTCGTTTCTTTCATTTATTCCCTTTTTATTGCCTGTCACAAATATCGTTACCGTTACGGCCAACGCAACAACTGAGAAAAGCAGTTATTGTTCTCCTCAGTCATTGAATCAATTAGTTTTCTTTCGTCCTCTTAGTTCCTAGTTATAATTTATTCTAAAGTTGCATTGGTTATAGTATAATCTGATGATAGTTTTGTTGTTTTTTGTTATTTATTCATTCATCTGCCATTCACAACTAACGTTATCGAAATACTATTTTTGATGAGTTCATCTTCACCTCATGGCCCTCTTTCAGTTTATTATTTCGCATCTCATTATTTGATTGTTGTGTCTATGAAAGAAGCCGTTACAGCAATGCGACCGGCGGGCACGGCCAGCGCAACAACTTGGCGCCGCAGAACATGCAGTGGGCGATCAGGTCGCGGGAGGCGGGCGGCAGATCGCAGGGCGTGCGGCTGCCCAACGGCTCGAACTTGGTGTTCATCGATCCGAGCTCGTTGCGTAGATCGACGGCGGGCAGTACGACGGTCGCGGCCAGCTCGGAGCCCATCACCATGGCGACGACAGCCAGTTGCTTGGCCAGAGCTTTCGGTGAGTTTGATTTTTTCCTTATCAAAATTTAGAGTCACTGGATGGTATTAGTAGATAAGAGTACGGACACACCTTGCAACCGGTGTTATTGAAAATTAACTTAAATATACTCGATATATAATCATGAATAACACGCGGTGATCTGGAAACAATAAGAATAGGGGTAATCAAGGGGCTAAGAAAAGAAGAGATAAACAGGAGGTGAAAAATAGGGATTTTTGGGAAGTGAATGGAAAAAACAGAAAGTATTTACGGATGTAGTGAATTTATTAGTAGTGTATAGTAGAAAGAATGATAGAAAGAAGAGTAACAGAAGGGAAATGGTGAATGGTGAAGAAATCTCGGAAGGAATAGTTCACAGAAGCAAGAAGATTGCAGGAAACTAAGGAATTTGCAACACATCAGGTATTTAGAGCTGATTTAATTAAATATCAAGAACGAGGATCGTTACATTGGAGCCCGAGCAGGGACCTGACAATGTAACGATCCTCGTTCTTATTTAATTAAATCAATTCCAAATACCTTCGCCACCTTTGGCAACACCGTCTATCGGGAAACTATGATTTTGCTCCCTTCCTCTTACTCAAGAATACGAACTTCTTGTTTTGATATGAAGGAGTAGAAACAAATCGGGGAGTGCTCCCCAGGGAACATTCTACTCTATCACCGTCAAGAATCGCGGCCCTGAACTTCTGTTCTTTTCTATATTCTAAATTACAATACTAGAGTAAATAACAGAATAAGACATATATCCTGCTCTTGACTTTGCAATTTCCCTAATATCAGTAATATCGCCTGATTGTGTAATTGTGTTAGTCATTTTAAGGAATTTTAAAGGGAAATGACTATGACCGTGTGTTTTGTAGACATTTTAACTGTTGAAAGAGAAGGAATTCTGAAGATATGTGACGAAATTTTGAAATGAAAACTCTGTGAGTGAGTACAGTACTTTTATGATCACAATTTACGTGAAAAATTTGTATTACTTCTTCTTTCACTGCAATTTTTGTGCATTGTACACAACAGCACAATGTTATAGCATCCTTGAATAAATAAGTAGCTCAAGAAACACGATTCGTATGCCAAAATAATTGTGAAAAACTATTCAATCCTAATAAACATATAGTTACTTGCAAAAATAAATTCATATGTTTGAGGTTGTAACTTCTTCCAAGACTGTAGGAAAATATGGACACGTTATTATATCATTTACTAATTTCGGTCATAGGACCAGATAGTACCTCGATGGTATTCTAAAATAATGGGATATTGATGTCATTGCACCCTTGAGAGATTGAAATGTCTGACGTTTTACTTACAGGTATTGTCGTTAGACAAATTGCTGACTTATTATCTTTGATGCCTGATATCAACCAAATATTGACATCTTCATCTGCAAATATGGAAGTAACCCAGGATGATATTTACAATGTCCAGGTGAGTCCAAGTTACCTAACTATATTATGGGCTATGGGCCAGAACTTACTCATCTCATCTCATACATACAAAATTGTAAATATTGAGACAAGATGAGTTTTATTTGAAACAACCTCACGTGACGTAAAATATCTGGAAGATAGTGCTGACAAAAAACTGCTAGACGGAAATTCTCTCAATGGTTCATTTCAACTGAAATGAGCTAATGAAGATAATTTCGTTATTGATTTGTTCTGTAAACAGTCCTTAAAAACACTTAAAAATTTTGAACATTCTGAAAAGCCTACCTAGAAACTGACAAATTTTCATTGACAATTGATAGTTTGTCTCGTATTCATAAGTATTCATTCAAATACAAATTGAAGATGAAAAAAAAATTGAACACTTCAAAAATTTTTTTCTGTGATATAAGTTTAGGTATATTGAAACAAAACATATTTTTTTCAAAATGCAGATCTACTTGGAATTTCGATTGAAACCGACTTGGGACTGGTTACTGACCGTCATGGATGCCACAGAGGCTCAACTCAAGTTCGGCGCTTCTCTCACAAACTCCTTGGACGCGAACAGTCCTGGGCATACGCTGAATACACCGTCGAACACTGGAGGTGGGCGTCGTAGTATGCCTGCTACAACTTTAGCTTCATTAGGTGTTTTTTGCTTTTTTTATTTGGCATGTTTTTATACACAATACAATTTCATTTCTTATATTTATAGTTGATTATTTCGTCAGTTGATAATGACAGCTATCATTCTCGAGGAATATTTGAGATATTTTTCTCAACAGTTCTGATCCTGGCTGTTAGCTTTCAGTTTCAGGCTCCTCTTATCACATAATTTCTAAAAAAAATATCTTTGAGATGGTATACTTTGATTTGACTATATTGATTCTAGTTCATTTTTGTGGATTGCATACATCAAATTCAGACGATGTTTCGAATCTTGCATTGAACTTCAAACATATTACTTTGGTGTCCAAAAGTGACTCATGGGCATCACAACAGACAGAGTAAACATTCGAAAACTGTCAAAATGAAAACCCAATTCGGGAAGAAAATCATTGTATTTTTGTGGGATAAATATATATAATAGTCTACCCAACAGAATTGAATCTATTAGGTTCATCACAAAATTTAAGTGTCAACTGAAGAAATACATTTTATCAATTTAACTCTCTCCTTGTATCAATTAATTCTGATTGAACTGTTTATCTTTCATCGTATTGCATATTTGATTCATTTTTTTTTTGTTTCCCTCATGTTTCTTGGGATCAATAAATATTATTATTATTATTAAGTCGCTTCATATTTTGTTAACTTATCATTTGAAAAGTATGTTTGATATAATATTCATAGTATTAATTTTAATGTTTCTTCTGTTTCTTTAGTCAGTTCTGGTAGTACTGGTACTGTTAGAACGAGTCGAGCCCATGCTGTCACCACTGCTTCTGGTGCTTCTTCCGGAAATAGAATCGTTGGTTTTACCACAAATGTTGAAGGAGCAAGAACAAGACCTGAAAGAGAAGGTTAGTAAAGGTATTCCGTCATTTAAGATAACTTTCATACAGAGCTGTACAACTGAACAAGTAACTGTCGCAAGTCCAAATTAGTGTGTATGGGAATACTGAACGCTTTCGTTAATGGGGTGATGAGATGAATGTAAAACTTTTTGTAGAGGTAATTCTTTTTGCAAATCATTCTTGCAATGATATATTTTTTCAATGTGATACAAGAAAAGGTTCATGTACAGATATTTATTAAGAAACGTAAATATTTTGAAACGCATAACTCGTTCAATTATTCATAAAGATCGCCTCGGAATGTTAACATGATTGTTATATACATATGCAAATCTGAAATGATCGATATTACTTAGTTCATTATTTGTAAAATGTTGTCCTTCGAGGGTTTCAAACTGTTGGAAGTTCATCAAAGTTTCATTTAATTCGGCTCGACTCAAAAATCTTGTGGAAATACATTGATTACAAGCTATAAGACACTAGGAATAATGTAGTGTCTTTTTCTGTAGATGCAGTGAAGTATACGGAAAATTAACCCGAGCATCCAAGGCACACTTCACTTCAGACTGACTGACATAAAATGCCTCGAGCCATAGTGCCTCTATTAATTGTCCAATTTGAAAAAAAAAACAAAAAAAAAAGCAAATACAATTACTCATCCTCAGTCTCTGATCTTTATTTTCTCAAAATTCAACTGTAACGTCTGCGACAGTCGATTTTTTTTTTGAAGAGCCAAAGTTTCTTAAATTTTTTTTATGATCGAGATTTTTTTCTGAATCCACAAAATTAGTTGAAAAACAAAATGAATGCTCAGTTGACAAGAAATAAATATTTCTGTAACATGTTGAGATGTATCATTTGATATGACAGTAAATATCACACATTACAGGATATCCCTTTTCGTGGGAACCAGAACATAAAATAAAAGAATGTGAGTATTTTGTTTGTCAGATATTTCAACACCACATGTGATTTTAAAGTGTACAGTGAAAAAATTCAAAACATCCAAACTTTCCATCGTTATGTTGCAAACACAAATCACACGTACTGATTGCTTTATTATTTTGTAAACATCAGGAATCTAGATGATCCTAGTGAAACCAGTGACTACACCAGGAAAAACTTTGTTGAACCTAATGAGAGCTCACTTAGGTTATTAGGCTCAAACCCCCATATGTAAATTTTGATGATTTCTATAAAGGGTTTCAAAATAATAGGCATATCAGAACAGCATTTTTGTAAACGTGAATAATCATCATGATTTTTTAACTACCGGTGCTATTTATTGAACGTTTCAAAATTTGCAAGCAGAAAATGAATGAGATCAAACAAATCTTGTTAATTCGAACTGAGGTGATTTTTTGCATATGGATGTTCCAAGGCATGGAGAACAATAATATGAAGTTAGTTTTCTTGCAAAAAATCTGATATGATTTCATAAAAAATCGCCACCTTTTTACTTCAATAAAAACACGGCACTATCCAATTTCATTTGGTAGCTTGTTGTATACATCAATATGCGAAGAATTTTCTTCTGACATCACAAGTCTGCCTGGATTGTTTCAGCTAATTACCTGATCTAGTAGAATATTGATGTTTTACTGTCATAAATTGATAATCCTTCTTGTTTGTGTGGATTTCAAGAACCGTGAGATAAATAAAAATTGTGGGAACTGGCATAATCTGAAGTTTGCGAAAAATTGAACGGCAATGGTCTCTGTAATTTGCACCGCTCATGATTCTGACTACTTTTTTTGTTAAACGAATATTTTGTGAGAATGACATGATCTGCCCCACAGTAATATTCCATATATTATGTGGCTGTGAAATAAACTATAATAGGAGGATCTGTGAACCTCTGAACTAACTATTTTTCTTATTGTACGGATCAAAAATGTAATAAAAGACAATTTTCGGCTCAATTTTGTCATCAATTACAATGACCAGTAGTGTAACAGTGTTTCCAGACGAGATATTAGAGTGGGATGATATCAACAATTCTTGATTTTTATCGGTGTTCAGTTAAAGTGTATTTGCAATAAACCAGTAATTAGCTTTCTCCCGAGAACGTTCTCAGATTCCGACCAAGTTCGCAAATTAATTTCAGAATTTATCAAAGTGGTGTCATCTGCTAAGAGTACACTGTTGATTGGAAGCATATGATAGAATAAATCATTTATGTACACAATGAACAACAAAGGTTCCAGGACTGATCTAATTTCATTTGCTTCTTTGTTTTGAAAATCGAATAGTTTTGTCAGTCGACCTATATATTGTTTTTTCATGCCTTTCAGCCAGTGATGCCCATGCAGCAAGACGCGAATTCCTCATGTACTGTTTGTCCCTGATGAGGGCCCACAACAACGAGCATCTCGATTCTCTTCCCGTGTTGGACGTGTCCGCCTTGAAGCATGTCGCTTACGTTTTCGACGCGCTGATCTACTACATGAGATCGGGAAGTGCCGAGGGATCCGATGGTGAGAGTCGAAGGGAGGGTCTGCCGTTGCCTGCCTGGAACGATCAAGTAAGTTGCTATATTTACGAGCATCGTGTGCAAGAAACCAAGAATGAATTGCTGAATGAGGTTGGAATGGAACCTCAGAGTAACTAGTTGGAAATAGTGATTTAAGTTTGCTTATTTCTTCTGCGGAAAAGACATCACATTCTAAAAGCTCTGTGGAACAGCTGCTAAATTGATAATTCGAGAGTATTTTTTAGATACAAAAATAGAACAACCTTCATAACATAATAATAAACCCATAACAACATAAGTGTCAGAAATTCACTACTAATAATTATAAACCTATTAGTTATTGTTAGATTAACTAAAAAAAAAAATAGAATTATTTGTAGTTCAATTTATGGCACCGCTAAGTTTCCTAGTAGGCGAGCAATAATCGTAGTGAGAAATGCAAATTGTCGCTTTTGTTGTTATTAATGGTTTTCCGACTGTTGTGTGATCATTTCATGGTGTTTCACTAACTCATTTAATATTTTACCTCAGCCACTATAGAAAGTAGGCAAGAACGCACATTTGGTATTTAAAATTGTTGGTGTATACTATGTAATGATATATGAATGAATCGCGGTGTTTATCAATTATTATTCAGTCTGAGAAAGGAACCATAAATGATGGTGTATGTTTCTCCACTCTCATTCATTCAGTGTATCTTTGTAACTGTCGGCTTCATTTTAGGATGAAAATGAGAATGAGGAAGCTGAAGAGGACATAGCTGTGGCAATGGAAACAGAGTCACTGGACGATCAAGAAGTCTCCAACTTGGCAAATAATTTATCTAGCAGCCTAAACACTTCTGTGCAAAGTGGTTTGGGAAAAGGAAGAAAACATTCATTTTTCCAGGTAATGGTGCATGAAAGTAAGAGAAGATAGAAGTTGAAATTATAAATCTTCATTTCATGAGTGTCATCTTATTATCGCAATTTTTTGTGTACCAGAACAAAGTGCAAAAAATGTATCAGGTGAACTAGAGGTTGAATGAGGATGATATAAAAGGCCTTCTCGTACACCCTAACCTACCCGTTGGTTTACCTAACCTGGATTATTTTTGGTAACTCAACTCAATTGCAACGTTAAAAGAGCTATTCCTGTATTTGGATGTCAATATGTCTAAAATTTGCTTATGTTCTTGATTGGTATTAATTTTGGGGTGTGTCTGTTTTGGCATCTCGTCTTCTTTTAGTTTTCTTGTAGTAAATAATAATTAATACCCTAGTCCTGGGTAAAAGGGGAATTTGATCATTATTTCATTAATGTAAAATATTAAACTGTTGATATATTTTCTTCACAAGTTAGTTATTTAAAATTTGATGCAGATATCAAAATATTATGAACCTAGAGATCGATAAACTTCGAATCGTCGAATATTGAAATCCTGATTAATAAATCTAAAGACTTCACACCTTAAATTTATCTGTATGTTCATTATAATATATGATTGAATCTGAGAGAAACCGAAAAATTCTAGGATCTTGTTCATGTTGTTATTTTCGTTGACGTTGACGACGTCTTGTCAGAATTTGAAGAATGAAGAAAAGGAATATTCTCAGATAAATTGTGTATATCATGAAGAATGGCTGTAAGAATAAGTGGACATCATGGTTACTGATGAGGATTCATTCCAATAAAGTCATATAACCTCTGTGTGAGAGATAATATTTCCCATATCACTGATATGAATGATTATCTTTGGAAGTTTTCAAGCTCATCAAGATCAAAGTTAATGCCACTATACTTCTCCGATACATTCCAATTTTCATTTCAATGCTGAATATATTGGTAAGTCATATTTCTATATCATTATTCATCCGATTTGAAGAAGAATGTCAATTCTCAATTTAGGAGGATTTCATTCTTTATTTTTCATGTTCTCCTTTTGAATGTTCATCAGATATAATTCAATGTTCGACGTGGCAAATAGCCAGGAAAGTAGTTGTTTTCTGTTGAATATTCAGAATGATGTGTGCATATACATATTTTTGTCTGAATTAGGATGCAAATTCTCAATTTCAGAAGTTTTTATATTTTATTTTGAAACTCTTATCGTGTGTGTTCAATAGATATAATTAAATGTTCGTCGTGGCATATAGCCAGGAAAGTAGTTGTTTTCTATTGAATCAACTGAAAAAGAGTAAATATTCTCATCACATAGAGAATGCGAATTCTCAATGTATTGCTCTATATAAATATATATCCATTTTTGTATGTTCATAAATTATCTGAGAATATTCCTTTTCAACACTTTCATACCCAACAAGGGGTTCAAACTTGAACGATGGAAACTTGTGATTTTCATAGACCTCTAATCGCAGATTCGTGATAGAGTCTCAATTAAGAATTTCTTTCCACGCTCTGTATGATGAATTTCAATTTATCATACACCCAAAAGCAATAAAGAGAAACTTGATTGTGCCTCAACTCCTACTCCACGTGATCTCTGTGAATTGGGTTAATGAACCCGAGCGAGTTTCCTAAAAACCATAAGTCAACTCAGATGGCGATAGAGTTCGACTTATTGGTTTATTACTTCAATACATTGAAATCTTCTATAGGTATTGTTTTGAGAACACATTATCTCATAATATCTGGGAAGAATCATTACATCTCTTTTCTTGTATCATGTGATCTGGAATTTTTTTGTAACAGAATTTCTACATAAAAATTACCCTACATTTATACCAACTAATACGAGAAAACATTCAGAAAATGATGAACGATCTATAGTCAATTTTGCTAGAAAGTTACGTGAAAACCTTCAAAAAAATCGAAGAAGAGACATAACATACATTTTGTCTGATATCTTATGTCAAATTGAATTTCACTAATATACAATGTAATTGAAACTCATCAATAATTTAGGAAAATCATTCAAATATAATAATGTGTTCGAAAAGGCGAACTTCAATGCCTTTTCACGGATCAACGATGTATCTCCCTAAAAAATAAAGGTCATTCTAATCGGCCTATATCGATTTCTCCGCCACTCGTTCTCGTACAACTCGTTCTAACAGCTCCCCTGAAAAATTTTCAGCGATCCGAATCAACTCTATGCCTCGGCTGCCCCCCGCCCGACCCCTTCGACACGCCCATGTCGGAAGCCCTACCCCTCGCCGACCAACCCCATCTCCTGCAACCGAACGCCAGACGCGAAGACCTCTTCGGCATCCCGAAACAGCCGGTCACCCTTACGCCCACAGCCAACCCGGTCGAATCGCTCCCCACCAAGCCCGGCCCTTCGACCAATCCGCTCGAGTCGCCGCCCACCAAGCCCCGCCCTTCGACCAATCCGCTTGAGTCGCTGCCCACCAAGCTCAGTCTATCGACGCGCACGAGCGAATTCGCGATGCGCCGGCCTGCCGAAGCGAACCGACCGATCCCGAGCGGCATGAACGTGATGGGGCCGAACGCGCTGGTGCATCCTCGGAGCTATCGGGCTGCGGAGGAGGAAGAGGAGGGGGGAGGGGAGTTGTCGACTCGACCGATTCCGGGCGGGCTCGCGCCTCCGCGGAGTTATGTGGTCGATGAGGAGGGGGGAGAGGAGGAGGAAGATGAGGAGGAGGTAGAGGGGAGGAAAGAGAGAGATAGGGAGGCGATGAGGCGGTCGGAGCAGGCGTACGCCGGTGGTTCGGCGGTTGGTTCGAGCGGTTCAGGGGTTTCGTTGAGGAGCGCCGAAAGTGAGTGATTGTATATTTATTCAGGGTGTACATGAAGACGTAGAAGACATATTCTGATGACTTATTTCTGATACAATTTGGAAAAAAAACGATTTAAACCTGTATCAGGAAATGCTTCGTGTCGTTGAAAAAAAATCGATATCAACATCCTATGTGTTGATATCTTTTTTTTTTCGCTTTTTTTTAATAACTTGCAAAAGATGTGTTTTTTCATGAAATTTGGTAATTGTGTTTTTTTTTTTTCTGTGGGAAATGGTAATTTCATATTAATTTTTATGTAGCACGTAGAGGACGCTTCATTGTTTATTTAAAGTTGCCCTAGCTTCTTTGACATCTAGTAGGATACTTGGGGTAGAATCGCAATTATACACATAGGCACAAAAAACACTTATATTCAACTTCTGTTAGGTACAACTTGTCTCTACAATATATGAATAATTAATGAAGAATCCAACCTTATCCCGTTTACATTACATAAAACTATATTAGTCATTATCAGCATAGTTATCAGTATGAGTCGAGTCAGATGCCTTTCCATTGTCGGATGCCGCAGACATTATATTTTGGCACTTTTTATGAAAAAAAAAACATTCTCGCACCTTTTTTAGGTAAAACACATAAACTTCCTCAACAATGCTGAAGCTGATTGTTTTCCAGATATTTGCCATTTTCTATATCAATGCACGTTACTCAGCTCTTAGGGCGCTAAGTGAAGAATCAAAATAAACTACTGTTATCTTATTTTTATCGAGAAATGATTCGTACTCGAGATATAGATTGTTGAAATTTTCCAAAACGTACTCTTGTTATAAGTTAATAAGTTATTTTCATCAAACTTTCCATGAGAAAAAAGTTGTTGATTTCAACTATGTAGATCTACCAGATACTCAGTTTTTATAATATTTCCAATAACTTCACTCGAGATCCTAGAACTAAATTACCTGCTTCCACATTGAAAATTGTCTCGAAAACGATCACCTCCAGCGTTGTTGAGAAAGTAAACTTCTTTTATTTGAAAAAGGTGTGGAAATAAGGTTTTTTCATGAAAAGTGCCAAAAGTTCACTGTCTAAAAAAGTTATGGCAATTTTAAATGAATATCTCTATACAAGAGGCATTTCGGGACATAATTTTATATTGACTTTTCTTATCTTGAAATTGTTTCAGGAATACATCATCTAAAAATGTCAACGTACTAATATTACACCCTGTATTACAAAATACACATAAGTAGGTATTACATCTTGTTAGAAAGATCCACTTATTTCCATAAATAATTTTGTACAATAACTGAAACGAAATCAATCAATTCATTTTGTTTTAGTGAAATAAGGAAAAAAAAAAGATTTTGGAATAATTAAATGTTTTCAAGATACTGCAGTATCGTTCTTTCAGAGGCTGATATAAAGTCATCTTGTGGTTTAGTGAATATGGAAAATAATCCCATCATTAAATCTCATTCAAAATACTGCCATTTCTATTCTTACACTTTTGAGAATCACCTGTATATTTATGAAAGAATTTAAAAAGTGCACTCACCGATCAAAACTGCGCGTATTCAATGAAATAGTTTAGGCAAATTATTGATCTACACGTATATTTCCTTATAGCTGAGCTGTTCAATGAAAGGCCTCAAGATCTATCTCGGAATCGTGAAGAACAACCTCTCGATATGTTTGCTCCTTCTGTTCCATCAGAATGTACTGCTATTTCTAGGCCTCAGATCATTGTTTCACCTAGGAAGATTGAGTTTTCTTCTGAAATTATTGGTAATCAAGAATTGGTAAGTTGATAATTCAATTTGTAATTCATCACATTGTATAAATTTGACTACTATGCATTCTTTGCCACAATAGCGGAAATTATAATAGAACAATGGGCGTGTACACCTTGGTAGAACTTTTAACTCAAACCATGTTTATAATGATCCTTTCATACATAAATAATGATTGACGACATAATTCGATCGAAAAATTTACTGGAATGTTCAATTTTTGGACATAAATAATAGTACCATCTGAAAACGGACCCTCTTATGACGTAGAAACCTCATCTCGCCATAGTTAAAAGAAAATACCAAACGCCGGACGGAGACTGAGGCAACTGATATATTAATTCTTTCAACTGTGATCTCGCGCTAATTCACTCTGCCAGAAATCATGTATCATTCATCTCTGTCTGGAATAGTCCTGTTTCAGTATTAGGGTTTTGACGTCACATCATCGCCTCGTTTTCAGAGGTCCGAAAAATCGGGGATTTCAATAATTTTTCATAAAACGTAGGGAGCTCACAGCGATAAACGGTTTGCTGTGGTGAGCTAGTTTGGGTGAACTCTATCGAATTATGGAATAACATTTTTTTGTGATATAAGCCCATTAGTCGGCGGTGACGATTATTCCAAGTTCACTTCAATAAATGATGAGTTGAAACCTAAAGAGCCTGGCTCTTTCTATTTTGAACCCATCACTTCCTCTGAAGTATTTAATGCGATTATTCAACTTAAAAATTCCAACTGCTTTGACTCTTACGACTTGAATAGCAGGATAATCAAAGAATCCATCCAGTTTATAGTAGAGCCTTAGACTATCCTGTACAATGCCTGTATACTTGAAGGAATATTTCTTGATGAACTGAAGATCACTAAGATAATACCAATTTTTAAAAAAGGTGATATTGATAAATTGGAGAATTATCGCCCAATATCTATCATACCTATATTTGGTAAAATATTTGAAATAATAATAAAAAATAGATTACAGATATACTTTGAAAGCAAGGATGTATTGAACAAAGATCAATATGGATTTCGAAAATCATGCTCGACCATTCAAGCAGTAACAAGAGTTGTAAGGGAGGTAGTGGAAGGTTTCGAGAAGGGGCAGCTAACTGCAGTCACTCTCTGCGACCTGACCAAAGCCTTTGACTGCGTCTCTCACGATATCCTCTTGAAAAAACTTTGTGATTACGGTATCAGAGGAATTGCACTTTCTCTCTTCCAGTCTTACCTTCATAATCAAACGCATTACGTTTGCCTTAACAGCAACGAAGCATCTGGATTTGAGGTGATGAAATCTGGAGTACCACAAGACTCTGTTCTAGGGCCTCTCCTTTTCATCATTAACATCAATGATTTCTTCAATCATATGTTACCAAACAAATGTGTAGTTTATGCAGATGATAGTACGCTAATATGCGCTGACAAAAACTGTCAAAACTCAATTACATCCATGAAATATGTAGAAAGCCAGGCAGAAAAATGGTTCACTGGAAATCTCTTGAAACTTAACAGAGACCAAACTCAGAATTTGATCTCCTCATCCAACAGTAAAACTAAAAAAGGTGATAAAGTAAATTTACTAGGAATCACAATAGGTGATAACCTGAACTGGCACAATCATATTGCTGACTCATGTTCCAAACTTTCAAAGCATATATTTCTGCTTTGAGAGTTGAGATCTATAGTAAGTTCTAAGATTCTCTTGACAGCATATTACGCATTTTTCAATTCGCATCTTAGGTATGGTATTGTTTTGTGGGGAAACTCCTCATCTTCTGATAGAGTTTTTAAGCTTAAAAAAAAGCAGTTAGGATAATTGCTAATGCAGATTATAAAGACCCATGTCGTCCCATATTAAAAAATTTAGGAATAATGCCCCTTCCTACCTTATATATTTACCATTGCCTTCTTGAAATCCATGAAAATAAAAATGAATTCGATAGAAATGTCCATTTCCATGAACATGCTGAACTCATCAGATCCTCAAGATATAGACTACATAAATCTGCATCTAACTCTCCGAACATGAAATTGTATAATATCTTACCACAAACAGTGAAAAATCTTACAGGTCAAAAATTTAAACGATACATTAAAAATGAACTCTTAGCCAAATGTTACTATAATGATATTGAGTATATAACTAGCCCACCTGCTGCAATTGATCTTAATGTAAAATGAACCGTATTCTTTATGTCTTGGCCCTATTTTACATCTATATGTTATAGTATTTTATATCTATATATTAGTGTTTTGATGTCTTTCTTCATAACAATTTCTTTACAAATTTTTTCATTACATTCACACATTATTGTATTGTATTGATGTATTGACTTGCTACAAATGTATGTATTTGCATAACGTAGTCAAATAAACGCTATATATCTATGTAATAGGGATGTTTCCTATATTGAGATTTTTATCTCCCTGAGAAGCTTGTAAAATTTTAATATATACGTATTTTTTCATTTCGTTCCTAAGATACAATTCCACTTCAGAAAAAAAATAAATGAAAAAGGAACTTGGCTCCTTCACCATTCCTATGACGTACTTAATGAAAAGCCACATTTGTACGACGTTGCCGACGTCATCAATATATTATTTAACTATATTATAACTATACTAACAGTATAACTATATCATAACAGCAATGGGATATAATAGGTTTTCCAATCCTTCTTCGTCGAGTATTATGAATAGTTCTCATAAATCTTTTATTTGCGGATGAATCGACTTCATAAAGAAATATTATAATATTTTGCAGTAGTATCTATAATTTTTCATTTTCGTTATATTACAAACTGGTAATCATAAGTTTTTTTTAAATGAATTCTTTCCTTTATAAAACGGATCTATATTCTAGGAAGGTTGTAGATTATATTTTGCATAATACCCGTTCGTTACTACTTCGGCCTTAGAATAGAATACGACTATTTTTTATCATCTACAATGTTGATATCCTATGTTAAGATGTTTCTGCGTTTCCACTAGTAGTCCATATCAGCAGAGCCCTGAATCATCTTAAGTTTATAAGTTAGTGGTCTTGTTGATGTAGATCCTTGAAATCAAATGAATATATCTGGTTCTCATCAAAATAAACACTTCTAGTTGGCACCTGGAAGTTCTTTATCTCTTTTGACACCAATGGATTGTTCCCAAGACACTTCCAGTCAGAATGTGTTAGCTGGTAATGCTTCTGGTTCTTCTTCACCATCAACAAGTTCATCGAGGAGCCCAAGCAAGAGTGTTATAGTTAGAGCGGGATCGTCGAATGTGAGTGAAATGATCATTTATTTTGTTGAAATTTCGGAAGTATCATACGTGTGTGAACGATTTTTGTTAATTTACACATCACTAAACTTCCTAGAGTATAATAACGCTTTCTGATGACCGCAGTTGCATGAAGTTTTTGACTGGGGACAGATACGGAGCTGACACTATTTTCCATTGGAATTTTCTTGATTTTATGTTTTGTAGGAATGACCTTTGAACGCCCTGAATGATAATGAATGCTTTTTCCTATTGATATATTCAGCTATTGAAAGTTACTTGTCTTATACACCTAGTGTACTTGAAGAATATTATTCGTGAATCTGAATGAGTAAAATTATGGGTTAAACGTTTTTATAATTTGACCCAACTTGATTTATTTCAAACCTGAATTCAAAGCTCAAGAAGAAGCCTCCTGAAAAAGCTATAACATATGATTCAAGAAATCCCCTCATGCAGAAATTATGTTTCTGCCGTTCCAAAAAAAAAACACTGCAACATCTGAATATTCTGGTTAGACTTTTTTGTTATTTAATGAGGTTTGAATAAGAATTGAAATTGTTTGAAAAGTTTCCTTTGTGTCTCTTTAACAAATTCATGTAGAGAATAGAGAATTAGTGAATTTTCTTTTTGGTATCAGAACTGATTGTCGGAATATATTACTTTGATTCTAAAAAAATGATATGGAGATTTATAACTTAGAATATTTGGTTGGAGTTGATACATTGTCTTATGAATCAAACTGTATCCTACTCAGAATTGAAAGAGTTGATCTACTTATTGTTCTTCATCATTAGAGTCAGAAGATATGTGAATCAGAAATTCTGATGACCATGGATAGCCAGCAACCTGAGACTCTCGAGAACCAAGAAATTTCTGCCAATGTCACCGTTATAACCACTACCGTGAATAATGAACCACCAAAACCTACTTTCGGGCAGTCAATTTCACATGACCTGTTGCTGGGCAGATGGAGGCTTTCGTTGGATTTGTTCGGAAGGGTATTCATGGAGGATGTTGGTTTAGAACCAGGCTCAATTGTGTCCGAATTAGGTGGTTTTCCCGTTAAGGAAGCTAAATTCAGAAGAGATATGGAGAAGCTGAGAAACAACCAGCAGAGGGATCTCACTCTATCAAAGGTAAGAATGGTACTTCATGATATTTTTGTTACCGATAGTTATATAGGATTGACAAACAACATTACACTACAGAATATTTCACGTCTGATGCCATTTTCAACAACATAGTATATTAGTGATTGTCTGAAAAATGTTGTTTCCTGATTTGAAATGCCTCGACATTTCATGAAGAAGTAGTGTTTTTATGTGTAACTTGAAATATTGCCAGACACATTGACGGGACACGTCATTTTTGATCTCCACTTGATGACGATCTTGCAATTTCCAAATAATGATATTCATTAAAATCTTGAAATAACAGTTCACCAGTCCAGGACTAAATTCTTTCATAGGGGCATGTAACCCTGAGATAAAACTTACCTTCCAACAAATAAATGGAATTGGAAATATTACTTTATTACTACTGACATTGACAGTTATGGACAATCATGTTCGTAGAATACTTTCTTGTTCGATTTCTGTGTACAAGATTTTGTGAAAAATCATCGAATTCATTGTTCTCCACAACCAATTTTCACTTAGAGCTTTTTTTTGGCAAAGTAAACTTGACATGTATTGATAAGAATTTTGTTGAAACAGCCTAACGCAGCATATTTCACCATGCTTCCAAAGCAGAATTGAATAATGTCGTATTAAGGTAAAGTATGAAATTGAAATTTTGTTAGATCTCTTTTAACGCCTATGAATGTGACGTGACAGCAATGCCATGTCAGGGACGCCAATACACGAAACCAAAGTCACTAGATGATTAAAAGAGAAAGGAGCTATGATCTGTCAGTATCCTGTTAGATGACAAATACGTCAGTTTGCATCAAGGGACCCTACTTATAACAGTATGCAAAATATCGACATGCTATCTACCTTAGTGTACCTACAAATTATCTTGCCAATATAAATCATGAGTCTCCGCCAGACATAACAGTCTAATCGTATTATTCTCACGCATTGAATATCGCTGTCTCCCCAACTATGACGAGCGGTCGCTGCCTCCTATACCCACCATTCTCTTTTCCCCATGTTCCAGATCGAGCGCGACAGAACCCAACTCCTCATCCAAACCTTCAAGGAGCTGAACACGCAATACAACAGCTATAACCGCCGCACCTCCTCATCCTCCTCCTCGCCGCCGCTCGCCGTCAACCGCGTCAAGGTGACGTTCAAGGACGAGCCGGGCGAGGGTAGCGGCGTCGCGCGCAGCTTCTACACGGCCATCGCGGAGGCGCTGCTCGTCGATGCAGCGCTGCCCAATCTCGAGGCGGCGCAAGTGGACGGCAAGTACTCGCAGTACGGCGTGCTGCAGCGGTTGCGGCGCGACAGGGACGTGGTGAGGAGGGCGGTGCCCGTGCGCGGGTCCAACAAGCAGCGGGACCATCACAGGTGGGTTTTCGGGATGTTTTCATTGGGATATTTTCAGGTGAAGATTTGTACAAGCTGCATACGCGTAACCAGCGTACAGGGTGAACAACTAAGAACAGCTGTCGGCCATATCTCAGCAACGAATAGTGTTACAACTTCGAAAAAAAAATATATTTCGAGAAAAGTGACCCTAAAAAAAAGCTGGAAAATATTTTTAGATTCCTAACATAACCGCTAGGTGGCATAACGGCTATGAGTTGAAAGAAAATTGAAATTTTCTCCGTATTCAGCAGTAACAAGGTGTACTGAAAATATATGTAGTTTAATCTTTGATAAATTCCTAGTTTATTTTGTCTAACACTTTTTGTCCCATCCCAAAAAATGAAGTGGTGGGAGAACGTCGAACTATGTTTTTTCTAAACGTCTGTAACTCTGGTTATATTCAACAGAATTGAACAATCTTGGGCTCGTTGAAAAGGTCTCTTCCTGTTTTATCAAATATGATTTGAATTGTTTTCATATTCATATCACCGTTGCCGCTAGAGGGCGTGATCCAGAGTACCAATGGATATCGTAATGTTAAACAAAATAATTAAATGTAATGGTATGCATATTGATGAAATAGAGAAACTAAATCTCAACAGACCAACGAAAACCGCAACAAGATAGCTTCTCGCTAACGGAAGATATCAACGATCAAAGTTGGAAGAATGATTTATTGCGTGAAGACAAAAATAGCATATTGTTGCAATTGTGTTGATTATCATCTACTTTTCTCATCTTTTTCGATCTTTGAATCAGAAAAATATGATTCTCACAAATGAAGAAGCATTTGATATGTTGGCAATTTATTTCCAATGCATGAGAAATGCAACTGTTGCTAGTAGAGTGTACGCGGTGAACTACCCAAATAGACGACATCCCGACAGAAGAGTGTTTCTTCGAATCGCACAGCGTTTGCGGACCACAGGAAATGTGCATCGGCCTGTTTATCGAAGACGTCGTAGAGCTCGAACGGAGGAACAAATAATAAATGTTTTAGCTTATGTAAATTTTGACCCTCATATTAGCAAACGAGCCATAGCGAGAGACTTGGGAACACAGGTAAACTACCCTATGTGTTATCGTATATGTCCAAGCAAAGCACTACGAGAGTTAAATCTCTTGAAGTAATTTTTCGCTAACTATTGCCCTATTACCCTTGTTTATTAAAATACTATTTAAGATTGCACCCATATCACAAGTCCTACACCAAGAGTTGAAGGTTCGAGATTTCGATAGCAGGCTGAATTACTTGAATATGATAGCAGATGATCCTGAATTACTTATGCATATTATGTGGTCAGATGAGGCTACATTTTGCAGTGATGGTAGTGTCAATCGCCATAATATACACTACTGGTCTGAAGAGAATCCCCACTGGATGCGAGAGGTCCAACATCAGGGTCGTTGGTCAGTAAAAGTGTGGGTTGCAATTATAGGGGGACAAATAATTGGGCCATTTTTTTTTTAATGAAACTCAATGAGGAAAGATATTTATATTTTTTAATGCATGAGTTGCCGCTTTTTTTAGAAGATGTACCACTGGCAATTCGTCGTGACATGGTTTTTCAACATGATGGGTGCCCGGCACATTACCATAGAGATGTTCGGAATTTTTTAGACCTAACATATCCTGACAGGTGGATAGGACGTGGAAGTTTATTTAATTGGCCAGCCAGATCCCCAGACCTGACGTGTTTAGACTTTTATTTGTGGGGACGATTGAAAGATCTTGTGTATGCCAACAGACCCACGACAAGGGATGACATGATTGAGCGAATTCGCATTTTCGCATTGGAAATATGAGTATTTCAGCGACGGAAATTGAAACGTCTGTTCTATCCAATCGTCAGAGACTCATTTCTTGTATTGAACATGACGGTGGCATCTGAGGGGCCACTAATTACGTTCTTATAGTTTTTTGTTGTGATTTGTTCAATTTATTGTTCACTATAGATTTTGTTACATTGTTTATTTCGACTGCTTGATGCAATAAATCATTCTTCCAACTTTGATCGTTGATATCTTCCGTTAGCGAGAAGCTATCTTGTTGCGGTTTTCGTTGGTCTGTTGAGACTTAGTTTCTCTATTTCATCGTGTAATAATATGCATACCATTACATTTAATTATTTTGTTTAAAATTACGATATCCTTAGGTATTCTGGATCACGCCCTCTAGCGGCAACGGTGATATGAATATGAAACCAATTCAAATCATATTTGATGTAACAGGAAGAGACCTTTTCAACGAGCCCAAGATTGTTCAATTGTGTTGAAGATAACCAGAGTTACAGACGTTTAGAAAAAACATAATTCGACGTCCCCCCACCACTTTATTTTTTGAGATGGGACAAAAAGTGTTAGACAAAATGAACTAGGAATTTATCCAAGATTAAACTGCATATATTTTCAGTACACCTTGTTACTGCTAAATACAGAGAAAATTTCAATTTTCTCTTTACTCATAGCCGTTACGCCACCTAGCGGTTATGTTTCTCGAGATATTTTTGTTTTCATAGTTGTATCATTATTCTTTGCTGAGATATGGCCGACAGCCGTTCACCCTACGATAATGTATCCACATGCCTAAGCTTCCTTGTTCGTCGAATGCTTAACCCTTTTTCAACCGAAAGTAGAGATTATAGCAGGTGCGAGGACTGGTCATAGACGCTTGGAGGCACTTTTTCTCGGTTTCCCGGGCTGTCTGAGTGTATCATTAAAAGGGCATACGAACATATGCTATCGACACTTGTGTCATGGGACCACGGTCTAAAAGCGCGATTTTTAATAAAATACTTACAGGAAATACAAATTTCTTTATTCGATTGAAATGTTTTTATACACTCACTGGCAAAAAAAACTGGCCAGATGAAAATTTTGCCAATGGTCGCTCTGTAACTTTTTCAATAGGCAAGTGGACTATTTTTTTTATTTTTTAAATAAAATCATCACTCAACTACCTTTCAATTCCAGATTTTCAAACGGCTAGAAATTTACCGCAAATAACAACCATCGTCACGATTTTGGGAGAAGGGGCAGACAGCACAGTTTCCATATGTTGAAATGCGATTGGGAAACCTTGAAAATATTATTTATTCGATAATTCATAAATTAATCTCAATTATTAATTGTTGAAAATATTCTTAATTAGCTATAAAACAATCTATTTTCTTGAAATGTATCCTCCTATGTGTTGTGGCTTATTGCTCATCATGAATTTATGTTAATGATTATATTAATTCACACTAGAGGACTTTTGGTGTGGTAAACGTGTCAATACAGAGTTCTAGGCGTTGTCTTGTCAGTTCTTAGCAGTCAGCACAGCATTGCCAAGACTCTAGCCAACATTTAAACGATTTTTTGTTATGGAGTATAAGAAATATCTCAACAAGCTGGTTGCTCGAAAAATTCACAAATGAATAATTGTAATATCATGGCTTCCTCCTTCCTCCTATCAGGTCAAATGAAATATTTAATTTGGTTATGATTTTATCCAACGATAGTGCTTTATCAACTTTTTTATAACTTGCTTATAATTGGTAACTTGACAACCTTGCTTCATGAGTGGGAATGGAAGATTATCTGATCAATAAGGAAACAACTGATGTCACCATGTATCTGACGTATCCCAGAACATGGTCAAGTGGTGGCCATGACAGCACGTTTGAAATGAGCTCTGAAATTCACAAATTTAGAACAACGCATAGACACATTATTTACATAAAAAACGCGTGCGAAGTTTTCCAAAAATTGATTTAGGTCCCTAACTACACAGTGGAGTAATTGAATGCCAATAATTCACTCAATAAGTCCACTCGCCCTCTCGTGCCGCACCTGCAGTCACTTCAAAGGGAAATTCAAACAAGTCGACGCCGCACAGTGCAGTAGCCGACCGGTCGCAACCACTTGAACCACACTTCGACCACAGGGTTTCTGATTGATGACCATATTGACCGAACTTCAAATGGTATCGTTTTTTGTTGGAGATCAAGGCCGACCGATCCAAGACCTCTTCGCCCAGACTCATTGATGGTCGAAGCGGTTCGAGGATATGAAGTATAACCTCAAAAAAAAACGGGAAAGGACATTTACAGTCTTTAAAATTGAGTGACTCCAACTGCTCATATATTTCAACAAAAATAGCATTACATCACTGATGATTCACTTCAGTGTATTATTTCTGATATATACAGTTCAAAATTATTATTTTATTCAACAAAATCTGTCTCGGGGAATTCAATGATTCATATAGATAATTTCTAATTTATCTTCTTTATGAGTTCCAGGTGATGTGTTATTTTCGATATATCATCAATTGATCAGGAGTTGGCGGTTTTTTAAAGGTTTTTGTATACAAGCGGCCGGTCTGAACCATTCGTATTTGTCATAGTGCTTGGTCACGTGACACTAACGACCAGTCGGTCAAGCCGGTCGACAACCAAAAACTCTACCTTTGTTGTTCGATCCACGTTAGGGAACACTCGAATAGAAAGATATTGGCCTTCTCGGTCTTTTAGTTCTGTGGATGATTCTCACCGGTTTATTTCATGTACATTTCTTGTACACAGGCGCGCGATGAGCGTGGAGGCGAGGCAATTCGTACCTTTGGAGGGGTCTGACGCGCCCTCTATGCCGGACATCTCGACGGTTGCCGGAGGGAATCAGGCTGGGCCTAGTTCGAATCTGCCGGTGAACGGAGGAGGTAGGTCCCTTTATTTGTGTCCACTACTAGCTAACTACAGCAATGACAAATGTTTTGCTTACCATTTGATACTTATAGTTATTTATACACATTGGTAATGAAGGATATCATTATTACAATAGGGATATGTCATTCACATTCTCCGTTGAACCACGTCATAATGACGTTAACATTAACTATTTTTGAAAACCTATTTTTTTCACTTTACCCACTATCACAGTTAATCCATGTATCTTCACTCCGATATCCACTCCAATCATTTTTAAAGTGAATGTTCCTATTATATCCTCCATTTTTCACATTCATCATTCGTAAACAAATATGCATAAGTTCAACTTCAAGCACCTTTACCATATACGTATTAATAAACAATACGGATCATAACGGGTGCCAGGATGAAGCCAAAAATATGAAACAAATGAATATCCATAAGGATTTGGTGGCATGATACGCATGCGCCATGCGCTATTATAGTAGTCATCAAAGACATGCGTTTCGGTGGACAATGACGTTTACTAGCCTTTCAATCAAAGCAGTATGTGTCTGATAGTATCTCACTTTTCCTTATGGATAGTCATTTGTCTTCAAAAATCGGCTTCATGTTTCGCTATGGAAACAGATAGAGATTATCCGTATTGATTATTAATACGTATATGACCTTTACCAGCCCATTGAAAATAACAAAGATGACGTTACATTCGAAAAAAGTTGAAGCTTCACAATAACGAAAATATTTTAATTGGATCCTCCATGTTTCCTCTAGCTATCCTACGAGTTTTCGGAATCGTGCTATTTTCAATTTTTCATATATGTATATAGGGTGTAATTTAATTGCTGGCAGAAATATAGGATATATTTAGGCTCATTTTAAGAAGGAAAGTTCATATGAACATAATATGCCCTAATTTTAAGGAAAAATCGCTTATCATATCTTCAGTATTGAGATAATTTGATGGAATTTGACATACACCTACTAAACACCAATTGGCATTTCTTGATGTAAGAGATTTTTCATTATTCCTACCAGTGGCGTCCGTCTAGGATGTATACAGGAGATTTTTCTAAAGAAAAATATTGTACGACCTTGCTTTTTCCTAAAATAAGAATCATGTTTGAAATCCTCAATCACTCTGCAATAATGTAACCTCATGATTTTTTTCCGTCCGACGCACTGTTTTAACATTTTGGATCATCATTATTAATCAATTGACTTTACTTGAATTAAAATTTGACAAAAACACATCCTACCTACAAACTACCACATGGTGGGTACTTAGTAGGTGCATGTCAAATTTCATGAAATTATCTAGAACAGTATTGAATATATGATAAGAAAATTATTTTTCTTTAATGTAAACACCCTATAGCTCGAAAGTTGAGAGGTTTAGGGCATATTTTTATATGAACTTTTCTTCTTGAGATGAGCTAAGGAACCATATCCTATATTTTTAGCCATTAATTGAATTAAACCCTGTAGAGTGTAGATCACGTCGACTCATGGATATACAGGGTCAGTCAGTCTTTTGTTGCAAGAATTTAGCAGCTTTAAGGATACATTGTTTCAAGATGAAAATCTTCAATGAATATCTGCGTGGGAGCTTCGTTTACGATATTCAGGGTTTTAAAGTTCGCACGACCCCATCAGTGTATCATCCTGTAGGTATTCAAGAACGCTCGATAGTCCTACGTGAAATACGGGGGTGCTTTCATGAGAAGTGAGACAAAATTTAATTTTTCCGAACTGAAAATTTCCTAGGAAAACTATGAATAGTTAGTGAATTGGGCGTCCTGATTCCGAATCCGAAGTGATTCTCAACCTATTTTGACGCCTAATATCATTTCCCGGAAATTGGGGTGGTTCCATGGCTGTTGGCGAGCAGTGTATTACACTGAAGATGACCCCACTTGGTCATAGGGTGCATTCATGGTATATCTCTCGCTCCAGCAAATTTCAGGATCCTTACCCAATTATTACGTAAGATACAGGGGTGTTTCCATTAGAAGTGGTTCACACTGTATACCTCTAATACTGATATTATTTACTACCTTGGTGTATAAGAAACTATTACATAGAATTTTTATCTCAAAATGTCTTCTCTCCGCTACTAAAACCTGACCCACCCTGTCTGTATACCCTGCCTAATCTCGGCTTCTCGTCATCCGCCTCAGGCACGCGCAACGACCACCTCAGCAGCCAGCAACAGCAGCTCGGCGACCGGCTCTACCCGAAGGTGTACGACGTGCATCCGACGTTCGCCGGCCGCATCACCGGCATGCTGCTGGAGCTGTCGCCCGCCCAGCTGCTGCTGCTGCTCGCCTCCGAGGACTCGCTGAGGGCCAAGGTGGAGGAGGCGGTGGAGATGGTGCTGGCGCACTCGCACTCGCAGGCTGAGATGGCGTCGGCGGAGGGGCTGTTGGGTGAGTCGAATCGAGTCGAGACAATACGACTATTGCTTTGGTCCTCCGAGTAACTAATGAAGTCTTGGTCATCCGAGGATTCCTTGAGGACTCCTCAGCACTTGACATACAACTTGTTAACACGTTGAATGCCACCGTGAACAAAAAAAATTGGTCCCATAGGCCAAATTTTTTTTTCCGCTTTTCTTCAAAGGAAAATATCCTTAAATAACTCTTTGTGCTACTAGAAGCTAAAAGAAAAACGTACGGAAAAGGCATCACATTCTAAGGATCTCTGTGGAACCGCTGCCGAATCGATAAGTCGAGATGATTTTTCGGATAAAACATATTCAACTTGGCATAAGTAGCTTATGACCATCTTCACAACATAATGATACACCCATAACAATATAATTGTGATAAATTCACTACTTATAATAATTATGAACTTATTGTAAGGTACATAACACATTGAAAAATATTATCATTTGAAGATAAACGTTGCAGGACCACAGTAGACAAGCAATAGTTGCCAGGATAAATGTAATTTGTCGTTTTTGTTGTTATTAATAGTTTTAGATCTGTTGGGTTATCAGTTTGCGGAGTTTCAGTAGCTCATTCAATGTTATAAATCTAAAGCAGACTATTTTGTGAATAAATATGGTTCAGCAGCATCAAATATGTAAAGAAAAGTTCCTAAACAATATTCTAACCTGACATTTCTGTTGATGAATATCTTGTTTGAAATATAAAAAAATATCGAATAAACTCATTAAGACATTAGAAATTAATGTATTATAATGTTACAGCATGTGAGAGTTGATTTATTGATGGACATGCAAATATATCAATAAAGAGCATCAATTCGCTGGCAATGATTCTGGATAGTTATCCCACCATTCGCGATTCTATTCATTTATCTGTTTGGCTTTTAGGATTGTTGACCTATACTTTTGGATGATTTATGAATGAATCTCAATGTCTATCTATTGTTAATTAGTCTGAGGTTTGGACCACGATACACATAGAGACGAATGTCAGTTTTGAGCACGTGCATATTGTTGATCGAGATTTCACGAGGAATAGACGAAAATGCCTAACTGCAGTGGCGAATTGTAAGAATAAGGTATATGCATGAGGGAGTTCTACACTCGGAGCTGTGATATCGAATTTCGGAACATTTTGGAACCTGTTTATGTTGATCGTGAATTTACGAGTACAGGCTGGCTGATGAAAGCGTTCCAAGCCATAGCGCTGCTGTTAATTATGCGATTTTGAAAATTTTAGGTCAGCGACTCTCATTTTTTTTCCAAATGACACTATATATACAGGGTGTCAATTTGAAAACTTCCCACCCTCAATATCTCCCTCCAAGTCGATAATATGGAAAAACGAAAAGACAGGTCGATTTTATTTTCGAGGGGGACATGGTTCTAAAATATTTTCAGCCCCGCGGCGTTGCCGCTTCTAACGAAATGAAGCAACAACTTTGTTATTTCAAATGGAACACCCTGTATTTTATTGCATTTTTAGATTCTCCCTGAAAAGCTGATTTCATCAATGTATCTCACTTGGGGTCTAGCAGGAATGATTACAGAGATATAGGGTGTTCAAAATCGAGATTTTACAACTTTAGGATTTTTTTGAGTCGAAACTATTCATTATTGGTCAAAACGGCTTTTATGTCCCTATCTCAACTTTTGATTTACTATTTACTGACATTTATTTGAAACAAATACAGGGTGGTTCAAGATTCAGACTTTTGATCACCCTGTATTTGTTTCAAATAAATGTCAGTAGATAGTAAATCAAAAGTTGAGATAGGGACATAAAAGCCGTTTTGACCAATAATGAATAGTTTCGACTCAAAAAAATCCTAAAGTTGTAAAATCTCGATTTTGAACACCCTATATCTCTGTAATCATTCCTGCTAGACCCCAAGTGAGATACATTGATGAAATCAGCTTTTCAGGGAGAATCTAAAAATGCAATAAAATACAGGGTGTTCCATTTGAAATAACAAAGTTGTTGCTTCTTTTCGTTAGAAGCGGCAACGCCGCGGGGCTGAAAATATTTTAGAACCATGTCCCCCTCGAAAATAAAATCGACCTGTCTTTTCGTTTTTCCATATTATCGACTTGGAGGGAGATATTGAGGGTGGGAAGTTTTCAAATTGACACCCTATATGTTTTTTCGAAATGTATCTGATTTTCCTTCCTGGCCTTCAAGCAAGTATTTCAACACTCCAGATTTCACATGGATTATGGTTGATCTAATTAATTTAATTTCTTTATTTTCACCTCAGTATTTGAAAGATAATTCGACGTTTTTAAAAACCGATTAGACAGATCTTCGGAATTCGTGTTGTAAATTTTTGTGAATTTTGTATATGTTTGATTTCCTTTCTATTCTAATCTTGAGTATATCTTGGCAGGCAATACAACCATCAATTAATCGGAAGTTGGAACAAAGTATCGAAAATATCTCACTTGATGATCTAATAATGGTTGTTGTACTAATTGAAAGATATGTCCCAGAAAATGTATCATTCACTCTCTGATTCTAATTGCGAATTAGTGGTTCCTCTTAGATAATTTCATAAACTGTAGATTACCTATCATTATTGTTTCTATCAACCATCAACGAATCATAATTTGTATCACAGAAGAATCACTGCAAGACGAGGAGGACGTTGCACCACTCTTCTACTGTCCTGGAAAAAGAGGTTTTTATGCTCCAAGACAAGGAAAAGCGACTTTTGAAAGGTTGAATGCTTTCAGAAACGTCGGAAGGTAATTCGAAATGCGAGAGTGAAAATATAATTCACCACTAATGTATTTTTTTCAGGTTGTTAGGACTATGCCTTCTGCAGAATGAGCTATGTCCCATATTCCTAACTAGGCATGTGCTTAAATCCATTTTAGGAAGACCTATTAAATTCCATGATTTAGCCTTCTTTGATCCTGTCGTTTACGAATCTCTGAGACAGTTGGTGGTCGATGCCGAAACTAAGGATAGCAACAGCTTATTCTCTGCATTAGACCTGAACTTCACGTGAGTCATCGTTTTATATGATATGCATCAACACTTCTCACCTATTAATTTTTTATAGAATTGATCTATGTGCTGAAGAAGGTTGTGGAACAGTAGAACTTATGCCTGGTGGTAAAGATATTGAAGTAACTTCGAGTAACGTTTATGACTATGTAAGAAAATATGCTAAATACAGGATGATCAAGGTTCAAGAAAAGGCCATTGAGGTAAGATTTCCTCACAGTTCAAAAAACATTCACATATCTGTTGATAAAAAACTCCTACGCCGCGAATTAAATCGTGTTGGAATTTCTTGAAGAATTGAACAGTAGATTATCTTCATCTCAAGATACAATGGCGTTTAGAAATGGGACATACAGAGAATAGGCCAAAAAATGACCAGTGCTGTATTTTCTGAATCATTCGAGTTCGGATCCCGAAAATTGGTCGGTAACACGTATACCAAATTGCTCATTAATTGACAAAACAATTTTTCACCGGAAACAACCCCAAGTTTTGATTATTATGTGCAAATAGACTACAAACTCTTGTAATAAAAATGTAGTAATGGCTCACCTGTCTGAAATTGTCGAGATTTCAAGAAAGTTTATGGTTGACCCTCCCACTTTTACAACCCCCCCCCCTCCCCCGAAGAACAACAACGTAAGTGGTAAATTCTGTTAACTACGTAGAAAATATCGGAACGGGTTTGGTTTTCAGTGAACATAAAAACAAAACTGTAGTACTAGAAAAAAATAGCAGTTACCAGTTATGTCGCTGACCAATGCATCAATTGTTCATACGAGCATTGATCAAACTTTAGTTATACTCAAATTTATCTTTGATTATGTGCCAACATATTCGAGTTTAACCAGTGGAACATCGACGTAATTGATCATTCAAACTTATATTCACCTCTATATACCCTGTTCCTTAGTTCAGCTTTGAATATAAGTATAATGTTGAAAAAAAATCCTCTTCTGTTATTCCGTTCTCTTTTAATAAAGTGCTTGAATCACTTTGTAAACCAGAACTTTGTAGTTCTATGAAGTTCATTTGTATCCAAATCCAATGTATATTATTTGTTAATGACCAAATCGTAGTCGGCGCAAATATAGAAAAACATGAATTATATCCAGTATGTCAAATGCAGCATTCAAGGGTCTATAACTTTTTTTAGAGTATCAGAACAGGGGTGTTCGATGTATTGCCTGAAGGTTCATTGGATAGTTTGACTGCAGAAGACCTAAGGCTTTTACTAAATGGTGTGGGAGATATCAATGTTGCTGTATTGATTTCCTATACAAGTTTCAATGACGAATCTGGAGAGAATAGTGAGAGACTTGTCAAATTCAAAAGATGGCTGTGGTCCATTGTTGAGAAGATGACTCATGTTGAAAGACAAGATTTGGTAAGTGCTAGATATATAGATATAATTGTAAGAGATATAAACTATAGGAGTTGGCATCTTATTCTAGTAGATATCTTGATTTTTCTTTAAATGACTCAGAATTCTGAATCTTGAACCACCCTGTATCTGTTCCGATTAAATATCAGTAAATAGTGAAACAAAAGATGAGATTGGGACATGTCATTTGTTTTGACCGATAAGGAATAGTTTTGACACAAAAAAATCCCAAAATTGAAAAATCTCGATTTTGAACACCCTATATCTCTGTAATCATTCTTGCTAGACCCCAAGTGTGATACATTGATGCAATCTGCTCTTCAGGAAGAATCTAAAGATGGAATGCTTCAAGGTTCCAACTTCGGGATATGGTAGTTACAGGAACATTTTTTCCCCCGCCAAATTTAAATCGACCTGTTCGAGTGATTTTGAATTTTTTTTAACGACTTCGGAGATAAGGGGGATGACAAGTTTTAGCCAATCAATCAATCAAATCTTCATTCCTTTAGACAATAATAACATTGTGTTCGATAACGTCAAAATTCTTGAAAAATACATATAACACACAATACATAGATACACAGAAACTAAATACAATACAAAAAAGTATCACTGTACCGGACAATCCAAGAAATTTCAAGTGTTAAACTTGATTTAATATACTCATATAAATGATTGAAAATACGTGGTCCTACAAAGTTAGAAGCAATTTGGGCTACTTTGTATTTTCCAATTTATGTGTGTGATACAAGCCTTTCTGGCGTGTATTCATGTTATGAATGTCTATTAAGCTTGAAATAGGTTATATGACGAAAGAGAAATTTCATCACCAGGTTTGAATAATTTTATCAACATTCGTGTTTCAAAATTATCCAAATGCTAAGACCTTTCAAATAGATACAAAAAGTCATGTTATTGCAAGGATTGGTAGACTTGGGTTTTTGACTTCTACAGTGAAACATTAAGTGCAACTTTCTGATCGATAGACAAGGAGATATACTGAAGTAGAGACCAAATGAATGAAAGAAAATTTAGCCTTTCCCAACTTCATCAGAATATTTCGGAATTTGTTAAGCTTAAAGTCATACACAAATCCAAAAGTCTGACTAGTTTCAACAATTGAGATGTTCTGCAATCACATTTATTTGCTTGTTTACCTCCGGAGATGTTTTTCAATGTCATTTAGAGCAAGACACAATTTACTTTGGAGCGTTCTGTAATTTGACAGCCAGGAAAAAAATAAAATTGTTTTGCTCGGATTATTTATTCAGATGAATTAGATATATTTTAACTTTGACAGCTTTTTGTTGAATGACAGTTATTGGTTATTGGAGTTTGAGCACTGGTTTCTGGTTCGGTTTAAATCATTGAATCTTATTGAATTAATTCGATTAGTATAAGCACAGTAGTTTGTCTCGTATTTGTATAAAAAGACATATATGAACGAAGCTAGTATAGTTTACACAGAAACAAGCATGCCTATAATAGAAAATGAAAAAAAAATTGTTGATCCAAATCGGTAAGAAATCAACATTTTTATTGGCATTGCAGTAGTAAGAATGAATTGAATTTTTGAAGGTGAAAGTTATTATTCTCAACTGATCAAATGAAGCGGCAGATAGGCCTTCAAACAGACTTTACACCACAAACAACTCATGCTGATGATGCAAGTAGTTCTACTGGAATGGAAAATAACTCAGAAGACACCAGCAAACTTTGGACATATGAAGTAATAATGTTACTTATTAATCTCATGAAAACATATGATGATGAATTCCAAAAATCTGTGAAAAAGATTGTTTGGAAGAAGATTGCAAATGAATTGAATGAGAAAACTAAATCGAAATACACATATACAGGTTGATACGAAGTGGAAAGATTAAGTCCAAAAATACAAGGATGTTAAAAGCCACAATGATACATACTACAGGAAGAAATAAAAAATCATGGAAATATTTTACTCCTTTAGATGAATTACTATTCAAGAAGCCTGAAATCAGCCCTATTGCTACTTTCAGCAGAAGTATCTCAAAGGTCTCTGGAAGGAGACGAAAATGTTCTTTGAATTGTCTATCATTGAAATTATATACGGTCACTTCAGCAAAATTATCATTTGTTTCTAGAACTGCTGCTTCTTCATCATCTTCATTGATTATATCAATCATAAAATTGATCACAATATTTATAGCAACACTTAAAATATTGGCTGTGTCAAGTCATCCGTTCGATCACAGTGGTGATACCAGGATGGTCAACGGTTGACTAGACTCCCAGCAAAAATAACGTGGTAACTTTGCGGGCAGGTTTGAAACGTGACCGATATTCCCAAACAGCTGGTTGGTCAAACTGATGGTCAGACTTCATACTGAACGTATGTGCCCGTTCAAACCACAGACTTGACACAGCCATTATTTACATCCATTTTCAAGTCAAGTTTTCAGTAGATGGCAGAGGACATGACATCGATAATCAATTCATGTCGGAGTATGTCACTCACGACTCCTCTCAGGAGTGTTCTTTTATTTTATTTATTTGAACGCTCCAGAGGTCACATGACCGAAAATCGTCTTCTGCTCTTTAATGCGGTTACAGAACATCTCAAATGTATGTTGGCTGTTGATGTGAGAAGCCTTTGTTTGGCAAAACATATGATTTACTTCAAAGCTGCTTTTGGGTATGTCTCACTGTCACTGCTTGTCGAGCGTCTGTACTCCTAATATACAGGGTTTCTATAAATGATCGTAACATCGTAGTAGCCGTTGAAATATCTCCATTTGCCGTCTTCCATTTATGGAGATTCACACATTCGAGGCTGATAAACTCACATTTGTCAGTTTTTCGTTAAAATTTTCGAACGATTCTGGTTTCTACTTCGTGATTGTCGTGTTGAAAAGAGGGATGGCTATTCCTCGGAGCAGAATGCATTTATTGTAATGTCTTATTGTCGAAATGGCACATTCATCAATGGTGGATGGAGTTACTCGGTAGTAGCCTGCAAGGATGAGTACCTGGCGAAATATCCTACTCTACAGATTCAAGAATCTTCTCTGAAAGCCCACATCAGAACAGTGATCAACAGATTCATCCAAACTGGAAACGTTAATAAAAAGAAACCAACAGGAAGGCCCCAAATATCGGAAGAAGAAGCAAAATCCCCAAACGTCATTGAAGAGATTATCTTTACAATCTGGTGTGCCACTAAGTACATGCCATAAAGTGCTTAAGAAGAGATTGCATATGCACCCTTACGAGACCAGTGTACTACAGCAACTTCTGCCAATAGATATCCCACGTCGTCTGGAGTACTGCCAATGGTTCCAAAATAATCTCAACGATGACCAGCTATTGGACCTAACATTTTTCAGCGATGAGGCTTGGTTTCATTTGTCGGGATACGTGAACTCAGAAAATTTTAGGTTTTGTAGATCTGAGAATCCATTGAGACCTGAGAATCCATTGAGACTCCACTACATTCTCAAAAAATTGGGGTGTGGTTAGCTGTTACTCGTAGGCGAATATATGGACCGATTTTCTTCGATGGCACTATCAATGGTGAAATGTACAGACAAGGGATGTTAGAACCATTCATCAACCAACTTGATGATGAAGAAATTCGTGTTGGCTATTTTCAGCAAGATGGGGCCACTGCCCACACCACACGTGCAAATTTAGAATATTTACAAGAATTTTATGACAACCGTGTGATAAGTCGAGGAGTTAATCCTTCTTTTCCAACACGTTCTCCAGATTTGACGCCTTTGGATTTCTGCCTTTTTGGATATTTGAAAGACGAAGTATTCAAGAGAGACAATAATAACCTTGAAGAGCTGCAAGCCTCAATAACACATTGCTGCCAAAATATTGGCTCGGAAATGCTGAGGAACATTTTCGACAACAAACGGCGAAGAGTCTTGAAATGCTTGATAAATATTTTTGATTTGTTCCATTATTTTTCAAACTCTAATATTGGACTCTCCTTTCTTTGAAATACATTTCCATAGTGTATGCAAAACGATATAAAAAAGATCACTTCTTCTCTTTTTGGTCGTTAAATGTTGTTAACAGCATTAGTAGAAAGCGGCAAATGGAAAAAAATGTGAACGGCCACTACGATGTTACGATCATTTATAGAGACAAAGAGGTCAAAACAAAAGTGCCAAGCACATTCTGGAACTCTAGGTATAGAAGTATATTCATAATTATTATTTAGGTGTATTTCTGGACTGGGTCCCCAGCTTTGCCTGCCAGCGAAGACGGTTTTCAGCCAATGCCATCAGTGACGATTCGACCGGCAGACGATGCCCATTTACCCACAGCCAATACATGCATTTCCAGACTTTATATTCCGTTATATAGCAGCCGGACAGTGTTGAGACAGAAGTTGTTGCTTGCCATTAAAACAAAGAACTTTGGATTCGTTTGAAATATTTGTCACAATGGATTTTTATTATTTAGATTCGAAATAGTCAGAAATTCATATGTAAATCGTATTTATAAGGTTTGTATATAGGTCCAATATATGGGCACCATCTGGACAGTAGGCATTGTCTTTTATTTCCGAATTTTCCTAACGAAGTTGCAAGATTCAATTCTGTCTGTAGGTTAATCGAGGAGGTGGTATATACATTTTACTTGATTAAATAAAAATATTCGTATTGTTTCAATATATTTGTAGTGGGAAAAATCAGATGATTTGATTTGCCCCAAAATGTCACTGCGTTCAACAAATTTTCCTATCAGGGAGCCTATAAGAAAAATCCAGTTGCTTGTCAGTAACAATTTATTCGAAAAAATGTTTGAAGGGAAGAAATATAGATATATTGAAAAATATCGAATCTTTACTTATCTTTGGGCGTTTCGGGACCAAATCTGCTCCCGTTCTCAACATGAAAATGTAAAATATTTCTCTTTGGAAGGTGTGCTGCTTATAGTTTAACTCTCTTCAGTGTCATACTGATGTTGGCATATGGATGAGTGATTTTAGTCTACAATAGAATTACAGGATGTTTTCAGTAATTGATCTTGAATCTACCATTTTCATGTTCAGTTTTCAGTAGAAAAATCAAGGAATCCGCTTGCATTCTTCTAAACGGAGACAATAGCATTGCTTCCTGTTCAGTTAATATAGATAGAACATGGTATTCACTACTGAAAACTGAACATGAAAATGGTAGATACAAGATCAGCTATTGAAAACATCCTGTAACTCATTTGTAGACTAAAATCACTCATTCATATGCCAACATCAGTATGGCACTGAAAAGTGTCAAACTATAAGCAGCACAAGTTCCAAAGAGAAATATTTTGCATTTTTATGTTTAGAACGGGAGCAGATTCGGTCCCGAAACGTCCTGAGATAAGATTTGATATTTTTTCAATATATCTATATTTCTTTCCTTCAATCATTTTTCAAACAAATTGTCACTGATAAGCTACTGGATTTTTCTTTTAGGCTCCCTGATGGAAACATTTTTTAAACGCAGTGACATTTTGGGGCAAATCATCTGATTTGTCCCACTACAAATATATTGAAATAATACGAATATTTTTATTTTTTAGAAACGAGGAAAGAAAATCCCAAAAAAATCAAGTAATTTGCAAGATTCATTTTGTTCTCAGAACTAGTGTTGCCAATGGATTGATTATAGGCTAAATACTGACACGCAGGCTACAAAATCCGCGCAAATTACTGCAATAATGTAAAAAATCCGTACATAATCCGCAAATTTTTTGTAGAATGAATCGAATTGAGAAAACACAACAGATGGAATCATGTTATCCTTGAATTATTAATTTTGTTTTGCTGTTTGATGATGTACCTAAGATTTCTGTGAAAAAAATCGACTTAAGAAAACCTAAAAATGAGCTTAAACCGGCGACACCTTGTAAGGGTAGAAAGCCATTACCTCAACCTTATGCGTAGACATCTACGGGAATGGTAAATTTCATCACGTGACTAAATATTATTATATCCTGTTCGTGTTGTTCTTTTCTTGGACTCGAAGTTGTCGCACCATTCATAAAACGTATATTGCTCACTGTTTCGTTGTTGATATTATTGGATGGATCTTACAAGACCAGTGAATCCGTGCAGAATCCACACCAAATGTCATTACTGCATTCTCACTGCAAGGCGATGTCAATACGTGCAAATGCAGTAATTACGCGCACATTGGCATCACTGCTCAGAACAGAGCATAATAGTATTTTATATTTCCCGCCTCGTTCTCGAGATCACAAGTGTGCCCTCGCCTGGTGCAAAGTTGGGGTACTACACTTGTGATCTCTTGGAACTAGGCGGTTCATTTATTCAAGATCGAACTTCACTCAGGTAAGTTCGTTCTTGTGATTATACACCTAGTGAGAAGTGAGCTGAATAATGGCAAACTCGCCCGAGGTTTATATAGGGTGAGTCATAACTATTGGTACATAGACTAAGAGTGAATTGTTTAGAACCGAATATGCCTCAATAAAATATTGTGGAAAAAGATACAGGGCGTTAAAGCTGATTTTTTTTTCGTTTTTTGCTATTAATTTCACTGTTTATTCTTCAATTGTTTTCAAAATCGGGACAGTCATAATTGCAGGGTATATCATTGTATGTATTGTTCTACAGTTTCTCACAGGAGGCACCACGTGCATGATTCCTGATGATGAAATTGACTGAAAACTATTTTTGGCGAAACTTTTCAGTGATTTTGATTAGAAAATATGACGCAAACATAATTTTTACGTAGTATTGGTACTCTTGTTCAAGAATGATATTTCCATCCGTTTTCGCGAATAATGCAATTGAACAGTTCAAAGTCTCGGTAGGGGATTTCAAATTTCATTTCATTTATGAAGAGTGTGCTTTGGATTGTCAGATAATTGTTGCTGATGAATTGAATTTCTTGTCCATGAATTTAGATAATTTCTAGTTTTTCAGTAGATATTTCATCGATGGCCTTGTAAATATGTGGCGACATTGTCCATATCAGGAATTTTCATATTGATTTGCTTTTTTCCATTGTCACTCTGTATAATCTTTCATAATGCCAAAATCTTCAATTTATACTTATTATGGCCAAAGTTTACAAAATATAAAATATTGAATATTATCAAATATAAAATTAGTTGAGTGACCTCAATGGATGTTTTGAATGAATCTACATCAGAATTTGGATTCATATCAGGTCTTAACTTTTTTCTTCTGAGCAACATACGAAAACAATTATAGAAAAAGAAACTTTCAACTTCTGGATTAGGCATTTTGTACAGAACTTTCAAGAGACACCATGAATATTACTCTTTTTTGTGGTATACTGCAAGCACTAAGAATAATTAATTGATATTTGCGATATATTTTCTGACAAAACTACTGTTGTACTTATCCATTCATTCGAATAATGTATGGCAAATGTGAATACTCATGATTAATAAAATATAAAAGTGCAATAAAAATGAAACCATTCATTCCAAAGCAAGAGAACATTTCAAAATCTCAAAGCAATTCTGAGAAAAAAGTGAATAATAGTTTGCTATATTTATTCATGATTTCCATTTCTGTAAATTTGTGAATTCAAAGCTTCGCATAAAATGATTCATGTACAACCATAGTAGGCTCAATGTCACTCAACCTACAGCAACCTGAAAAAAATCATTGGTACATTTCTAATCACACCTTCAAACATTATGATTGTATATTACCGCAAATTCCCAATGCCGTCTCAAATTCCGTTCTTATGATGGTTAAAACTTTCTTTACTCCATCTTCACCACCCTGGACTAGTCCCCACAATGCTGGCCGACCCATGAATACCATTTTGGCTCCCATAGCAAGAGCCTTGAGTACTTCTGTGCCATCGGTGATGCCACCATCTAAATAAACTTCCGCTCTGTCTCCTACAGCTCTCGCAATTTCTGGAAGAGCTTCAATCTGCAATAGTTAGTTACTTAACAAGTGCGGAAAATAGTAGTTTTCGGCACGCGACGGCAGTTGCACGAAGGACGCGGAGCGGAGTTCGGGCAAGTCGTCAAGGGCGGAAAAGACATTTTCCGCAAGAGTTTGGTATACAGTTTTTTCTACGAGTGTTTTTTTGTCCATACTATTTATAAAAAAAAAAGTTTTTGATGAACCATACCTTAAAATGATTCTTCAAAATGACACATAAGACAGAAAAGTTGCATGGATCATTTAGTTAGTCCTAAATATCCTCATTTTCAACAATACAAAAATCGTGAAAAGTAACTTTTCAGTACTAGTGCGGTAAATTAACTTTTCCCCACGATATTTTCATGCTATAAAAAATGATGAAATAGATTTTTTTCATCGATATAATGGGAAACTTATTTGAAGAACATTTAAATAACAATAACTGAAACATTAACGATGGTAAATATTGAAATTGAAAGTGCAATTTGTGTTTGTTGCATGCTGTAATATAGCAGATGCCGCAACATCTTGAAGAACGTCGTTTGAATTTGATTGGTTAGTGTTTGCCTCAATTATTCCCGGGGGAGTTTTGAAAGTTTCCTGAGTTGTCCATTTTTCATTGGAATTACGTACACGGAAAAATTACTCTTGAAATGCATATTTGTTGACTGCCACTACTGTCAGTTTATAGCGACTGTTGCTATGGGTACGTTCTGTTGCCAACAGTTATCACTACATGTCCCCAAAGTTACTTTTCCGCACGCTCGTAGAAAAAGTTATTCATTAGAACCAAGGATTTTAGTCGAAAATTCTAATACTGTGAGAAAATGCACAATCATTTCGAAAATGGAAGTCCAATGATTTTAATCGAAACCAGGAAGTCCAGTTCACCACACGGCTATCAATTCGCAGACTCAACTATAATAGACAGTGTTTCGTCCTTGGTAAATGAATAACTACTATTGCACGAAATACAAGATGTCTACAACTATTTGTTTATACACGTGCACACAGCTAAAATCACATTTTACGTTTTAATTCCCGAACGAAAAACCGACCTTTTCCGATGGCAAGTACAGGGTGGGCAAAATTGGGCGTTTTCACCGTCTATCTCAATAACTAGAGGAGTTATCGAAAAACCAATATACATGTTCCGGGTTCGATTTTGGAGAAACCTCGAATGGCACAATCAAAATTTCGAGATCTTCATTCGTTTTAGAGATACAGGGGGAAATTGAAAATTTGCCGATTTCGATTTTATTTTCTGACCACTTTACGGTGAGAGGTATCAAAAAATTTTGAAAGTATATTTATACAGTATGATGCGTGGAATCCATTGGCATCATCAGAAATTTTATACAGGGTGACGTTGAAAAGATACGGCGGCCAATTATGTTTTTTCTAATGGAACACCCCGTATATTTTGGCACAGTTGAATAGTCCCAGGCGTTCTCATTACAAATATATATATAACCCTACCTTTCCCTTCCACAATTTCAGATATATTCGCAAAAATATATTCAGTGTGTCACATTTCTTATGGTTACACCCCCGTATCTTCTGTAAAAATATTTGAGGTAGGATTCAAAAATTCGCAACTGTCAGAAAGATACAAATGATACACTCATGGAGTCATGGACCAAGTGGGATCATCTCCAATGATAACACTGCTCGCCAGCAGCTATGGAATCATTGATATTTCTGGATAATGCTATCAACAGGCAGAATCGAGGTTGAAAATGACACTCTGTATATATTCACCAAATGTGGAAAATAAATATCATAGGGAATGTAATTTCCAGATAAATGGATATTTGGTTATAAATAAAATGGGAAATTATTCGATTTGATATCATTGTTCAAAGTTCCCGTTTCAATTTCAAATATATATCTTATTTATTATCTCTTTGAACGCAAAAGGCATACTAGAAATAATGGGTAAAGTATCATATTCAGGCATTCTGCCACAAAATATTATGATTGTTAATGTTTCCATCAATTATTTTTACAGAAGATACGGGGGTGTAATCATAAGAAATGTGACACACTGAATATATTTTTGCGAATATATCTGAAATCGTGGAAGGAAAAGGTAGGGTTATATATATATTTGTAATGAGAACGCCTGGGACTATTCAACTGTGCCAAAATATACGGGGTGTTCCATTAGAAAAAACATAATTGGCTGCCGTATCTTCTCAACGTCACCCTGTATAAAATTTCTGATGATGCCAATGGATTCCACGCATCATACTGTATAAATATACGTTCGAAATTTTTTGATACCTCTCACCGTAAAGTAGTCAGAAAATAAAATCGAAATCGGCAAATTTCCACTTTCCCCCTGTATCTCTAAAACGAATGAAGATATCGAAATTTTGATTGTACCATTCGAGGTTTCTCCAAAATCGAACCCGGAACATGTATATCGGTTTTTCGATAACTCCTCTAGTTATTGAGATAGACGGTGAAAACGCCCAATTTTGCCCACCCTGTACTTTTCGTCCGCAGACACTAACTTTTCGTATGCAAACTCTTCATCCGCAAACACTTCGTCGGCTCCAGGGTTTCCAGTTCTACTGACTTCAGTAGATCTCCTGATTTGCATATTGATCTACTGAAACATTTCATAATCAACTGAAAAATATTTTGATACTTACTCATCGATAAATATAATTACCTATATTATTATTAATCTTTAGTTGATCAGATACTCTCAATAATTGCATGATACTTCGATCGGCACGCTCTGTTTAAATTAATGTTACAAAATAAGTAATAAATATACTTATAGGTACTAAATGATATTTATAAACCAAAAAAAGACAATACTTCAACTGATTCAGGTTAAATTCAAATTCATTCAAATACCCGTCGCTGCGATAACAGTTTGTTTCTTACGTAAAATTTTTTTATTTGTATGTATTTTTGTTATTCATTTTTACTGTTCGTTCCTGTTTTTCATGTACTCAAATCTTATAAGTAGGTACCTATGTAACTGTAGTTTGTGATATTTGTGAGTATATTTTTGAATTGAGAATTAGGAATATGATTATTTTTGTATTAGAATGTTTGTGTTTGATTATATTTTGTCGGAAAGAGGTTACTTTTCTGTTTACTAAAACCACATAATGTTTTGACGTCATAGGTTTATTTTATTATCCTTTCTTGGAATTCGTATAGCATAAAATAGATCTTATACAGATCTATTGAAATCTACGGAATTTTTGACAAGGTGTTTACTGATGGAATGAAAATCGAACTGGTAACCCTGATCCGAAGAGAGTTACGTCCTTGGGACATCTTGGGAAGGCGTAGTCTACCATAAAACGTTGGGGAGACGAAATGTATATGTTCATTTAATTTCAACTTCAACTGCTTGATAGTGATGAGAATGAGTGACAGTTGTCCGACTCGTCCTAATTACCTAATAATGTCTGAGAATACAGGCGGGGTGGCAAGATTACTGTAGTGCAGGTATGTCTGTACTCAATTCTGTCTAAATCTGAATAGCCAGGATCGGATTTTAAGTTATTAATTAATTAAATATTATTATTCATTAGAAGTCCCTTTTTTTATTTTGGAAATAATCCAATACATTTAACTCGAGTTTTCTATTTTGCTCGTTCAGAACTTCATGTCGACCCATTTTCAAAGTCCGTATCACAAGCTGATAACAATAGATGAACACATCCACAATAATGAGGCAATTGTCAGGCCAATTTCGAGTCCCTCTCTGTTAATCTACCTCGTTTTGAAAAGAAGTACCTCTAATCGACCATCCTTCTGTGGTATAATCAATTCCTCCGTAACGTTAATCGTAGCTTAAGTAGGGGACGTATAATACCTGGGAGTAGGGTCCCTTGATGAACAGGGTACGGACAGATCATAGCTCCTATCTCTTTCAATCATCTAGTGACTTTGGTTTCGTGTATTGGCGTCCCTGACATGACATTGCTGTCACGTCACATTCATAGGCGTTAAAAGAGATCTTACGAAATTTTAATTTCATACTTGATTTAATACGACATTATTCAATTCTGTTTGGGAGGATGGTGAAATTTGCTGCGTTAGGCTGTATCAATTGGATGGCAAATTTGAATTTGTCAGCTTTCCATCAAAATGCAAATGAACTTACATGGAAAGTGAAGTGACCGAATGGGGAAAATTGGTAAATACATCAGCAAAAATATTCGAGGGAAAACTAATACGAGATCACATATTATACTTTCTCATTGTGCCTATAATTATCCACTCCACGAGTTTTTGAATGCACTTCAGTAGAAAGTTTTGATTAAAACCGAGGATTAAAAGAAGAGGCATATGGCCTACCATTTGAAAAATTATACCTACATTCAGGAAATATTAAGTGTTCGTCAAAAACTGCAAAAATGATTCCCAACATGAATATATACAGCACACATGACATATGAGCACATTAGTTTGAATACCTATTCATAACATTTTTCACCATTTCTCAACCATAAGGCTCAGTCTGGAATTAAATTTCATTTATTGATAGGTACTCCCTAAGAACAGTCCCATTTGGTAAAACGTATTGAACTTTCAGAAAAATTTGCTCACTGCCTCACAAAGATTATGCTGCACTGAGGAAAATTGTGCTATTAGAGTTTTTGCTGAGACATTTCTTGCTACCATTACAAGAAAGCATATTACCGTTATACATTTTCGAATAGAAGCAGCACCTTGGAATCCAATGACAGCAATAACGACTTTGTTGAAAGTGAATTTCCTGCCACAGAAAGGTATACTGCTGTCGCTATCAGGCAGCCATTCTGGGATAGCATGATTTTTTTTATAATTGTCTAGCTGAACTACTACTAGTGAGTTATATGCTTGTGGCTGCGAGGTTCGTTGCATAGAACTATACTCACTACCAATAATACAACTGTCAGTCTGCCACGAAATGAATATTTGACGAACCTACTTGGGGTTATTTAGCGCCTACTTATCGTTATTCGATATTCTACTGATTTGTCCCCCTCTATATAAGCATTTGTCAGACATCTTGCTTGATCAATCATTCACAGTTGGACTCTTGATGCAAACCCATGTACAGGACCACAATCTCGGCGACAAGACAGTTACGAATACTTCCCCTCTCTAATTCAATTCATTATTTGAAATCTGAATCTGAATTCAAATATAAAATGGAAAATTTTTTAAACAAATAAAAAAATCTTCTGTGTCCCTTTCATTGCTTTCGTAGATCTGAGTGCTTCAGTTATTACCAGGATTGATGGAATGATAAAGGTGAGTTTTTTCTAGGTATTCCGACTGAAATTCAAATATAGAATGTGGTCTGAAAACTTGTGAGCGAAAATGACAGGTTATGAAATTATTTGAATGATTTTACTGGTAACATTTTGTTTTCCTGTACGCATCTGTAATAACTTGCCGAGTTTTCGAAATACAATGGTTTCAGAAAGTTTCAGAAAAATTCTTTTCTTCATCAATTACTCAAAAACCTTTTGTTTCTCCCGAGGGTGCATGAATCAATTGATCTATTGAATTTCAAAGATCATTGGTCTGAAATTTTCCTTAGGAATCAATAAATTGCTATTCATACCATACATCCGGGTGGGAATTATGGGAAGGGAAATTGGATATCTATAGTAAGAAGGTCATGCAACTATCTATATGATCACCCATCAAGAGTAGCAAAGTTCCCTACCTACGATTATAACATTACCCTACTCCCATTATTAGATGCACTCACTAGCGGTAGCAAAGTCAGATACCTACTACAGAAACATCGTCTAATAGCAATATACAGATGCACTCGCTATAGTGGCAGCAAGTTTCTATATCTTATAATCGCTGATGGGTTATAATCAGCAAACTCGACTTTATAATCACAGGTGATAACTCGCTTGTCCCCTATGCAATTAGAGTTTCTTGCAGGGGTAATTCGATTTCTGACTTTGGTTAATAAGAATTTTCCTCAGTGTGGAGTTGGAAAATCAACTCGAAAATTATCATCATCATTTGGATATAATATGTCGAGTTGAATGAGAAATTACATGTGGAAATTACGTGTGATACGCCAATGTCCTCAATATAACCTAAAAAACAACAAATGTCAGAAATCTAGTGTTTATCCCCAGAAATGAATAAAGATATGGAACTAAACAACTGTTTCACAAACACTTTAGAGTGAGAGGAGACGAGGATCTGTCCGTACCCACAAATACGTCAATTTACATCAAGGGACCCTACCTGGGGGTATCTTGGGTATATATTTCAAACAAGTGGAAACCGTTTGGACGTATATGTTGTGTCTCACCAACGTTTTATGGCGAATTTCGCCTTCCGAAAATGTCCCCCAACTTTAAATAACTATTTCGTTGGGCCAAAATACCATACCGAGGCTGGAGTGCCGTCAACTTGTCGTGCTCCGTGATTGGATACCAGAATGGCCGATGCTCCGTTTTGTACACCAAGGACTGCATCCTCCGCAGTCAGAATACCTTTGAGGACGATCGGAAGACTCGTTATGCTCTTCAGCCATGCGATGTCCTTCCATTCGACCGTTGAATCGAACAGAGAGTTCACATACACGTTGAGGCCAGATGAATCGGTTTTCTTACTCATTCCCTTGGATTTGGTACCTTCGAAGTTGGCCAAACTGGAAGATCAGTGTTGAAATAGGTACTGAATCAACAGAATGAATAGAAATTTCTTCAGAACTTTGAGATTTTCTCTCTTTGTCTCTATAGATTAAGAAATTAGAAATATTTCAATATACAAATCAGATGATTCACCCCAAAATGTCACTGCAATTTGAATTCCACGATTAGGAATCTAAGAGGAAAATTTAATTGAGATAGTCAGTGAAAAATGTTTCAAAAAGAAGAATACGAAATTTCGCTTACACTGGATATTGCCGTTCTAGATGACAACCTAGTTAGGTAGTTAGTAGGCAAAAACTATAATACCTCCTCGCGTACTAGGTCGCCTACTAGGTTTTCATTCAGATCGACAATGCACTGGGTGAGTCAGTTTTTTGTAGCAGGACTAACAGCTGAGTGAGGAAATTTTTTTCAGATGCAAATTCTATGTAAACATATATGCGTGGAAGCATCCTTTCCGATATACAGGGTTCTCAAGTTTAAGATTTTTTTGTGTTTTTCCAATTTCCTTCTACAATTCCCAATATTTTTGGCAATCGAGCATTCTTGAATACCAAAGTACAGTATGATACACTTTTGAGGGTCGTACCCAAGTTAACCCTCTCGAACTTTTTTGCATACCACCTCTGTTTTCAATGAAACATCAATTTAGATTCTCCCTTCAATTTAGATACTTTTTGTCCCTTTTGTTTTTTGGAAAACTGGGTTTCGAAACACATGCCAAGAATAATTTACTTGACATTTAACTTCATTTTTTGAGTATGTAAACATATGTGCGGGGGGCTTTGTTTCCGATATTCAGTGTATCGAAGTTTGAGATTTTTCTTGTGTTTTTAAACTTTTCTCCTACATTTTTTTAAAATAATGAATTGAAATTTGGTACACTTGGTAAAGTTTGGAAACGCAATATTTGGGAGTATCGATCGTTCTAGAATACCTACAGAATGAAAACCTTCTGGGGTCGTGTAAACGTTGAAACCCTGTATACTGGATACAAAGCTCCCACGCATATATGTTCATAGAAGACTTTTATCTTGCAAAAATGTCTCCTTTGAGCTGTTGAAGTTCTGCTACAAAAAACTGACTCATCCTGTAAATTTGGAGCAGATTCGATCCCAAACGTCCAAGAAGCTAATTTTCAAAGAAAAACAAAACAACACTAAGTCGGTCGACGACGAAGTTTCATTACATAAATTGACTTTTTTTGTGACTAGTTTCGGCTCCACCAGCCATCTTCAGACACAATACACAGTACCTGTATTTAGTTTACAAGAATACTAAGATATTGAGAAACAAATAAACAATACCTAAAAGGTCACGTGGAAATCACAAAATAAAATAAAATCAAAAATATTAATGGTCATTTGGCCAAAAAATCAGTCCGGTAAAGGGATGTTAACATTTTTGAACAGAACGCCTGTTTCTAAGCTTGACACTTCGCCTTTTCCTTGGCTTTTGTCTTTCACAAAAATGGCCATTTGAAGATGAAACTCCTTTGAGTGAATTATTCATCAATTTTCCCAAGTTTGTGCCAATTTTGAACCTAATGATAGTTGCGTACTTTTGGATATTCAGTCGGTACTATGTATTGTGTCTGAAGATTGCTGTTTGAGCCAAAACTAATCACAAAAAAGTCGATTTTTGTAATTAAACTTTGTGGTCGACCGACTTAGTGTTATTTTGTTTTTTCATTGACATAATTTGAACCACTTTGAGAAGGATATGGATGGTTTCCATGACTCAAGCTAATTTTCACTATCACTGATTTGTCCCTATCACACATATGTGTTTATCGTAATTTGAAATAATACTTTTCATTTATAGAAATAATTAGGTATTTGATGGATTCGATCATTCAATAGTTTGGTTGTTAGATATTATGTACTTTCAAAACCAATTATAATTACCATAAGTGCGGTGGTAAAATAAATCTGTTCTTGATGTCAGCCAGTCGAAGACCAAAAAGTGGGGCATCAACTGTTAGGACTAAAGCTTTGAATCCAGCTCTTTCTGCTCTCTCAACTAGTTGACGGGTGAGTTCTCTGCAAATTGAAGATGAAAGGAACTTATAAAATTGATGTTGCATATTGAAATTCACTGGACATTTCAGCTTTCGTTGTACCTCATAAGCTGATCTTAAGTCTCAATTTGAGTAGAGTAAGACTAAAAAGTAGCGTGGATATCTTCAATATCCAGTAAATTTTTTACATATTTGCATAGGAAGTAATACGAAGATATGGCATAATAACTCTTCATCATGCTCAATATGTATCACTCTCTCATTGAGCATATGGAATTAATGGAAAATTATCAACTCTACCTTTCTCACCATATACTTATTAATCCCTTCAAAAGTTAACAGGGTCTTCTGATCAGACGGTCATGATCTGCAACACATAATAAAAATGTCCATTGAGAGTGAGACCCAAAATCATATTTTAGCCATAGATGTCTGACAGCGTTCTGTACAGACCTTTTAGAGATATAAGAGTGCTTTGTATTAGCCAAGAAAGTTCTTACCTGGTTGTTTAATGTCTACTGATGAAGACAATGATAATTCTCGAATATTTATTCATAAGATTTGTACCAATATAAAAACAATGTTTCTAATTTGCTTTATTTCCACAATTTGCGACTTCCATTGAAGAAAAATAGGTGACTATACATATATAGTGGCGTATTGGTGTATTGCTGATTAATATGAGGGATTTCAGTAGTGCTGAGAAAGGTAGTAGTTCATATATATTGTATCCCATTGGGAGAAGATGCCGTCCATTGGAGAGCTTAACATCATCAATTTCCCCAAAATAAAAAGAGATAGTTTACGTTTACCTGTCCTTGTAGATATAAAGTTGGAACCATTTTACTGCTCGTGGAGCTGCTTGCGCTACCTCCTCAATGCTGCTAGTAGAAAGAGTGCTAAGAGTGAAAATAGTCCCCATAGCCTGAGCAGCTGCAAAATATATAGAATATGTTATACACTCGCATTGTTCGACAAAGATCCAAATGAAAAATCTCTTAAAGCGTTAAAGCACGTTAGAATGAGAGGATTTCATATTTGCTGCCAAACTCAAACAGACATTCCAGCATGTTCTGGAGTACTTCGAAAAACTTTCAGTTAATAGTGGAGTTCCTAAAAAATTAGTACCATAGGTATGTATGTACGTACCTATAGGTACGTTAATTTTGGTTCCTCAAGACTATTTTTCAGGGATGATACAATCCAAAAGCTCTGGTACACCAAAGTTCCTTAAATCAAATCTCTAACGTTGTCATCAACATTGCCATCATCATGTATAAAACGTATCTATGAGGTTAGAATTTCAAATAATTTTGAAAATTGTGAAAATAACTCACTTTGCTAGAATCTGTACAAAATATTGAAATTCTTTGCCTAAGGAAGTATTCCCAAAAACTTATAATCTCCTTTGCCTAGGCGCGCATGATGTTCTTCGAACATTATAGGGATTCCCTTTCGTGTGCTCTAAGAGATAAAAAAATCTCTTACCCATGCAATCTATTGTACTGATTTCTGACAAGTAAGTTATTTTCAAAATCATTTCAAATTCTAACCTCTTGTCATTATAAAAAATAATTATTGGTAATGCAAAGAAAATTGTCAAAGCTGGATTTTTGGCTTCAAGTGGATCAAAGTTTAGCACATGAATCTGTGGCTTATATAATGTCGAATAAAAGACCATGAAGGATCATGAAATGAATCGAAAATTAATGGACTGAATCTATTATCTATTGATTCCACAAAACATATATCAACAATCGAATCTGTATACAGTAAGGCAAACTGATATATTATACAGGATGATATAATGTGATATTCAACAACTGTCATTATTTTATTTTCTGCTATATGAAGGACCCCGCACATTTACTACGGAAAATGGCTTTCGGCTAATTTTTCTGAACATTTGATGTGTTTCAGATATTAGCGTCCTTATTACACAGTACAATTTAAAGATTGATCCTATCACCAGTTTTATCATTTGATAGATAGTAATATCACATACAGGGTATTGCATTCCATCATGACAAGGTAATATTCATGGGAATAGACAAATACTGAAAATATCAGAATTTCGATTTTTACTCAATCACTGAAAACTAGAAAACAAGCGGCTACAATCGGCCAATTATTCGACACACTATGGATCTCGATCATCAACATGAGGATTCATATGATTTCCACTGATGATGCAATGTCCGGTTTGCCATAATCAGGGTGATGACAAATTGAGATGTTACTTATGTACAACATGAGATACATATCACGAATGGTTCATAACTGTTTATATAATATATACAGTGGAAAATAAGATGTCTCATCAAAAGCCCCCACCAACCCTTTGAGTCACAACCACCCCAACGCATATCATTTCAATAGTAGCTCCTACTTGTGATACCTCATTGAATATCTTGGTGAAAATGCATTCCAGTGCTTTTATTCATATCTCGGGCTAGGTGAACTAACCAAAAAATATTCATTGCCCATATCATTCTGCTAGGCTAGTGTGACTTATAAATTCCATAACTTTTTGTAGTAGGAGAAAAAATCGTTTATTTCAAGCACTATATGAAACCCATATCAAATTTTCAGAAAGACATTTTCAATACTAAATATGCAGGGTCCTTTGTTTCAGAGGACAACAATCTGTATTGATTCGATACAGGACTACAATGATCTTATTGTTTTTCTAGTTGAGTCTGGTCTGGGGGATTCCGGGTCTTCGTATTTCTCTTTGTATAAACAGGGTGACAAAATAATGAAAAATATCTCGCTCTCAGCATTTGACACTGTACTTTTTACTATTACGTGCTTGACCATATTGATAACAATAGTATTTTCATTTTATGGTCTTGTTGTTATTATTGTGTATTGCATATTCACCTCGGGCATTTGCACATTCTCCCTCTGGATGGGCCATTTTTTGCATGGCGGTTGGCGATATACCGATCGGCATCGTTATTCTTTCTCCCAATATCGTTGTTGATAAGTCCCTGTTTTCCACGTTCCTCAGACATCTTGGCCTTAGTCTGTATCTGCAATAAAATTAAAAATCAAATAAATTAAAGATGAGAAAGATCGAGCTTATGTCGAATATTTGCAATTCAATTATGAATGTTGTTGAATTAGTATTATAGTCTGAGAGCTCGTAGACGTTTTATAAAACAAACAAACAATCAAATCTTTCCTCTTCAGTCTGTAAGGCTAGAAATTTGAATATATAAATACGAATCAAATGATGTTAAGTAAGAAAATCATGCATGACCTGGCAGGCCTCACCCTCTTGGACGTCAACGTCCCCGACCAGTGTAAAAATTAATAAAAAAATAAACTACGAAATAGCCACAATGCTCAAAGTGGAATGAAATGTTGAATAAATACAAAAAACTCAAAGTCATATCCACACAATGTTCATAAAATGAACAACAATGGTAGATTTCGGGAAAAAAACAACTACTTTCCTGGCTAATGCCACGCAGAACATTAAATTACATCCTCCCGAAATCTATGCATCGACTCGTATAAACGAATACTGATACAAGTGAATGCCTATTGATTTCGATTCAGCCAGGCCACGTTAGACACCTACAGACCGGTTTTGTCATCATCAGTGCAGGGCAGTCTCCAGCCAGCAGTCCTAGGACCGCCGACTAAGCGTAGCCTAGCCAAACAAAAATCGAGTCGGTATTATATTCCCCCAGAGGCGTCCTTCATAGACAATATGAAAGCAACGCCATCTGAGTAGAAGCGAAGGAAAGAAACACTCCAAAACTAAAATTCCCATACGGGAATTGCTATTTCATAGTTGAAATCACGCCAGTCGGGTAACTAGCCACTTCCTTCGTTTCTACTTAGATGGCGTCGCTTTCATATTGTCTATGAAGGACGCCTCTGGAAGAATATAATGCCGACTTGATTTTTGTTTGGCTAGGCTACGCTCAGTCGGCGGTCTTAGGATTGCTGGCTGGAGACTGCCCTGCACTGATGAGAATCAAAGAGCTCGAAATCGGTCTGTAGGTGTCTAGCGTGGCTTGGCTAGATCGAAATCAATAGGCATTCAGGAAAGATTCACTAGTATCAGTATTAGTTTATACGAGTCGATGCATAGATTTCGGAAGGATGTAATTCAATGGTCTGAGTGGTATTAGCCAGTGTAAAAATTAATAAAAAAATAAACTACGAAATAGCCACAATGCTCAAAGTGGAATGAAATGTTGAATAAAAACAAAAAGCTCAAAGTAATTTCCACACAGTGTTCATAAAATGAACAACAATTTCGGGAGAAAAACAACTACTTTCCTGGCTAATGCCATGCAGAACATTGAATTACATCCTCCCGAAATCTATGCATCGACTTGTATAAACGAATACTGATACAAGTGAATCTTTCCTGAATGCCTATTGATTTCGATTTAGCCAGGACACGCTAGACACTTACAGACCGGTTTCGACTGTTTCGAGCTCTTTGACCCTCATCAGTGCAGTGGGCAGTCTCCACCCAACAGGGCTAAGACCGCCGACTAAGCGTAGCCTAGCCAAACAAAAATCAAGTCGGTATTATATTCCCCCAGAGGCGTCCTTCATAGACAATATGAAAGCAACGCCATCTGAGTAGAAGCGAAGGAAAGAAACACTCCAAAACTAAAATTCCCATTCGGGAATTACTATTTCATAGTTGAAATCACGCCAGTCGGGCAACTAGCCACTCCCGTATGGGAATTTCAGTTTTGGAGTGTGCCGTCTATGAAGGACGCCTCTGGAAGAATATAATGCCGACTTGATTTTTGTTTGGCTAGGCTACGCTTAGTCGGCGGTCTTAGGATTGCTGGCTGGAGACTGCCCTGCACTGATGAGAATCAAAGAGCTCGAAATCGGTCTGTAGGTGTCTAGCGTGGCTTGGCTAGATCGAAATCAATAGGCATTCAGGAAAGATTCACTAGTATCAGTATTCGTTTATACGAGTCGATGCATAGATTTCGGAAGGATGTAATTCAATGGTCTGAGTGGCATTAGCCAGGAAAGTAGTTGTTCTTCTCCCGTTCATTTTATAAACATTGTGTGGATATGACTTTGAGCTTTTTGTATTTATTTAAAAAATAAAGTTTGCGCTGTAAACTTGAAATTTCATCATAGTAGGGGAGCCATTAGCAGATTCTTGCGACCAATATATCCTTTCAGCTGATAATGTGTCTTCAACATAAAAAATCGTCAACTACTTTTTCAATAATGTCTTCCTGGTTGAAACCATGTCAGCTGACGGGTTTACCCGCGGCATACAGTCAGCTGACCGGGAGGCATTTAAACATTCCGGTATAGGATTCGGCACCTACTTAAATTCTATTGGCCGATTTTGATTTATCTGACCAATTAAAGGCGGAGTGCCGAAATTCGTACCAGAATGTTGAGCGGTGCTGAAACACAGGTCGGAATGTTGATGAAATGAAAGCTCGAGATAATGTGTAATGAACGCATTTTTCAATAACTTTAGAAATTTCCATTTATATTCATGATGATTATTTGGTATAAAAGTTTGAAATGAATGATTATATGTAATGAAATGAGATAATAAATTTGAAATAACAATCATTAGAACACTTAATGTCTGTTTATGTCCTATTCCATGGGATGGTACTTAGCGTTTGGTTGATTTCTCGCCACGTTACCTGCCATACTGCGTCTTCGTCTGGAATACATTTCATGAGCAAATAAAAAAATATTTGAAAAACATGAAATTGTTACCTGTACAAGAATCTTTCAATATTTGTAGGGCCTGATTTGAAACGCCATGATGTAAACGACTGAGCTTCATAATCATTCATCCATTGCACAACTTCTGTTTCATTCATCATATTGACAAAATTTCTGAAACTTTTTTTAATCTTTCCATAATTAGTGATTCATGGTATACTTCACTAATTGATGATTGCACTTAACTATAATAACAAGATTGCAGGTTTGTTGTTAGCATGTGGGAACGACGGTATAATCAAAAAATACGCAGGTTAGGTAAATGCGAGGGTGTAAACAAAAACTGCGCATAATGCAGGGCAACATTCCGACCTGCTTTTCAGCACCGCTCAACATTCTGGTACGGATTTCGGCACTTAGCCTTCAATTGGTCAGACAAATACCGGAATGTTTAAATGCGACCGGGAGGGAATAACGTACTTAACGTTATTCGACACAACACTCCTTACAGGTGAGTTGCAAAGTTACAAACATAGAAAATAATCAAGAAATGCTGATTAAATATAATTATACCAATATTTTTGTTCCATTGTCATGGAATAATAATCATTATTATTATAATATCCAATAATTATCAACATTATTGTATGTAAGAAATCATATTTATTTGATTTTAAAGTATTGAATTTCATCTTCACTCTAACACATCGTTATCCGAATCACTTTCTGAGTCGCTATCGGACACGCATTTGCTATCATGTTTTCATCAACATGGTCGTCATCATCATTATCTGTAAAGAGATAAATATAAACAAAAAATCAAGGATAAGTATCATCATAAACAGTACGAATGAAATTCCAAAAAAATTGTATACCTTTTTCGGGTTGAATTGTAATTTCGATAAGAGTTGTTGGTAAGAAGTTCATTTGAATTATATTTAATATAACAGCCCCCATTTTTGTTAAAAGTATATTTTTTCAGAAACAGGTTTCTTATTCTTACGTAATATGTTTCTTTTAGTTAGTTAATTTTATACATATATACTTCAATGGAATATGTATTCCAAGAGGCCATCGATTTGGGTCTTTCATCCATGTCTTCTATATTTTTGTGATATTTATGTTATCATGTGAGTAGGTTCCAGCAATCACAGTTACATCAAAGAGATATGGCAGCGATGTGACAATTGTGATCTGTGATATCGCATTCTATGTCGCTGCGATGTCAGAGGGATGTTAATTATTTCGTCCCACTCAAGTTTCATCTATGAGAAGTTGCTGCCATGAGTTCTCTGCGATACTACAGCTATATATTTTTCGCAATTCGTGTTATTTGTGATGGAAAAGCGATGTGTTGCGAGATGACGTAAAAAAGTTACCTCAAACATAGTGTGATGATACACCACTGACCTCTGATGATCACTGGTTGGTGGTCGCTTTCAGGCCTCATCCATTCAATCAAATTCAATTCCATGAAGATGATAGCGCAGTTACTCAGTATTTGTATCAAAAATTACGTAGTGTCTGTCGGCGAGATGAAAGCGAACCAAGAATAGTTTGATAGCAATGTAACGATTGTTTGCAAATTTAGCTCCACTTTGTTGAGTAACGTATATTCATGTATTTTTTTGCATCCAACATCGAATTTTCACGAATTCTGGAATACTAAGTTCACATGTGTACATCTCAGCGATGCAACATTCCTGATATCGCAGTGTTGCCTCATCATGACATCTTGAAGATGTCATCCCGCAGATGTGTTTGCTTCTGTACATTGCTGCAATGGAACATTCGTAATATCTCAATGTTATGTCGCAGATGTGTTCGATTCTGTACATCGCAGCGATGGAACATTAGTAATTTCGCAGTGTTGCCTCATCGCGACATCTTAGAGATGTCATGTCGCAGATGTGTTTTCTTATGAACATCGCAGCGATGGAACGTTTGTGATCGCACTGTTAACCTAAACGCGACATCTCAGAGATGTCATGTCACAGATGTGTTGGTTGGTGTGTTTTGTTTTAAAGAGATAGATATGTATTTTTTGAATTTCTTGTGTATACTATATACTTATAAAATGAACGTCTTAACCTACTATACATATATCCTTTTCTCAATATTTTAAAACCACACTCATAGTGCAAATTATTGGTCAAAAGGAACAAAATCAAATAAATATAATTTTTACATGCAATAATGTTGATAATTATTAAATATCATGTCAATAATAATTATTCAATGTAAATGAAACACACTTATGGGATAATTATATTTAATTTTTATTTCTAGATTATTTTATGTTTGCAACTTTGCAACTCAACTGTTTAAGGAGCGTTATTTTTCAATTCATTCTTTTTTTTGCACCCCATGTGTGTTCTTCACACGCGGGAGGCAATGAATACCTTCCTGAATATACAGGGTGCCCCATCAGTCATGGATCAAAAGAAATGGGTGGGGGGGGGGGGTGGTAAGAGGGGTCATTTCCAATCTTAAACATATATGTATTTATTGTCAGTTTTTTTCATTTTTATAAAAATAACCAATAACAATAAAACTATGTCACATTTGTGATTTTTCATTTCACAAATCGTATCCACAATGATGCACCTTTTCATAGAAATAGTTTTATGACATGTGTTACTTCTTATCAATTACCTGAGACAAATGTTGTTTTCATTGAGTTTTGTCAATGAATGAAATATTTAAGTTGATTTTTAAATGCCGCTGGCAGATTCATAAACTACCCCACGAAGATAACCAATTACTTATAACAGAAAGTTGCTCATTCAATACACATTACGAAATGGTATAACATATAGGGATATTCAAAACAGCCTTTTTGTTGTTAATTTCTTTCAAATGGGTCGCTTTTTTCAGAAAAATTGAATAACTTTTGAACCATTAACAATTTGATAACCACATATACCGTTAGTTTGTTTGCAAATGCCCCCCCTTCCACCCCACTTCTTTTGATCCATGACTCATGGGACACCCTGTATAAATAGCTATTTTCATGCTAAACAACCGTAAGCGCCTTATTATCAGGCCTCTGCGACGTCGTGTGCCGCACGACTTTGCCCATATCCCATATTTTCATCATATTATCATCCCACATATGGACGGCGAGTCCCTGTTATTGAGTAGGTACATGTAGGTACCTACTATACTCTATACTTTATTAGCCTGTTTCCCTCACTGAGTCACTGTTGATTAAATTTTGAAAAATAAGTACTCACTTTGAGAATGCCTGCCTGTTATGCTTCAAAGTTGTTTGCTGTCCTGCTCCGCTTCTGTAGTAGTCAAGGGCATTTCTCGGCAACGTTTTATAGGCATGCTCCTCGAAGTCCCTGATGCTCACTAAATTGGACATTATACTACTAGTTAGGTATATTTTCTTAAAACTGTCCCTATCTCAGATATCGTTGAACAACATGAAACTATAAGTTATCATCGATTTTTATATTATGCTCATTCAACATGAACTTCTTAACCATAGGTCATTTCTTTGTTGAACTAACTCAAGCAGATAAGATAATATATGTTGATTCAAAACAGTGCGAAACCAGTTATTTTTCATAAAGAATCAGTATACCAGAGTATACCTATATATACCTAGTTATGGTATGTTTCGACTCGTTTTTGAGTAGTTTACGTTCCTTATAATATGTTATATGCATAAGTAGGTACTATGCAATTTCATGAGATATTAAACAAGAATTTTAATGACTGTTAAGCTGGGTTCATTGCTGAGCGATTTTTTGGCGATACCAGCGCCTATAAAATGTGCAATATCATTATTGGTACATTTGATTTGGTAACAGTACGTTGTCATTATGGAATTTAATGAAGATGCATTTCTGGTAACATTGGCCTTTTAGACCAGGGTCGATAATTTTGTAGACAAAAAGATAATATAGTAGGCCATTGGAAAAGGAATTTGATTTGGTAACAACCACGTTGTGAATATGGAATTGAATCAAGATGCATTTCTGGCAATAACATTGACCTATTAGACCAGGGTCGATAATTTTGTAGGCAAAACAATAATATAGTAGGAGGAAACCCATTGGAAAAGGAATTTGATTTGGTAACAACCACGTTGTGATAATGGAATTGAATCAAGATGCATTTCTGGCAATAACATTGGCCTATTAGACCAGGGTCGATACTTTTTTATACAAGCAAATAATAGTATGAAACCCATTGGAAAAGGAAGATTATATAACAAAAATAAGAGGAACAATAATATAGGGTCGGGAAGTGGAAAGGGGTGAGTTTCTAGGGCAAAAACGGTTAATATAATTTCCAATGGGTTCCTACTATTATTTTTCTGAACTTTTCAACATTGTCAAAGGTCAGCCCTGGTCTATACTGGGTGTATCTAAATAACGCCGAGGGGTGATTACTTGTGTTATTCTAGCAAATAAAGTTCATATAAACATGATTGTGTCCTTACCTGCTCCGTTTTTTAGATACAGGATGTTGAACTTGTTGAAGTTGTAAGTAGTAATTGTTTTTATTTCTTACCCCTCTGTATAAGCTTTCATGGTGCCAAAATTCAGTATGGCTGGAGACTGAGAAAGCCCCAAAATTTCAAAATAATTGTAATCGGGGTTATTGAGTAATCTCAATGGAAGTCTTGATAACACCTACATTAAAGGTCCTCGCACATTTAGTACAGAAAATGGCTTTCGGCTAAATTTCCTGAAAATTCGATATGTTTCAGATATAAGCGTCCTTATTACACAGTCCAATTTACAGATCGATGTTATGACCAGTTTTCGAGCTACAGGGTGTCAATCATTTGATTTTCGCTGTTTAGAATATTTTGCATCAATTTGCATTATGTGCTATCTAAGTCGTGATAAATCTCCAGTTTGGATATAAACGCTCCACGTCAAATTTCTACCTCATAAATCTCTCTATTCGAATAGATAATGATATCACATACAGGGTATTGCATTCCATCAGGACAAGGTAATATTCATGGGCACAGACAAATATTGAAAATATCAGAATTTCGATTTTTACTCAATCACTGAAAACTTGAAAACAAACGTCTATATAGAATCGACCAATTATTTGACACACTATGGATCTTGATCATCAACATGAGGATTCATATGATTTCCTCTGATACAATATCCGGTTTGCCATATAAAGGGTGATGACAATTTGAGAGCTTATAATTGATGTAACTCATGTACAAAATAAGATACATATCACGAATGGTTCATACCTGTTTATATAATATATAATGTGGAAAATAAAATGTCTCATGAAATACCCACACCAACCCCCTGAGTCACAACCACCCCAACGCATATACTATCAATATATAGTAGCCCCTACTTGTGATACCTCATTGAATAGCTCGGTGAAAATGCATTCCAGTGCATTCTCGGACTGGGTAAACTAACAAAATATACTCATCAGGTACCTATATCATTCTGCTAGGCTAGGGTGATGTATTAATTCCATAATTTTTTGTAGTATGAGAAAAAAATCGTTTAGGTATGTCGACATGACATTCACCATAAATATCGATGAATTTACCCATTGTGGCACCACTGGAACTATTATTTCGAATCTAATCGTAGCCGAAGAAGATCCATATTACTATCAATAGAACCACAAAGTTTTGTTGAAATTGATGAAAGGACAATTGAGTATAATGATGAATAAAAAAAACGATCTTTCATGGAAATATTAATACCCTGTATCTCGAAAACGAAGAACATCATTGAAATTATTGAGAAGGTATCGCTTAATTGGGTGCTGTCGCTATCGCGAAATCGCCTAGCTATAAACTAAGCTTTAGTAATAACATTATCACAGTGATTAGCATATTAAGATAACGCTTGTTTTTCATAGGGTAGGTAGATATTAGAAAATTCTAGGATTATATATTTCAACAGTTGTACTATACAGGATGTTTCAACTTTCAACTTTAAAACATATACTATCAATGTATAAATAACGAAAACATCTACATGACTAATATTATATATTATATCAATCAACGATGATATATTCTCACTCATAATATCACGAGATCTTCAATTATTTCCGATTTTTCACACCCTATATCTTTGTTATCATTCCCGCTAGACCCCAAAAGTGATAGATCGATGGAATCAGCTTTTCAGGAAGAACCTGAAAATGGAATGATATTCAGGGTGTCTCATTAAAAAATCGAAGCTGTTGCTACTTTTCAATATAAGCGGCAACGTCGTAGCGCTGAGAATATTTCAGGTCGATAGAACACAACTAATTATTCAAGAAACCGAGTTCTGGTTGAGGTTTATCTCGTTTGGCTGCAAGAGCTTATAACTTTTTTTTATCGGGCATAACGGACCTTGGACCAAAGGATATTTCTTGTTCAGCATGATTTGATCTATCCAATCCTAGATTTTCACAAAATTTCACCGTAGACAAGATTTCAATGTAAATGGTGCGGGGTCCAAAAAAATCCTTCAAAAAGTGGGGTGAAAATGAATGCTTGAAACATGCCCATATATAGACATAGAATAATATTCTGCAAATATTTCATGATACATGTTGACCGATTTTCCAAAACGTTGATTCCATAATAATATATAGTACTCAACGAGCCCTCTTCGGAAATGTGTTGGACATATCTAAAATATTCAGATTCTCAAGGCCAAGGTGTTTGATGGAACAGTCTAAATTTCACAAAATACTATAAGGAACTATTTTTCCTAAAAAGTGGATTGCCTATTCGATTCAGGCATAGCTGTCAGAAACTGTAGGCGGAAGTTGCCTGTGTTATTTTTGTCAATAGAGAGTGAACCTTGTCAATTTATAAGTAGTAGGGAATTTTGTAAAAAAAGTAAAATTATTTCCGAAACAACAACAACACAAGATCAAAAATATGAAATATAATTCACAACATACCTTATACTTTACGTGTTATCTTCTGACACCTTCCACAGCTTTCCGACGACCGACGAAAACGTATTATCATTCAAAGGGCAAATTCTCCACGCGTCCTTGTCAGATTCCTATATAAGCGCCTGGTTTTGCGGGCCAAGGACCGACCAGCCATCTTATCGAAGATGATCCAACATCAAGCAAGGTTATTTACCTAACAAGTGCGGAAAGTAGTTCTTTTCCGCACGCGACGGCAGTTGCACGAACGAGCGGAGTTCGGGCAAGTCGTCAGGCGCGGAAAAGACACTTTCGGCAAGAGTTAGGTACAAAGTTTTTCCTACGAGTGTTTTTGTCCATATTATTTATGAAAAAAAAAGGTTTTAAACATTCATACATAGGGAGTAAAATAGAACCAATATATTTTATTGGATCATTCATTATTCCAATTTTTTTGGGATTTTCTCTCCTCGTTTCTATAAAATAAAAATATGAATATTATTTCCATATACGTGTAGTAAGGACAAAAATCAGATGATTTGCCCCAAAATGTCACTGCGTTTAAAGAATTTTCTTTCTTCTTCTTCTTCTTCTTTTTCTTTTTCTTCTTCTTTGCACAGGTGGGCGGGTGCGTAGACCCCTGCACTCAGGCCTCTTCAGTCGGGCCCATTGTGCGCCCACTTGTCCTGTGAATCAGCTGGGCATGCCGATTTCTTTGACGAAATTCAGCAGCTTCCTCAGCTGAGTCGCTTTCACATCCTTTGGGTGCAGTACAATGATCCCAAAGGCAGCTTTCCTCTGATACACCAGCTCGGGGCATTCAGTGAGTATGTGTGAAGATGTTTCATCATCCTCCAAGCACCATCTGCAGATAGGATCATCTTTGATCCCTATGAGTTCTAGGTGCCTGTTGAGGTGGTTGTGCCCAGTTAAAAGCCCAACTACCATCTTGAGACCCCTTCTATTAAGTGACAGGATCTCTCTCGTGAGCCTTTTTGAAGGTTCCTTTATATGGAGCTTTGATTGTCTCATTCCTGGTGTGTCCCGCCATGTTTCAAGGAACTGCCTCTGTAGCATTTCCTTCATGAAGGACATAACCGTACTATTGGGTATTCCCAATATCGGTTCTGGTCCAATGGGTGTCGTTCCGGAACCGATCTTGGCTAGTCTGTCTGCCTTCTCGTTCCTCGGGATACCAGAGTGACCTGGAACCCACATGAGGCTGCGTTTCCTAGTTTTTGCCACATTTTCTAGGCACTTCTACACTCGCACACCAATTTAGTTGTGATCCTATTGGATCTCAATGCCATGATAGCAGCTTTGCTGTCCGAGCATATGGTGACTGGTCCACGTCCACTTCTGAAGAATTTTCCCATCAGAGAGCCTAAAAGAAAAATTCACTAGCTTGTCAGTGACAATTTGTATTGAAAAAAGTTTACAGAAGACTATTCCACTCTTGATCTCGAGAACCAATCAGAATCGACCATTTTCATGGTTTCTTTTGTATTCTAGCGATATTTTTTGTTTATTAAATTTTATCGG